CCGCCTAGGAGGAGGGGATAATTGTCATGAATGACAAGCATATAAGCTAAGAGGTCCAAGATCTGTCATGAAATGACAGGATTCTTAGTCTTTTTGGGCGATTCCCAAGGGGCTGTGGACCTCTTCCTGACACAGATCTTGGACCTCTTAGCTTATATGCTTGTCATTCATGACAGAGAGCCACAGAGGTTGAGAAACTCTAGTGCTTCGAAACCATCTGCAAGTCGGGGAGTCGGCAGGCTAGTAAATACCCAGCTCATTCGTAACGTTTTCGGACAGAATGGTACGTGGAGGGTTGCCGATCACCGCCAGACTATGTGTAGAGAACCACTCGTGGTAGGAAGGCACTCCACGTACCGGTGTGGAACTACTCGACAAAGACTCGATAGACAGAGAAGGCGAGGATAAAGAGCGTCAAGCTGCTCTGCCGAGATAGTGTATGTGGCAAGACGACAACCCAATAAGTCTTGCACTAGCTCACCACTAGGAAAGAAAAGGTTTCAATTGTAGCTGCCCTCAGCTACTTATTTAACGCTTTTCAACCATATTGTGTTGTCTGCTACCTGACATTCCCATGTGATTGCATTTGCTTGGGTCTGCTCACGATTGTGCCACTCGATGTTCACCACTGGGCATTGGTATTTTCGTTACCATTGGTCCAACTTTTATTGTTCCACACTCCAATTTGAGTTGTCACAGCTGCCATTTTGGCTCCCCATCCTGTGCTCACATCGGGTTGCACGGTAGCTGGTGGGTCATTCGTTGGCGGGACCACCGTGGTAGGGTCGGTCAATGGTTTGTCAGCTTCACCGGCCTTGTCGTCGTCTGCGTCGGTTACAGTTGATTCGTCGTTGTCATCATCCAATAATTCTGTATCAGCCCCAAATACTATCTTCGATTTCGGCTGATGTGTGCCATTGGCACGGAGGAATTTTAAGACCACCCACCTCAATGCTGTATTGTTTGAGGATATCGGCCAGTTTCTTGAGTTGGAAAGATGCACGGTCGTTCACCCAGTCAATCTCTTGACCGTTTATAATCACGATCAAACCATCTCGTGCCCTAGACAAACCTACGTTCAACCTGCGCTCTCGTCTGGGGGAATGTCAATTTACCGATGAGGGCGTCGACCGTGCCAACAGCAATGTTTGTCAGGTTATAAGCCTGCGCGAAAGAGTCCATCTGTATGGAAGCGAGTGCAGATAGGTAAATATGGTGTTGGCCAGCCCAGGGAGAGAGAGTTTAAGGCGACAGTGACGTCTCTTTTAAGTCTGAGGAGCTTTGGGCCGAGATTGAGAGCGGTGACCGTGAAGAAATGGTTGAGTTTGGATGATCTAAACTTGGTCGTTTTTGCGGCGGGACCGTTAGGATCCAGCCAGATAACGTTCTGTCTTTTCTTCCATTCCTTCTCGGCGAAGTTTCGGAAAGCTCGAGCATACTGCCGGACTTTAGGACCCGCGCGTTCCATAACGTTCGTGATCTGTCCTTGGTATACGAAACGATTGATAACGCCGGAGATCTCGGAAACCATGCGACTTTGCTCGGTTAGGCGGACAGCCGTGTAGGTAAGGTTATGGATAGCTCGTTAATGAAAGTAACCTCTTTAGAGGTGAACAGCTGAGGGGGTGCCACTTGGTGCTGGTCACCGCTGAAGATTGCGAATCGTATATTTGGTGCCGGGAGCCGGAAGATGGGGAGGTAATTTATGAGATTTTCGTGGTTCGCTTCGTCCATGATAATACTAGTGAGACTTATCGCGAGAGCACTTTCAACGAGCTTCGAGCGAGCCATATACACTATGCATGCGATGATATTTGCCTTGGACAAAATGTCAACCAGGATTTCTCGTTCCATGAGTGCGTATCTCTTACGTTGGTCGAGCGACATATCTTTGGTACCATAGCAGCTATTGAACTGTCTGCGGAACGCAGCGTATTACATTCCAGCATCTGCCGGAGTGTAGGCCGGGTCGTGGATGATACCTGTCTCCTGTAAAAGAGCTTCTCCAAGAGCGAAAGTGAGATCTTTGACACGTCGGTCGAAAATACTAAAGAACGTGTGCGCGCGTTCGATATCGAACAGTTTCCGAATGATCGATTCAATATTGCTCATCTCTATGATGTCTTCAGCCGATTCGATATCAGGGCGAGCATTCGCGTCTTTCTCGAGAGTTACCCGAATGTGGCGAGAGCGGATGCTTTTTTCAGCGGTATTGGAGTAGAGACGGATAAAACGCTTAGCTTTCGTTGCGGTGCCTTAGCTAACTATCAATTCATATATAGACCACGCACTTCTCACAAGTACATCGATAGCGTCGTTGCTACTGGCTGTCGAAAGAATGGGTCTAGAATTGGATGACTTGATAAATTGGTAGTTGAAATGACTCTTACCCGCGCCCGGGGCACCTTCGACTAGAAGAATGGCTCCTTTCGCGTCACGGGCCGCAGTCATACCCTGGGCTTGCTGGGTGTTAAGCCGCATGTATTGTTCAGGGTTGCGGACCTGGTCGCGGATGCCGGCGAACGTGTCCTGGCTCTTAATTTCGTATAAGTTATTGAAAGATATTACGCGTTTCCACAGCTCGTTCCAAGCAGTGTATACCTTATTCTTGGCCGCGAAATTGAGTCTTTCCAAGGAAACCGGGTTGCGCTTGTCTTGCCGGGTCGAGTCGATAATCTGGAACTTGACTAAGTGTGGCTTGACAGAACGAATCACTCGTCTGAAGTCGTATTCAGCGGCATCGTTAGTATTGGCGACGCGGATAAGGTAGTCATCAAAGGTCTCTGTTTCCTTATCCCATAGCTTAGTAAAGAAGACCGGAATACGGTCGGCTGAGCCATTCGGAACCAGCGGGGCAACACGGCATTTCCAAAAGTTCGCTGTATTCTGTTTTTCCTGGTGGACCAAAGCTCCTAGCCACTTCAGGTCTGAAGCTTTCTTCCTCCAAATGTTCAGCCGCCAAGGGTTCGAGATCTTGCCAATGGCCAGGGGAGTACATAATCTAGAGTCGTTTGGGATTGCCATGTCTCTTTACTGCGATGACGAGATCTCCGACTATTTGTACGCGTGGTCGAGTCAGAATACTACCTTCGAGAATAGCTGTAATGAAGCCGGCTTGGATAGTTCTACCGAAGTCTGCCGCCCATCTGGGCATCCCAGGTAGATCTTGTCTTGTGAGGCTTTAGCAGAATCGAACTTGACGGTAAAGAAGACGGCGACATTATCAGCACCAACGATACGCTGAACTTCGCTCTTTATGTTCTCTCTGCACTGCTTAGCGATATTTGGGTAGCTAGTCTTGAATTCGTCGTACGTGGTGGCGATATAGTGGTACTTCTGGACCGCTTCGAGATTGAGGTACGCTTTGACTTTAACGGCGCGAGGATTTGTATCGTTGAGAATTTCGTTCCATTCTCGGGCATCTTTGTCGATCCCGGGTTATCGATGTCCGCACGAGGGAGGAGGCCTTTGCGTGTCTTCGTTGGACACGAGTAGAGTACAATGCGGCAATGGGGTTCGATGACGGGGCTAAAGAAACCTCCGATTGGTTGAGTAGTGACACGACAGCCCTCCGGCCAGGAGAAAAAGGCTGCATTGTAAATGTCGGCGATAGAACCCTTCAGAAACACCTCATTGAAGTGGGTGACCATGGCCTTTTCGTCCTTGATCTGTATAAGCTTGTTGATCTCTTGGTAAGATCACGAGCGCGATGACTGATTCGGACGGCTTTATCTTCGATACTCGGTGCCCATTTCTCTTTCTTCTTTTCAGTCTCTTCCTCATCAATCTGGCGTGCGTCGATAAACTGGATAAGAGCATGCTTGAGCTGTTCCTTAGTGGCTCTCACAAAGTCAACTCCAACCCAGGTGCAGAGAGCTTTATGTCTTGCTTCGGACGCGAAGGCGAACGCGTCCAAGATGTCGTTCGGGTTCATTCGTCCATATAGTGCCAGGCGAGAGTCATACGGAAACATTCGTGTTCGACGGATCCCTGAGCTTGCCTTCGTACTTACGCACCGAGCGACGAGGAGGAGCTGGAAGAGGGATAGCGATGAGATTATGTACGAGGTCTGCATCCTCATACCCACAGCCACAACTTTGTACTAGGAACTCTTGTACAGAACTTCTAGAAAAGCCTAGCGTGAATCAAAAAGACCTGCGGGTGAAATGATTGGATGATTTGCTAGCACAGCCACAACTCTGTACTAGGATTTCTTGTACAGACTTCTAGAAAAGGCTAGCGCGAACCTTCCTTCAGGGAAGCCTATAGACCGTGAGATGCAGAACGGTGGAGCAGACGCACTTTCAAACGGTGCAATTGGCACTCGATTCTCTATGAAACAAGGCTCGAAACTTGATCTTAGCGTTAGCAGCTTCATATGGCATGGCTTCCTTCTAGCCAGCACCGCCTTTTCCAGTGGCTTTATCGAACTTGGATTCTTCAGATTCAGCGATGCCAACTTCAGCAAATTCACAGACGTCGTCATCAAAGCCTTCGTCGTCGAAGGCATCTTCGGCCTGCTCAGAGATGTCTCCAGTGAGCGCATTTTCGTCACCAGCGGGGACTTCACCAGCTTCAGCGACCTCCGGAGTAATAACTATGGCGGTAATAGCCTCAGTATCAACTTCGCCTTGCTGCCCGTCATCGTCGTCATCGAATAGATACTCATCTCCGGTGATCTGAGAGAGCATTTCGTCCATCTCAGGGGAGGGGTAGTCTAGCATGATATCGAGGGAGAGAACGCGAGTGTCAAGATTGACGAGAACAGAACGTAGAGACGAATAAGGATCGGTTCATAGTAAGATGGAAAGGTGAAATTTCAAAGACGAGAGAGATTCAAGTGGTCTTTCTCGAAATTTCATGCTGTTCCTTGACAGCATGGTTTCGAATTTTCGCAGGTCTCGTGGGTTCTGTTTTTGCGATCCTGGGCAGAATAAAGTACGTCATTCACCTGATAATGTACAAGTTGCCGTGAAAGTTGGTGTATCAACAGCGGCGTTCGACGAGAATGGGCCCGTGGGTTACCAAACAAGTCTCCCGAGAACGCGCAAGAGAGCAGTGGCGACCACCGCCCACGGGAATTCGTGGTTAAGTATGTGATGATGATATGATAATGAACATAAAGTAGGACCGGTCAATGGCGACGAGGTTCAGGGAGAGAGCGCGAGTCGAAGGTGTCAACAAGGTTAGGGACCTGTGAGCGCATCAAAACCATTGGCGGTGATCGGTAAGGAAACGATAAAATCCATGGTCTAAATCATGAAAGGGCTTCCAGGAGTCTCGATCGGCTACAGTTCACCGAAGGGTGGTTTGTTACTGGAGTTGGACACAGCGCAGACAGGGCATAAACTGTTGTAATCTGAGGCCATTTCTTTGAGTCCCGGTATGTAGAAATTCATACGTAAACGATCGATAACGCAAGAAATTGCTTATTTTCGTATATAGGAAGCCTTGAATCGATTCTGAAGCTCTCTCGCGTCGTGACCTGGCCATCCGGATGCGCTACCGTCTCCTTCATCCTGCGGCGAATGTCGGCATAGACAACGGTGGTCTCGGATCCAGGCGCAGTCCCAGGTGCAGACGCAGGCAGAAAGCAAGGACGCAGTTTTGAAACATCTGTCAGGGCTGTCCACATTCAGGTCAGCGAATATGTCTGACGTGAATTCATGCATGATATTCAGCGTGACGGCGGGTAAATCGATCCTCGGTAGACACGAGAGCGAGTCAGCATTTCGGTGCTCTTTGCCGGGTTTGTGGAGGATCTACATGCGCCCACGGAACTGTGAGAGGACGATTCGCCAGGCATTTAAGCGATTAGAACGACGACCCTTCAAAGATCCTTCATCTCTGAAAGCTTAAACCAAGGCTTGGTAGTCACAGATGACAGTGAAATCACCATGGTCGACGTATTGGGGGAGCTTTTACAGGGCCCAGATCAAGGCCGCCGTTTCAAGTTCGGTAGGCCAGTAGTTTTTCTCGGGGGGCGACAGGGTTCGGGACATGAATAGGATGGGGTGTCCCATACCTTTATCATCCTTCTGGTGAATAGCGACGGCAAAACCCATCTCTTCACTGCCGTCGACGAACAGAATAAAACCGCCGCGTTTGAAATCGGGGTAGGCCAACACCGGAGCGCTGACCATCAGGCGTTTGAGCAGCTCAAAAGCTTCTCTGGTGGCCTTGATTTCCTCAGGCGTAGCAAACTCGTGAATGCTCCTTTTAGACGTGTAGTCGCGACGGGCATTTGCTTGCGCGGGACTACCCTTACGACCTTTGGTCTTCAGGTGTTGTAAAGCCAGACGAAGGGTCGATAGTAACCGAAGAGACCGCGGCTTGTTTCGAGTAGCTGTACACCCTCTGGAAACTGTAGGGCAATCATGGCTGTGGCTTGACCGTGGAGCCTTGGGTGAGTTCCTGCCACTGTCCGCTTCTCTTCGTCCGTGCTGGCGGAAACTTACTGGTGGCACTCAGGCAACGCGGCTCTGATGAACATCAAAACCGACCTTAACCTCTCCGGAGCCCGATATAGCCTCGCTGTCAGCATGTTCTTCGTGGGCATCTGCGTGGACCAACCACTCTGGGATTCGTTCTGTGAGGTGGTGGCTGGCGGCTGGCCGGCGGCAAGGAAATGACCAGAGAACATCCGAAGACGCCTAAAGAAAGCCGATAGGAAGACAGGATTTGGGCGTCGGAGGCCAACACGCGGCCAGGCGGCCAGCAAACAGAATGCTTGCTGGCCAGGACCGGTGCGTACCAGCCTAACCAAGAGGGCACAAGAGGCTCCAAATTACCAGGTTTATACGCCAATTGTCCATCTATTATTACACCGGACCCTCGTCGATCAGACTATCTAAGCAACCGACAAATCTCCCTTGCCGCCTCTTACAGCACTCATGCTGCCGAGAAGCCTCCACCATGGTAGGCGAACCAATTGCAAACACAAGGACCTCAAGATAGAAACACTGCCTGCTCGAGCAAAATCCACAGCCAGAATAGCAACCATCCTATCCCTGGTCGATATATCAGTCCACTTTACAAGTTGATATAATGCGGCGGCTGGTCTCGACAGTGGCCACTGACTTCGTGTGTTCCTCATATACAGTGTGTCCTCTCATTCTCCCCAAGCTCATTCCAGCAACTCATTAATCAATCAGTGTGAATCTTTTCCTTCAAGAGCAGCTCCTTCGTCCGGCATCCCCCCATCGCTCATTGCAGGTAAGACAGACTGACGACTCACGAGAATCAACTACGGCTACGAGCCCTAACGTTGCTGCTACTGCACGCGCTGCTCATCTGGCTGTTTGTCCATCAACACGTAATTGTTGCCTCTGTTCTGCTCTACTAATGGCTCCGTCGAAATGGATAATAAGAATAATTCGACCTCTCCCTATCGCCGAGTTCCTCTTTCTCTCATTGTTCGTCTTCCTTTTCTCTTCGCCCGCCTATTAGCTCCTAGTAGCGGCGGCGGGTGCGGCTGTCTTGTTTTTGGGGGGTTCGGCAGCCCTGGGCAGCTTAACCATTCCTTACCTAGGTGCCTATTGTCCCCCCTACCCTTAGGTGCACGAGCCCCCTTTCTGTTCTGCACCCTCTTCCCCGAGCCCACTATGCCCCTTCTTCCCTGTCTGGCCCTCTCCACTGCACCGGGAACTGGGTCTGGTATCGGAGCCCGGCGCCCAGAACTTGACGCCTACAGAGGGACCCTGAACTAGGTGCGACGCTCCCAAACCTTTTCTAGGGCATTTCGTGGCTTTCGTCCATTTCCCCTTGCTCTCTCCCTCCCAGATAAAAAGTCACCCGCCCGCTTCCAACATTCCAAACCTCGCACCACCACCAAATAACCAACGCGACCGTCTTCCATATCGCGTGTCAGAGAGCTTTGGGGTGGGATCGTTAGACGAAGAGTCAGAGGGTTGAACACGTATCTTGATTGTATAGCTGTCCTTGAGACATCGACTTCTCGCACTGTTGAGGGCTTCTCCAGCAGTGCGAGAATAGAGGTCCTATTTATCTCTTTCTGTGTGTGTCTCGTGGGGGCCGTTGGCCCCATGGGGGCCATTCGCCTGATGGGGGCCACTCGCCCCATGGGGTGTTGTCGGCCGGGAAGCCTGGGTGACATATAGTATCCCACGTCTTCAGCATGCAGTCTTTGTATCTTTTCGAGCCCTACGTCGACGCCGTGATACAAATTTTTCTACAGAAAATGGACGAATTTACGAGAACTCAGTAACGCTTTGACATTTGTTTCTAGTTCGAGCTCTTCACTATGGACCTAATAGGCGAACTTACCTTTGGTCAAAATTTCGGCGCTATCTAGGGTAGGCAGCGGGTTAAATATCCCAAGCTCGTCGAACTTGGAGTATGCCAGACAGGCACTGGAGAGGGAGGTTCTTCCGCCTGGCTCAGGCTGCGTGAGGTACAGGGTCATATGAGACTCGAAGGACCCCAGAGAGTCATGACTATGTACGATACAATATCTGTTATCGCAAATGGGGACTGAAAATGGAGAAGAACATGCCCTGCCTGTATGGTGCTTCGCTGCCCTTGATCCCATGTCGTTTTCCCGCAGCAGGCTATAGAGCCATCGGTCCCGCTCAACGGTACGTAGCTCGAGATCATGGTTGTGTATGTACATATCGCTATGATCCCAGCGTGTCGCCGTTCTGCTTGCTTGTTCGCCGCCGATATAACATGGCACAGCACGGCATGGACAGACTGGAGTTTCGTCTTTCCTTCCTTCCTCTCTATCAACCCATCGTGGAACCTTGTGGGAGGAGTCCGTACGGTGTCCATTACGAACTCTATCGAGCGGAGGAAGGCGCTGAATTGCTGACCGATGCGCCGGGTTCTGAACGGTCCTCTACGTCGTCGTCGTCGTCGTCAGGTATCGCTAGGGAAGCTCGAGCCAGAGCCAGAGCCAGAGCCAAACAAGTGGAATCCCAAAGGAAGGAAGGGAGGGAGGGAGGGAGGAAGAAGGATACGGAGCTCGCTTCCCGTTCGGTGGCCTGTGGCAGTACCCGCACCTCCACCGACATCATTAAGCAGCAAGTTCGAAGTCCTCGAGATGTTGGAAAGGTTAACGCCAGCCAAAAAGGTTTAGCGGTGGAATAGGTAAACGTATACCCACATGTAAAAATGTTTAGGGTTGGAAGAGTAGGAGGTGTACCCAAATCGAAAAAGGTTTAGAGATGGAAGAGTGAAAGGTGAACAAATATTTAGGGGTGGAAGAGTTGGAAGTACACCTAAACGAATAGTGTTTAGGGGTGTGGAAGAGTGGGAAGTGCACCTCAACCGAAAAATATTAGGGGTGGAAGAGAGAAGGGTGAAAAATGTTTAGAGGTGGAAGAGTAGGGAGTGAACAATACTTAGGGGTGGAAGGGTGGGGAGTGCGCCTAAACGAAAAATGTTTAGGGGTGGAAGAGTGGGAGAAGTACCTAAACCGAAAAATAGCTCGCCCTAGACCAGCTCCTCGAGAGCACTGGGCACCCCCACCGCGGCAGCCCATCCGTTTCCCACAACGACTTGTACCCAGCCACCGTCTACTCCCACTTCCCAACTCCGGAGAGCAGGCTCTAGGAAGTCTCCATCGGAGACCTCGATCTGTCGCGAGAGTCCGTCGACGAGAGCGTGCTGGAGGTGATCGGAAACCCTCCAAGGGTCGATTGGGAAATCCTAACATAGTTAGACAAGAGGAAGAACAGGCCCGACGAGTGTACCAAAGTCTGAGGCACGCCGGCATCGCTGCTCCTGAATATCTTGTACCACCGCCCGCACCACGCACTATGTACTGTAGATTCAGTATATGATCGAAGACCTTAAGAATACCCACTCCATGATGATTGCACTGCAGCCGAATCGCGATCAGCCTCCCACCACCGCGGCACGACCCTGCAGATCCTGGCTGTCGAGAGGCTTACCTTCGGCCTGCACGTGCCGTCGATCATGGACACCGGGGGGAAGACGTCCAGCGGGCGTAACTACAACTCTGACGACCACCACATGGTCCACCAGCTGGTTGTCCCGGAGGCCGATCGCACCGGTATGGCCCGCACTAAGGATACTGCTGCCGCCATCGTCGCCTGGCACGACCCAGGCCTGTACTTCGACGTGGAGTGGAGAGAGGCGCTCGAGGCAGGACCAGTTGACTCTGCGTGCACCGGCACTGGTGCCACCGCCGCAGCCGTTGCTGTCAACCACGGAGACGCCTCTATGTTGAGAGACTCGAGGAGGACAAGAGCAAGCTTGGCGAAGATACGCAGACATACTACATCTCCAGGGATCGGGATCGGTCGGACTCGCCATTGAGCTCTTGCAGCTGCAGAAATTCATTGGCAGAACCGAGCCAGATGTCAAGACGTAAATCATGTGCCATCAACTTGCGGCAGTGATTCGCACCTGTGGCCGCGTACAAGATTGTGAGAAGATGAATGTTTCCAAAGCGGTTGTAAGTGCAATCGTGGTAGCTTTCAACGTCACAATAGTAGCTTAAAATACGCTGTAGGGCAGCGTTTTCACCGCGTGACTCCCTAAGGCGACCTGCTCAGCATGGCGAAAAGACTGAAGGTGAAAAAAGACGGGCACTGGGCATTGGTACTGGCCTTGGGCATTGGGCATTGAAAATTGGGCATTTGGCACTGGATAGTAGTATTGGGCATTGGGCATTATATAATGGCACGGGGCATTGGGTATTGGGCCTTGGGCATTGGGCATTGAGCATTGAGTATTGGGCTTTGGGCATTGAGTATTGGGTACTATATACTGGCAATGGGCATTCGGCTTTGGACATTTGGCATCGGGCTTTGGGCTTTGGATACTGGGCATGGGGCATTGAGCTTTGAGCATTTGGCACTAGATAGTAGCACTGGGCATTGGATATTGGGCATTGGGCACTGGGTACTATATACTGGCACTGGGCATTGGGCAAGGTTAAGTTGCACGTGACGTTAGAAAAAGTTAGCCGATCGGATTTTGATATTCTTCCACACCAATCAAATCCGCGGCTTCTTTGACAAGGTTGCCTGTAATACTGTTTTCGCGTCGCTCAATAGGATCAATGCAAATAGACCATGCCATTCCACAAACTTATTGATGGTCGTCAGCTGACTTCTTGGCTCAGCCAAGGCATACAGCTCCGAGCACGGGGCGTCCGCGACGAGCTGCTGGCCCTCGCCACAATCAGGTCCAGCCAGCGGAAGTCCGTTCCTGGGAATGGAACATCCAAGTCGAACAGAACTCGCTGCATGATAGCAGCATTGTCGTCGTGTTCAGGGCCAAGGAATGGTGACCAGAGTATATCTTGTTTCGGGAAGTTGTGTTTCTGCCGCTCGATGACCGAAACGAGGTCTAGGGAATGGCATCTTTGGCATACATCTCTTGTCAGAAGGAGCATCCCTTGGTGGTAATCGTGATTGAAGAGATCGAACTCTTTTCCAGAACGCCAGGTTTCTTCTGGAACTATCGCAGGCTCTGCTCGGCTGTTATCGAGTGGATCTGTTTTCACCAAACTGGTCAACAGTTCATCTACCGCAAATCTGACTTGTTTGTTCACTTATGGGCTTCAGTCCAAGCCTCACTGGCGGCAAGAGCATCTGTGAAGCCACACACCGTACTCAACAAAGAGTACAAAAAGCTCCGGTCTGGCGTGAATTCTACTTGTCTCAAATCCTCTGAAAAGCGTCGCCAGCGACTTGTTCGGCTTCACGACGGCAATATCGTCGGGGTGTTGCTGGACTCTGGCTTCAACAGAACTGGCCTGCAGTTATCGGTGACGCGGAAGCCGCGCAAAGGCGAGGATGATGAGGATGTAACGACAGCACGGCAACTATGGGAGCAACTCCTGGTAAGGTGGGGAATAGCAGTCATGTTTTATCAATGGTCGTCTAATTCCCATACCTGGCACGCAGGTCGTCTCTTGCTTAGCTCCCCCCTCCCGAAGGGATGTGTATGGGGTACTGTATGTCTGGCATCTCTTATTGAATAGCCGTTAGGATATGAGAGCCATCATCCCCACGAGCTCTTATCAAGGTCTTGAAGAAATGTCTCTTGCTGCAAGAGACCCGTACAAGTACATCGGGATATTTCGCCAAACCAGGAATGCGACTCTTGAGTGAAAAGATTAGGCCGAGTTCGTCTTGACCAAAGTGTCTCGTCGATGAGGTTTCATCCTGGGACACCGTCGACGACGAAGTAGACTTCATCGACCTACAATGGCGGCAGGGTCGGTGTAAGGCTGAGCATGCCAAAATCTGGTTCTCTGGACTGAGCAGCAAGGGTTTCATCGTGAGCTTTTGCTCTCCTGGAGGCGGCCTCTGCTTTCTTCTCGGCGGATGCTCGCTGGGTGGCAGGGCCTTCCTCTTCTGAGGATGAGTCTTCTGAATCTGTGTCGGACCCGATGGGCATCTGCCTTCGCGGAGGCCTCAAATCTCGTGTGGGCAGGCTCGCGGACATGGACACTGCCGTGTGCACACTGGGGCTGTTGTTGGCTTAGGAGCACAGACAGACGTGCTTGCGATAAGTGAAAGAGCTTCCAGCGTCTTCCCAAGACCCATGACATCTGCAAGAAGACCACCCGATGAGAAACAAGCTCACAGGAGAGCTATCAACGAGACCTCCGAGCCCAGTTCTTTGCTTCAGACTGTTTAAAGGTGCCTGATGCATTCTTCACATTCCACGTACCCTGTCCAGCAACGATGTTGATGCTGACCAGACCAAGCTACCGACGTGGCCATTCGAGAACCTTGTGATTCGTGGGTACACATCCGCCGACTTCTGTTGCTTTTACCAGCACGAGCATCTCGGGCGTATGCAGAAGAATACGGTTCGAGCCCTTCTTGCACTAGAGCAACCAATTAGGCGCATTCCGTGTCCGAGGGGAGCAGGTGGGCTCAGAACTTCTGTGGGTAATTGGGGGCTCGAGGAAGCGCTGCGCCTGCGGCTCTCCATTACCACGTAGGGCCTCTCCCAAGCCTCGGAAGTCCCTCATGGGCAAACCCGCCCTCGCCGCTTCTCAATCTGAAGATTTGACTCGAACCAGAATAGTGACTTTTGTGTCTTTTGCACCTGTCCCTGGATCGAGTGCAGAGAGGTGTCTGTTCAAGTCATCACAGTACTGGTATCCACAGCATCCAGTCCGACGTTCTCGCCCGAGTTGTCGACCTTTGATTGGAATCGGCCAGGATCCCCACATTGACAGAAAACTTGACGACCGGAGAGTGACCATCCGGAGGAGCGTGTTCACCTCCTGAGACCAACTTCAACCTCAACACAGAGGACAGTGTGATGGCGTTGACCACGTGTCGCAGACATGCCACAAAGACGATATGGAGCCAGGCAGCGAAAGGGCACTATGCGAACAACGCAAAGTATACATTGTGTCCTTGGTGTTCACGGGGCTCAGAGCCACCATTTCACTGGCACCAACTCCCACGAGGGCAAGGATTTTCTGAAGATAGTGCACAGCGCTCAGCACGTTGGAGTGAGGTGTTCAGAACGTGTACCCCTCCCATAGCTCGCATTTCTTGGCTGCTGCTGCATGTGATTGACGTGCCTCGCGAAGACGTCGAGATCAAGAATTCCATGGGACGAGACGGCATCGTGGAAGACTGGGATGCGGCCGAAGCGCTATGGAAGTTTTGTTTCGCGCACAAGCTGGCTGGAGTGCGCCCGGATCGTGCGCTGTGTCTTTCGCTCATCAGGGTTTAGGTGGCCAGGGGCCCAGCACTTGTTGGCCAGCCGACAGAGGCTGCTCTGTATGTAAATCTCATGTCTAGCGAAATTTTGGTGACAGGAGGATCGGAGGGCGAGGTGGATGGTCTGATGCCAGCAGTTTGGAAACTGTATGAGTGAGCGGGCGCTTGAGTCTCCTGCGGGCAACCCATTCCTGCAAGTCACTGATTCAAAAAAAAAAGTAGTAAACTATTCTGCTGGGAATCGAACCATGCTCCTCTATGTGAATCATGAGCAAAAAAATTCAGATCCCACCGCGGTCCGATGCCACCTCTACCCCTCCTCTCGATGATATGGCGAGACCCCCTGCTACCGGAGATATATATGCGAGACCCCCCGCTACCGGAGATATATATATATATATATATTTATTTACTAGGTGTTCACTTGCTGCGCCCACCCCCATGATGGGGGCGGGCACAGCAAGTGAACACCAGTATTCTCCATTGGCAACAGCAAGCCATACCATCGATATGAGGAGGGGGAGGCCCCTCCCACCAACCCGATAGAACATGAACTCTTGTCCCAAATCTCAACTTCAAAGTGTAGCCTCGGGGTCTCGAACTGTTGCACTTGCTTTTGAATTGAGAAATGTTGGAGGAATTTCGGGGTTTCAAAATATATTTGAGTGGGCTACTCCGCACGAGGCTAGGCGGATTTTTTATCTATTATGCGGTTGCCGCCACCACAAGTTAAATTCCTTAGTCTTAGGATTTCATACCACAAACTGCACCCTGACTGATAGTCATTCGTTCTGTTCCAGGTTACGCCGTGATACCCACCTGAACACCTAAGTTATTCATTCAATTTACTCATTCCTCTTCTCTTCTCGTCTCTTCGGGCTGACCGTGCATCAGAACAGAATACAACAGAGGTCGGGCTGCCTCCGCGCTCGCCGTTACACGTCACTATACATGTCTGCCACCCATGACGCAAGCAGGCAGGACGAGAGCGACTGCTGCTGCCCACGCTGTGCCGCCGACGATCGATCAGATCTGATCCGAGCACAGCCGACAGACTGCGGACGGACGGACGCGATACCTCCTACCGAGCGAGCGAGCAGTAAGAGAAAGACAGACAGACAAACTGCGGATGAACGGATGGATGCATGCATGCTCTCCCTCCCACCCATCCTGAAAAATCAAGATCAGTGCTACAGACGCTGCGTGGAAGACGTCCAAAGTCGTCCCGAACAAAGCCACGTCGGCGTTGTCGTTTGATGACGGCGTGCTGGGCGTCGGGGCAGGGATCGCGGATCAGTCTGTCGGCGTGATATCGTCGCCCAGCAACATGAACACATCCCACACCCTCAACTGCGCCAGAAAGGGGATGGCATGGTTGAACAGAACGTGGTCGAGGAGGAGGACACGGCGCCGAGGCTGCGCATGATGAACCAGTCGTTGAGCCGACACGACACGGTTGAGAAAGCCATGAAGCATGGGAGCGGACGGAATACGTGGGCAGCAGGCCTTCAGAAGCTACTGTTGGAGCGCCACGGGGGTGACCAACGAGAAAGGACCATGGACCGGTGACAGCGGCAGTGACATCGAGGCCGCGTTCCGCCAGTATGCGCGCGAGAAGTTCGGCCACCCGGACGTGGTGCCTCAGGTCACTGAGCTCATCGACGCGGAAGTGGCAAACTGGAAGAGCGTGTCCAGTCGCAGAGCACTGACAACGGGCACACTGGGGAGAGCCAGGTTAGATATCGGCGTTGTAACAGAGGCTTGAGAAACATACCATGCTGAGATATCACCTCGTGCCGTACGCCGTGGGCCCGATGTTCAGCGACTCCAATTGCCTCGCCTCTTTCCCTTGGCTCTCCTCGTTAACGGCACAAAGCTTCTTCAAGCGAATGAGCTCCCAAAGGCTACAAGCATAAAGATTGAGGAGACCTCTCGGCACAAGAACAATACAGCCGCCAACGCCCATCCCAGACGGGGATGTGGATGAAGATGCTCGGATTCTTGCGTCGAGCAGACAACGTCCCTTGCATGCGATGCGTAGAAGCCATCGTCCCACGCCATCCATCACGACCGAGGATAACTCAATAGGCACCAGACACCGCCGATGCCGCATCTCCCGATTTTGTCTCGCAATATTGCGGTGACATTCAGCTCGTCAATGGAGCCACCTGGAGCCATGGGCCAATCTCCTGCATCTCGGAGATCACGTGTAAATGGCACGTGACAAGGCAAAAACAGGTCCGCGACAGTGAAAGTGAAAGGGTTGATGGGAAATCCGAGGGCTGACTGGGCGGGCCTACACTGAGACCGTCTGGCTTTCCGGTCTTTGCCGAGGGGAAGCGCAAAAGAGGACGGACAAGTCATGTCGGCGGGAAAAAATCGGGTGCACAACGAAAACTCACGTGAACCCACGTGATATCAGTCCGACCGCTGCCACACAGTATGGCTGCTCTCTCGAAGTTTCGCAACATCAACAACTCTCTTGCTCTCCGAGAACCTTGTATCTACGTGGAACCGGCTCTCTACGCGCTGAAGTATCCCAGAATATGCCTCGAGGCTTGAAATTCACTTGGCAGCAACAGATGGCAGGCTCGCCGTCGCCGAACTTCTACCTTCGGGCACCACCTTTGTCACCAATACAAGGTCATTGATCGTCAAAGCGACCGTACAGCGGCCGTCCGTGCTGTGGATAGTCTACACCATCGCTGACATACTGTTCTGGGACCGCTGGCTGGTTTCCGACGTGAGCTAGGCGATGCCAAGCCTATCCAGCTCCCTCATCGTGCAAGCTGCGACGATGAGGTTCGAGAAGTCTTACCGGTTTTGGCCGTTCTGAGGCTTATGGGGGCTATCTCGAAGCCACCAGGCCCGAGATGACGCTCAGATACTTGCTAATTCCTTGGCAAACGCTCGTCGCCGCTGCCGAAGGTTCGCCGCTCCAAAACCTGACGTCGACGACCCCCTGTCAACGCCACGAATCTTTCATCTTTCCATACCATACTTTTTGAGCTCCGAGACCGTCCTATTATAGATCTCGGCAGCTAAAAATCTTCGACTCAAGCCTTCGAATGACTACAAACGAGGCCAAAAGCAAATATCGGCCGATATTCCGAGCGGATATCTCAAATTCTCCCGCTATCGCAGGCCAGGAGTGCTAGAATTCTACACTACCAACGGAGGGCTCGGCGAGACGTATCGAATGATACCATTTGAGACACTCTAGAGCTTGAATTGCGCGAATGCGAGACTCAAAACGGATCTCCCATACAAATTTGGGGCCAAAAGTTGGAAATTTCGAAAATTTCAAAACTGGTCAAAGCCACTCAAGAATAGTCCCAGAAGAAAGAGCGGCTTGCGAACTGTACGGAGCTGTGCTTTGGAACCGTACACGACGCGTATTACTCGCGCTAGAGCGGGTTTTGTCGACGAAAAGTGCGATTTTCGTCGTCGGCGCGACGCTGGCGTATCGCCATATTAGTTCCAGAGGACATATAACATATTGTCGGAGGATATTTGGCACTGGCCGAGACTCGGGGTCGGTTTGTTTCTTGCAGAAACCTCTTCAGGCGGGAATGGTCGCCCTCTGTCGAACCCCTATCTCGCGACTTTTGCTCGACAACACGCTGGAACATCACCACATCAGTTCTAAAGCTCATCCAACATATTACTGGAAAGTTCCCGAGCAATAACCAGAGAGCCTCCAAACCTATATAGCTCAAAACCCTGAAAAGAACCTATCCTCGGGGAGAAAACCGTCGGAAACGGCCGAATTTATGTGTCAATTTTGGACATCGGAGCTCGAACCCCATCCAAAATTACAACCACTGTTACTCACGACTTCTCGCGTAACAGATAGCTAGAGAAAAGGAAGACGATCTTCAGCAGATATATATAACGGAAGAAGATATGAGATTACGCGGACGGTATCGTTTTCAGCGCCCTATCAAAACGGTCCCAACAAAAAAAGGGTTTTTCGCGTTCACACGATGCCCTACGCTGATATTATGGACCAGAGCGAACCGAGCTCTGTGGCCAGCCTGACGGCATTCTCCTGAGTATATTTATGAAGGTCTCAGTCATGATACAGACGATACACGGCCGTCGACGCTGACAAATCCGGCCGGAGCGGACGACGTGATTATCCACCGACCACGTCTCGGATGCGGAAATCAAGCATATCAATGAGCTCTCCCATTCCGTCGCTCCGTCGGACATCTATCAGAATACGAATCGGACGCGAATTGACAAAGTTGATATTTTTGCCACCTCGCCGACGTGGGGGCCAAGACTTATCCACCGAATTTTGACTCCGGAATAGCGCCATCGTCACCGGCGTGTCGCAAAACGCACAGAACCATCTGAAATACTGCGCTCCGGGGCGTGGTGCGGGCGTGGGAGTGGAATTTGTCGCCCCGGGGGTCCCCCCCGGCACCGGGGTATATTTCCGCCAATTGGCACGTGGGGACGGTCTAAGACGCCGTATCATGACGGGCGTGACTCAAAGTAAACGGAACTATACGCGAAATTGCTCTCCGGGATGTGGTGCGGGCGTGGGAGTGGGTTTTGTCGTCCCGAGCACCCCCTCCGCGGGCACCCGGACGGGTTTCGACCGGTTAGCATGGGAGGACGTGCGCAGAACACTGTGAACGAGGATGACGAGCGCGGGAAGAGCATGGGGGGACATGCAGGAAGTGCCTAGATGGCCGGTAGACTTGGGAAAACAAGGGGGGGGGTGGTCGAGGAGGTTTCTCTCCCGCCTCATATATCCGAGTCCTGTACGGCTTAGGGAACTTATCCATGGGCAAGCACGAGTGGAGGGATGTCGTCTGTGAATGCCACAGCAGACGGAGCGTGCAGTTGGTCTTGAGTCGGAGCCAACTCGGTGTGGACGGGTGGATAGGACACACGCCAGAGCATAGGTATGCGGTATTCCGGTGAGCTACACTCGAGAGAGTACGACCCGCTAATACAGGGTGTGCTCGGGAGAACCCATCAAGAGCAGAAATTTCCATGCGGCACGATCCGTCGAAGTTTGAGCGGAGTGGAGCGAAGAGAGAAGAGAAGAGAGTAAGGGAGCGAGGACAGCAAGGCAGGGCAAGACATGGCAGGCCTGGCCTCACGTGCCGGCCGGAGCAGGGAGGGGAGGGGAGTAGAGAGGGCGAATGTACGTCGTCTCCCGTCACCCATGAACGAACGGAACTCAGTCGGCCATCGCTAGCAGCGGCAGCGGCAGCAGATGCGAAAGCAGATGCAGACAGAAGCATGAACATTAGCACCAGTACCAGCACCAGCACAAGCAAGCTAGCCAGCAAACAAGCCAGTAGTGAACATGACCACAAGAATATGGACATGAACAAGGACAACAGGGGCGGGCACGAGCGAGCTACAGCGGAGGGGAGCGGAGATGAGGCGAGACAAGAGAGCAAGCAAGCCAAACCAAGACAAGATAAGGCCCTCGCGTATATGCCGGCCGGCCACGCCGGAGAAGGGAGGCGTCAGTAAGTGAGTGAGTGAGAGAACATGCGTCTACTTCCCATCCAACGAGCGAACGAACGAACGAACGAACGAACGAACGGGACTTCTCCGTCGTCCTCGCCGTTATCACAGTTATCGTCAGCAGCGGCATTGGCATCGGTAGCAGAAGCAGAAGCAGAAGCAGAAGCAGAAGCAGAAGCAGCAGATGAAATTGCAGAAGTAGCAGTGGATACAGATGCAGCGTCAGAAAAGCCAGCCAGCAACGGAATGGAATAAAATGGGCCATGATATGACATGCTAAGACGAACACGAACAAGGACAAGGATAAGGACGGGGAGGAGTGAGTGAGTGATTGATTGAGTTCGTCTATCTTCTTTCCACCAACGAACGAGCGGCACTTCTCCACCGCTCCATCACAGTCATCGGCAACGGCAACGGCAGCAGCACCAGCATCAGCACCAGCACAAGGACCAGCATGAGCATCGGCATGGGCAGAAGTAACAGCAGCACCACCGGCACCTGCAGAAGCAGATACAGATATACCACCACCACCACCACCACCACCACCAAGCCAGCCAGCAGTGGAATGGACATGACAACACGAACAAGAACAAGAACACGGACCAGGATCAAGACCAGGACAAGCTCGGGTGGGTGCCACGACACGCCACGACACGAGCGAGTTTGAGCGGAGCGGAGCAGAGCAGAGCGGGTTGAGGGAGCAAGGAGACAGGGGAGAGCAAGGAAGCCAAGGGGAGTGAGGAAAGCTCCCAGTTAAGCAGACAAGTCGTGTTCTTTGTTTCATTTACTAATCGAGCCATAACAGGTTGCACCTGTGATATTCCGAGTCATGTGTATACCCACCATTTTGCTCTTAACGTGAGTTATGTATCTCTCTCAACGCCCTTTGAGCTGAGTTTCACCTTTAAATTCACAGCCCAACTGGCCTCGCTTCTTCTCTTCCTCGCCTGATATGTGGAAATATCTCGACAAGGTTTGCGAAACTTCGAGCGAGGAGAAGCCCGTGACGATCGTCTTCCTGCTCACCTATGGAGGCGGATTGGTTGGATGTGATCAGAGAAACCACGGCCTAGCCATCAAGCGGGTACAAGTGACGACTTTGGCAACGAGGGCGACGGTCCCGAGACTTTGCGATCACTCGCTGCAGGCCCCGAAGCGAGCATCAACGACGAAGCTGCCAATAGCGGAGACAGAGCCTCCACCGCGATCATTCTGAAAGACACAATGACCGACCATTCCAGACCGCAATAACGAGAGAAAGTGTCTTCGGTAATGTTCCCATCAGAAGATAACACTGGCCATTCCAGGAGTCCATTTCATCAGGAAGCCAGAATCTAGACTCCTATTCTGGCGAGTGGTCGGTGGATGGCAAAGGAGAGTAGGAGCAGGTTGGTGAATCTGTGCTGACCTGAGTTTCCAAGCGCCCCGGGGATTTATGAGTCGCCACGCGTTTATCGTCGCTGTGTTTCAGTGCGCGGAGGGAGAGCTCGGCCAGGAGAATAAGGGCTTTGGAGCTGAGGACTCATCCTTAGCAAAACGAATGTGGCAGGCGATGAGCCCTTCGCACTTTCGACCAGTCTCGGTACATCTCCTGCAATATGGCTGTGATTCGTCACACTTTATCCTACCTGAACCCAGGAAGTGCTGGATCGCGGCGACATTGTCGCTGCCACGACTCCATCTCGCAGCAAGCCAAACTTACCAGATTTGGTTTTTGCCTTCATTTCTAGGCTCAAGCTCTCCAAAGCATTTCGCACGTTCTCTGTTAACAAGGTCTTCTGCAGATGTAAGGCATGGATGACTTTTTTAACATGTTTTCTCCGCCGGAGAAAGTCAGAACTAGTCCATCCCGCTGCATGAGGCTTGTCGTAATTAGACGTGCTCTGGGCATTGAACAATTTGCTCACATAGTAAGTATCGTATCCAGCTTCTGGGAGCCAAGTAGCTAAATAAGCATCGTTGAATTCCATTTCCTTTTTCCTCATATCATAAATAATATGTCTGTCTGTCTCCCCTCGTGTTTGTGAAGACGAGGATGAATCGACACTTATCAAAAGCGAAGACATCAAGCGGCATGTTCTTCCACCCACTATTCCAGTCTCAACGGAGGTTGCCATCACCGCCGCTTTTGGAGGTGCGCTTTCCTTCGCCCACAGGCATCCGAGAACACGAACCCTCCAAATATCGAAGTGGTTTTCGCCCTTTTCGTTTTATGACCGAACTTCTAACAATGGGAATAGAAGAGACCAGCCCAAAACAGAACAGCTCCAGGGGGTTTTTCTTTCGCTGACACCTGCGACTTACCGACAAAGCTCGCATAAAGGATCATCTGCTCGCTCTGAATGCATCATTGTCAGAGCAAGGAGTAGCCACTGATCAGCAGGGTAGGTGCACCGAAACATTTCAGGGGTCGCTGGAACAATATCTTTGCTGCAGACGATCGGAGCTGAAAGGATGAAAGAGAAAGTCTCAACTCGTCCATATTTCAGAATGCTACCTGGGAAGATTGGGAACGATGGCACCGGCGGAACGAGAAACCCAAAGACGCTCAAATCACATACCTCCACCCCAATGCATTCGCATCCATTGCCATCTTCCTAGCAGTCATCGCAGGAGTCCTTCAGGCCGCAAGAGCGGGCAATTCACCGGATCAATTGAAGAGCGAGCACAGGTCTTCGCCGCGGAAACCAATCGATTTCTCTGCCAGCTCTTGAAGGGAGAGGGAAAGGGAGAAGCACCAGAGTCGCCCATTGTTCCTGGAGGTGCTGATAAGCCTGATTGAGTACGGAGGCATGCTGCCAGTGTGATTATCCCACAATCCCACATACGAGGTTGAAGAGAATTTTTATCCGTCCCTCTCTGAAGCCTCCACTAGGTTGATATCGCGCCTGAGCGATTGTCCATAAATAAAATAGACTGTGCCGCGTAAACACCTCAAGACGCTAGCGAAGCTCTCAATTACCTGGGGGCGTGTTCGGCACCAGGAACGTTGCCATCGCCGTGCAAAGTGTATAGCTAATAGGTATGTTTTGCTGACAGTCACAGAGACCTGTGCTCGACTAACTGCGACGAATGACTACCGAGTCCGGGGGAGCACCAAGGAACCCACTGGGTCTTACCACGCCGACTTTGACCGCGAGTCTGACCAGGGTCTGTAACACCAGTAGTTCCACCTTTTATAACCAACGCCACCAGGACCTTCAATGGCCAAGGATTCAGTGGGGGAGAGGTTTCAGATGGGCAAGAGGCGATTAAGTGGCCTATAAACCGGTCAGTTTCGTGGCTCCACAACTTGGCTCACAGAGATTTTTTTGAGAGAGGCTTTTCACAGAGGAATGGATATTGCTAGGCAAACAGATTGCGACAGTTTGATGAAGGTTTGATAAGGTTTTGGTAGATTTGTTGATGAAGTTGTCGATGAAGGTGTTGACGAAAACTGAGATGGCAGTGGCGGAGATAGCAATTGAAATTAGGAGCGGAATAACTATGATCCGCAGGAGTCACGTGTTTTGTGCTTTCCGCAGCCAATCGATAAGCTCCGATAAGGCGGACAAACTAAACTGCGCCCTTTGTCAGTTTTGCCGGTAATACTAGCTCAGCTACGCTTCGCTAGATGAGCTCTTCCCTCGAGCAGTCTGCAACCCTTTCTTCCTCCACTTAGAGAGCCACGACGACGCAATAGTCATGATCACTGCGAACAGCTGAATTGAAACAACGGATTAGCATGCCCGGAGTTTCGTCCTTCAAGGCGCCTACCTAAGGCGCCTCCTCGAATCTGCGATCCTTATGAGCATGACTGCCCCTCCATCCGTTACTCAGAGACACAATCAGTATGGACTGAGGGTCTCTCGGGGAACGGCGTTTATGTATCCATGCCGCGTAAGCCCTCCAACGCCCCCAGCGGACAGACGGCTTGATAGATCTAATGCTGATGCCAGGACTGTCACTGAACCCCATCATTCCCACGATCATGTCGAAGACCATCACACCTCGAGCGAAATATTGCCGCTGTCGTCAACAGCTGCACTTCCAGCACGCTCAATACATCCAGTTACATCCTGACTGGCATGTATGATTCTGGGAGTGGTTGTCACACATTTCTTCATCCCTGAGGTACAAGAAAAAGCAAAACGGGGCTCGATTTGGTCTGGAAGGAGTAAAACACTGGAAGAACTTGCGCTCGGCCGTTGGGGAGAACACAGTGAGTCAGTGATTCCCGCAAAACCGTGCTTTATGGCGAACCGGGTGAGGGTCGGGATCTGGATCGTCAATCGTCGGTGCTGCGGCTGTATGCGGGTCCTCCAGCGTTCCCTTGTTGGTCGTCACATACTCGAAGGTACTGAAACATGCAGGTCCAGTCTCCTGGACAGACGGCAAATGCATAAGCGAAGACAAGCTTGTTCCAAACATGGCAGGCCTAGGGGACATGCTTAGCGCCCTCGTGCCTTCAGATAGGCGAGCCGGCTGCTTTCTCTGTAGATGGAGGTAGGGTAAGCATCCACACAGTTTCTCTGCATCCTTCAAGGCTCACCAAGCGAACCGTGCCCAAGCCCTTGGATAGTAGACTCCCGAATACCAAAATACTCAGCGGCGAATCTTGACCTCTCCAAAGTCCATTTCCGTTACTGGACCTGAGCAGCTCGCCACTTGACCCGAGCCTTGACTAAGCCTTTCTGAGCTGTGGCTGCGCGATCCTGAGCAGCGCTTGATGGGCCCTGACGTGGCCCCTGAGTAGCAGACTACGAACTCCAGTCTCAAAAGTCCCTGGTTCGATTATCTGACAGTCCCTGCCTTCGTTCCTCTTGTGGCTATCTCTACCTCCTCTCCTGACCGGGGCAGCTTTGTGGAAGATTGAAGGCACGGATTGGATGGGTGCATAAAATTGATTTGTAGCCGATCGAGATGGTGCGAAGCCGAGAAATGGCGAGACGTCACTGGCACAAGGATCGAGCAAAGAGAGGCCAGAGATCAACACAGTCCCTCTCAGTGTCTCCGCTGTTCGAAGAAATGAAAGTATCCCTCAAAGTATCAGGAAAGTGTCGTGATGGACTCGAAGAGTTTCAGAATGGCTTGATCAAAACTCCAATACTCCTTTGGCCAGAGACCCTTTAAAGGGCCAACACCGGCACTACTCCAGTCTTTATAGATAGATTGTTTACATTCTTAATCTGTCGATTTCAAAGTCTTCGCTTGTTATATGGCTCGAGCGTCAACACAAGAGAAAGGGTTACAGCTTGAGGCTGAGATGTCGTGATGTCTGCAAAGGGGAACGAGCCGTAATGCGTATCTGAAAGAGCCGCCAGGTACCAGGGACCATAAGGGTAGGTAGGCCGACGGCAGCAGTCCAGCCGGAGGACAAGCCTCGGTTGGCAAGGCTGAAAGGTCACATGAAAGTCAAGGCAGAGCAAGCTTTGCGCCGCTTTGACCTTTGGCGCGCAGGACTTCCTGCAAACCGGACAAATCTGCCAAGCGCAATCTCAGCGCGACCTGTGTCGCACCAGAAAATTCCGAAAACAATTTCTTTTGACGTGTCTTTGGCAGCAATTACTGGAGCAAGAAATCATTGTGAAAACTTTGCAACCTTCCCAATCTCGAGAAGCATTTCCAGTCATATGGAAACGATAACCGCAGCATTCGCAAAGAAACTCACGGAAGAATGGGCGCGGAAAAGAACCCCACAGCATTTTGTCTCCCACTACCAAAATGTTTCCAAGCTGCGAGCCGATCATACAGAACAAATCTTCCTGAGAATTGGGTTCAAGGCTTGGATCGCATATTTCCTCGCCACAAAGTATTCGGCCAGACACTTCCAAGGCAAGGCTGCACAGACGCTTGCCATCGGGATTGTGGACAGGCTCTCTGTCAAAGAACGGGAAAGAATTGCAACCGATCTTCTCACTATCCAAGTTCACCCAACCGTCGAGTCAAAGATAGTGGAGCTGTCGAGGCGATGCAGGCGTGGTAAGTTGTACAGACATGGCTCGATATTTCGATTTCTAAGGCAAATGGTTTGGCATCATCAGGTGACCGTCGTACGAAAAAGCCCGCCTCACGCAAGACACCGAGTCGGACAGTGACTCCCCAACCTCTCTGGCAAGATGGCCTGATATCCGAAAATTTGGACACAGGTAGCACCATAGGTGGCGAAGTTACGACAACCTCAGAATCAATACCTGTTCCGCGAGAGCTGGTCAGTAGTCAGAATGCAACCTTCGGATCCCCCGAGCAGGAAAGGGTCTCAGGACCTCTGAACACTCGACTACCTATCCTTTTCCCTCAGTACACCTGTGGTGTGATCAGGAAGACAGGTGATAAGGCCTCTTTGTGGATGACCTTCAATCTTGACCCTGGAGTCCCTTGCATCCTGAGTTTCTCTGTCCACTCGGATAGACTCGAACATTTTGCGATGAGGTTATTCGGCGCGCATATCGAGACAGATGGTCGACTCCGTTATGTCGTCTTGAAGGACGGACTGAAACTACATCCCCGACCGTCTGTGACTCTCCAAGGTGCAAACCCCGAGCTCCTCCGCGCAGTTTGTGGCCTTGACGTGAGCCTGGCCATTGATCGAAGTCCGGTGCGAAGTGTAGAAGTTGATCAAGCAATTCTCGCCACAGCATGCGCGTCCCTGGAAATAAGCAGGATAGCTCAAGAAGACGGTGTTCTCAACCTCAATATATCAGAAGTGGACGGATACCGCATAAAAAAGATATTGTTTGAATGACAGAAGTTCATGAAATTGTCCCAGATCCAATTACACAAGAGGCTCGACAAAGGATTGGGTGGCAAGAACAAAAATAAGGGTATATGAGTTGATCTTTCCTTGGAGGCGAGTGCTATGGATTTCTCTCAGACAGCTATACGATGAGAGCCCCCTGAGGCAAATGCTTCTGGAAAGGAGCCCGGCATTGGTCATGTTCTGCACATTTCTTAGTATAGCAGCAGGTAGTTTCTACGGTATGTAGTGAGTCTTGGCCTCATTCGTGGTGCCGCTATTACAATCCCCGTTCGGCAGCTAAGGTTAGTTTGAAGATTTACAAGTACGCCATTGTTCATGTCTCGTGGTAACTGCTCACATAAGTTCCGATTCAAGAGCGAGTAGGCAATCACCACTACCAGACCATGTAGAAGAAAGGGGAGGGGCGACTAGACCTTGAGATGTTGCGCGAGTAGAAAAGCACGCGATGTCCCTACCTCCCAACACTTCTCTCAATCCTTCTTTTGTCCCAATTGCAGCTCCCCTGTGTCAGAGAGCTTTGGGGTGGGATCGTTAGACAGAGAGCCAGAGGGTTGAACACGTATCTGGATTCTGGATTGTATAAAGCTGTCCTTGAGACATCGACTTCTCGCACTGTTGAGGGCTCCTCCAGCAGTGCGAGAATAGAGGTCCTATTTATCTCTTTCTGTGTGTACCTTGTGGAGGCCGCCTTGGCACTTGGAGGCCGTTGGCCCCATGGGTTGTTGTCGTCCGGGAAGCGCATTGTAACAGTCATTGTAACAGCCCTGCTTCCCGGGTGACATCTTTGACCAAGTTCTCGGGAAGCTTTACCGTACATCGGTCGATTTGAACAACGGAGGAATAGTTCATGAAATATACACTCGGACGGGCATATGGGCTATCAACGTTGGGGACGAACACCCGTCGTGCACCCGGTACCGAAGAGAGTGCCATGCAGCCAATATGGGTCGCCCCAAACGTCACATTCGAGATGTGCGACATCGAGGATCCCCGTGATTGGATGGCTATCTCAGTTGCTCCTCGCTTCTCCTTTTTTAAGCTTCGCTTCGAGGGGAGGCTCGAGCGATATAGCTCAGGAATTGGTTTTGCGTGATTTCAGACGGAGTCAAACGGAACAAAGCTTGGGTAAACTGGCCTTTACTCGCGCGGCTGAGGCGGGCAGTTCAACTCGTATCTCGACGGACAGTGACACGGCCACAGCCAGGACAGTGCAGGACAGATCTATCCAGATCTGTCCAAATATGTCCACACCTGACCACACCTGACCACAGGGAGACCGTGCTATGATTGGCTGGCTACAACTCTGTACAAGGCCCTGCTAGTACAGGGCTTGGCGGAAGGAAGCTTGGCAGATGTGCTACCCTAGCACATTCCTTTCTTTCTTTCTTTCTTTCTCTCTCGCTTCAGCTTAGTCTCTTGGTACATAGGAATACGCATCCTTGGAGTGTTCTCCATCTCATATGTTCCCTGCCGTCACACCTGCAGGCGTAGCTTCTCGGTGTCGGCTTGCTGGCTCAGGCCTGCGACCTGTTCTTCCAAGTCCCTGACCTGGGTGGCAAACTCTGCGGCCGACCGGGTGGATCTTCTGAACTCTGCCGGGGCCAAGCTCGACTTTGGACGAGAAGCATTCAATGCCTTGGTTCTTGTACAAGGGACTGTCCACGAATGTGCACTCAACCACGCCCTTCTCGACCTGTGCCGCCTTGAGCAACCTCTCGGCTAATCTAGCACCGGCCATGGCGCACGAGGTATTCAAAGACATCGACTGGACATACCGCGGCGGCCATCGGTTTGCATACAATTCGGATGTGATGATCTGCAAACGCGAATCAGCATCATGAACTATCGACGAACGAGTATCGAAGACTCAAGCCTGGATATAGGGCAGGTGGTGCCCGATTCGACGTGGCCTTTGTCGAAGGGAAGAAGCCCTGTGCACGGATCATCAGCAGAGACGTCTTCAAAGGGCCGCAAAGCGATGCTTCACCCGCCACGGCCAGTCATAGTAAACTATGATAGTTTGTCGGCAGAGGTGCGCTTGTACCAAGTGTTTACCTACGGGTATTGGAGGCATCATCGAGTTTTAATTCGAGGGAATAATATCGTTCCACAAGCATATTGAACTCACGAGATTAGGCACAGGACTTATCAATAGCCGTTACTTGGGAGCTTCGTTGGTTGATCCAATTCACACAGTCGTGTCGTGGAGACTCACTCTTCGACATCGCAGTGAGGGCTAACAAATATCCGCAGGCTCAGATGATAATGAAAGAGATGCATGACGCCGGATCCGTTTGTGACATCGTCGGGGTCGCTAGCTCACCTCTGTGTCGTGGTCGTCGCCGCGGGCATCGTCGAAAATTCTTGTAGAGGTCCATGCTGTTGGAGAAGTGCTGCATCGCCTGGCGGCTTTCAATGAAGGATACAGAAGTGGAGGGGTCATACTGCTTCCCTAGTGCTTGGGCGTCGTTGCCGATGTTGCTAGAAAGGCCTTGTACTTGGAGACAGATCTGTTCTGTACAAGTATGTCTCGTACCCCGGAGGCGCGTCGCTTGGTGCTGCTCCAAACGATGAGGCCTTATTCAACATGTTCCACCAAGTTCCCTCTCCGACGTTGAATTTTCTCAGAGCATGGACTTATCATGTTGTGCATGCCTGAAAGCTGACGTAGCCCGTACTTGAGCTCTTCATCTCGACAAGTATAGGCCAGTGTTCTTGTCTTGGGCCGAGATGAAGGTGACATGTGAGAATAGCTGATTATCACAGGAGAACACTTTCTCTAGAGGTTAACGTTTCCCGACTCCTGATGATCGACATCTTTCACCTCTTCCAGAACTATATCCCGGTTATAGCCATTCCCAGTAGTCTTCCATCGTTCTATGCCATCTTTTTTTTTGTCTTCTCGGCTTTTCGATTCTCTCTTTTCTCTGTTTGAGCAATCTTGGGGAATTCTTCGTGGAATTACGGCATCACCAGGATCAAGCAGACCACAAGAGTGTGCCCTGGCACGGTGGTGAGCTCGTCTCAGCGACCGCGAGAAAGCACCGAGGATGTACTATCGAGCAGAAACATCTTCCAAGCTTTGCAGTACATGCGGAAACTCTGCAACTCGCCCGAGCTCGTCCAACGACCAGTGGGACTTGATCCTGAAAATGAACCGCCTCAGGGAAAAGGCACAAAGATGGAGGTGGGAGCGATGGACAACAAGGCCTAAATCATATTCTGGATGAAGTATCGTTCTCCGGGCAGCTGAATACTTCAATCTGGCACCTGCAAAGTCGTCCACAACTGCTGTGGGCTCGAGTCCCATGTTTCTCGTTCTTTTTTTATCTTTTCAGACTTTTGAAATCCTTTTCTTGCTTGGGTGCCCTCCCCAAGTGGATGGCATCGAGGTTCGTGCGGTTCTGTAGGTGCTTATAGAAGGCGTCATAGCTCGAGCTGGTCTGAGCCGGCTGTTAAAACATCCCGTGCCTTGCTTGACACCCCTGAGGCCCCTCACTGCATCCATGTTACCAGCGCGTTCGAGCAGCACTCGTCCATGTAGATAGACACTCTCGAATCTGCTCGACAAATTTTGGCATGTAATTCGTGAACGGCATTTCTCCATCAATAGCGGCAAGCGCAAGCGTAGAGTCAGCAACCATCAAATGCCAACGCTGGACCGTCAACGGCGAATCTGGCACGTTCGACTGAGGATTGAGTGGTTTAGACAAGAAAATGACCTGGTCAAGGATGACTGAGCAAGGACAAGATGACAATGACCGATGACGCATTGGGGTTTGTTGGTCAGTCGGGCCATGCCGTCGGACATGGACAGGGCGACCATCTATACCGGGAGGAAATTGGTTATTCGTTTCTCTCCTCGAGTTTTCTCTTTCAATCTGTTCTTCATAGTCTCCTCTTTAGTCAGGTTATAGTCAGATACTATGCTTCGACACCAGATATTCGCAATGGCGCGTGACACCGCAAAAGGTCTAGGAGCATCGAGAGAGATAAAACACGGTCCGGTAGCAATGGCTGAGCATCAGCAACATTTCGACTCGCAGCTTGAATTGCAGCAGTGAGGCTTCAGGCTTCTTCGTCTGCATCTATCTCTGCCTCTGCCTCTGCCTCTACAGCAGCGGGAATGGCCTCGAAGTCCCTTTCGAACTCTTGCACACAGATATTTGCGGTGTATGACCAGGAAGGACAACTCACTGTGTTGCACTGAGTCCGATCGCACTGCGAAGTTTGGCACGACCTGATTATGGAACCTTCTGAAGAAGAATTATTCACGACAGCCACCGCAGGCGAAATTTCCAGCCGTGCACGTTCTGGATCCCGGCCTCCATCAACCGCTCGCCGTTCAAGGTCCAAAACAAGGCAGAGTATCCCATCAGTTGCACGAGGACTCCTCTGCGGAGAATCTTCTCTCGTCGTCACTCTCGAAACCCGGGGCATATTGATCAGGATCGTTTGTTTTGTCCATGATGGTGCGTCTGCATCATCCGTCTTTTGAGTCGGAATGGCCTCGAGCACTCGCCGGGCTAACGGAGGAGACTTATCGTGGTCAGTCGCTGGCTCAGCACAACTCCGCCAACGCGACCGAGACGGCGCCCCTGTTGCTGGACAATGATGGCCCGGCTGGTCCCTAAGCAACGAGGGACGTCATCATATCAGAGACGCCCCAAACTCCCCGTGAGATTGATCTCGTTCCGAAATGAGTTTGTGGGCTTTCTCCTCTCGCAGATGGATTGCACGGGCTTTGATGATGAGTCCATCCCTACGCTGTTCAAAAAGATCCAGACCAGCGCATTTCACATCTCCTGCACGAATTTCTCACAGATGTGAGGGTTCCGGAGAAGCCCCTTATCTTCGTCCCGGAACGGCGCGTATCCGACGTCGACAAACTCCGGACGCAGGTCCATCTTTCGTCCACTGAACACTTGAGCTCTGATGCCAGGTACCGCGAGTGCCATTGCAGCGAACGGTCCTGCTGTGGAATAAGAACTTCCCCAGAACCTCACGTACGGAGTCTCATCCAGACGCATTCTGCATGGCGTCTTTATTTGGCACACCAGCCGAAGAATATCTGCCCAAAGCAGTCCTTGATGTTCGGAGGATGTAGATGCAACGAAGAAAGTGTTAGGTGCCAGCACAGAATGAGCCAGCAGGTAGGGCGAATCAAATGTGCGTCGTGATAATAAATTCCCAAAACGCCGAACCAAAGTCTCGTTGATGGCGGTAGCTCTTTGGAGGCCAGCGAACATCGTACTTCGAAGTAGGGACAGGAAAGACGCCAACACCGATTGATACAGCCGGATAGCACCAAATAGGACGGACGGTGATTTGGAAACTCGGTTCTAGATATCGATATCAACAGCGCTCTGGCAGGATCAGATGCGCACCGACAAGGACTTCAACTTACCACACGGGTATTCACTAGGTGTGCATATGGCTCGGCTTTGGTAACATACGGAGCTGCATATTCATCGTAATATGGTTGCAGATCCATGGCGTCCAGAACGATGGGCTTGGTGAGGAGCACTTTGACGCCCGCCCGGACGTTCAATTCTACCATTTCTCGTAGCCCTTCGGGCGACAACGTGGCGTGGAGCACAGCCATCACGTCCTCGCATTCCTTGCCAACAAACCCGTTGTTGCTTCCGTCCCTCATAGTTCAGCGGCGACAAACGCCCTCCGACTGGTCAATCTCTTGATGGTAGAGAAGCACCTTCGCATGCTGCAAGGCTTCCTCACCCGCCGTGAGTTGCTTCGGCTGTTCAGCTGCAACGGGTGACAACGCATCTCTAAAGGACGCGGCGGAACTCAAGCGTGTGCTGTGCCTGAGGATCAAGGCCAACAAGGACGACGCCGTCTGGCCGGGCGAGGACGTAAAGTACCAAATCAAGGCACTCAAGATTTTCAGGATTTTCCCGTCCTTCCGCAACTGGAAAAAGCACGAGATCGAAGAGAACGACCTGCCACTGGTGCCTCATACATAAAAGCATTAACTGGCGGCCGTTGGCATCTGGGTCGATGGCTTTGGCAATGTACGAGGACAACTTGAAGACGATGTCGGAAAAGCTTTCTCTCGATTCCTGAACTTGGCTGGCGTGCGAGTGTGCTTTAGACTGAAGACGCACCATCATCCTCAATCTCCTCGTATTGCTTTTGTCCTTTTTGTGCAAGTTGTTCGCGGCGAAAGAAGTGGCCAATCAGCCGCAAGTCAATATTCCGCAGCTCGTCGACAGCTTCTTGAGATGGTTGAGTTCATAATTGCACTTTCTCTTCAACGTTCTCCTCGTCAAGATCAATTTCCGTCAGCGAGACCGATTCTCGTGCCTTTTCGAACCGCTTCTCATAGGAGAGATCAGGATCCGCCGACATTCCCGAAATTCCACGCCACTGCCTAACGAGCGGATAGATACGTGCATGGAGATACAGCCAGGCATATATCCGTCGCCTCTCCACGGTAGGGAGCCGTCAGTTGCTTCCACCGCGCGGACCACAAACCCTCCGGAGAGCAACCACAGTGATCCCTTGGGAATTTGATAATGCTCACCTCGAGGCGAAAAAGAAGCAAGAGGCGTCGATCGCGGCCAATGTCCGTAGACTTTCAATGAATGAAATTGCCGAGCCTGAGGGTTGCTCCCTCTGTCCCAGAACCATCCACGAGTTACTTGGGCGAAAATGGAGACTGTACGGAAGCGCTTCCGTCGCAGGGTCACAACTTCACTTCTCTGAGATCCGTCTCGCGGTATCTTCGTTTCACGACAATTATCCTCTGGGTCCTGGTGGACGTGGCGTATGGAGAGCTGCTTGCTTCGAGGCTTGGATCTGGCCTCGTAGAGTTCCAACGAATGCCGCACTGAATAAAAGCATCAATCTCACAGCCAACATTCTATAACAGGATTGTGGCTGTTCCACCGAAGAGACCGCATTTCAAAGGGCAGCGCGGGCCGCAGGCATGCCACGAGGGGTAAAAATACGCTGCAGGGCGGCGTTCTCACTGCGTGACTCCCTAAGGCGGCCTGCTAAGCGTGGGGAAAAGACTGAAGCTGAAACAAGACGGGCAATTCCCTACCAAAGGCAAAAAGACAGAGAATCCTATCAATCATTGATAGATTCTAACACTCTGCCATCCATGGCAATTTGTCTCTTGGCGCCCAGCCTTGGCACTCACACATCTCAGCTCAAAGAACATAAAGCCGTTACCACTTGGATTCGAACCCTCGCCTCGTGTGCGTAGCTCAGCCGGCCCGAGAAGAAATTCTCTGAGGCGTCTTGTTACCTTTGAGCACACATTCATGCGTCTACGAACTGCCAAAAGGCTGCGCGCCATCTGGACCTGGCCTGGCCGAAGGAGAGCCAGCAAGGCGGACTCTTTGGAAGCTGCCAGCTCGAATGTCCCGCCGACATCTTTGCCTCTTCCAATGAAAATTACGCTTCTAGTGAGTAGTTCTGTTTGGGGACGGCGGTGGCTCTCTCTCGACGTTGTGTGCAGCTATCGTCCCGGCGCTGTCGCAGATGGACCTCATCCACCGCGTGCAGGCCGCCCACGCAGATGTCTTTTCTCCTGCCACGCTGGACAGCAGCACGGCCCTGACAGCGTTCAGGCGCCATGGGAAGCTACTCTCCCGGCTCGGGCTCGAGGGCCTCGACATGATCGGCTGGAATGCGTCGATGCCCCGCCTCTACCACCAGCTGGGGGCCGAATACGTCACTTTGACCGGACCAGCCACGGAGGGGATGTCTGGTTCCCTCAGCCAGCACCAAAAGATCACCCACTTCGCTACGCGGAGAACTCTCTTGGAGGCGGCGACGGCATGGTTCCCCATATGTCGGGCAGTTCACTGGACGCACACAAGCGCTATGCCGATGGTGTGAAGAGAATTCTACAGAGCTATCTGAGCGGCACGCACGATTACGAGCGAGCATTTTCTGGGACAAGCTATCAGTTTAGCGCACTTTGGGTAGCAGCGGCGAAGAGAAGGCTGCTGAATGACTTTCTCTGCCCATATTCTGTCCCTCACGACGATCACAAACAGGGTCGCACGGGAGACACCTTGCCAAATAGTTCCGCTCTTGGTGTGCTTGGCAATCAAAGCTTTGTTGATAGAGTTGAGTGAGTGTGCTTGGACAGTCACCTCAGAGCAATGAGCACTCTGAAGTAACTCACCCTTATCTCTTCTCCTGACTATCGTGGTTAGCGAGGTATCAAGGGAACACAATGCTCAACAGGGCGTCTGGGCTCAACCCAGAACTAGAGGACAAATGACGCTATGGTAGGGTAAGAGCGAGACACGGGGAGAGGGGTCGACGTGGATGTTCAAGGCAGTGGACATGGTACTTGGCGTCCCATCCTGGTTCGACGCCGCAGGTAAGGCCATTTCGTGAGCCAAAGTGAACATGCCTTTGAGGCATAGGCCAGCTTGTTCGAAGAAGCGGTTCTCGGGGACCGACAGGGCCAAACTCTGTCTAATACCCCTTGGATAACTGATTTCATCAACGAAGCGACAGCAGGGGAAATTGGTAGAGGCGGAGGAGGTTACGTCACGTGCCGACCCCCTCTCCCGCGCTCCCGCAGCTTTTGTTCGGGGCGCGTTCCTGGCGTTCAATTATCACTTCACTCTTCAGCATCATTCAAACATGTTTGCCTACCAGTGCTCACCATATCATAAGGCAGATCGGAAAGTTCCTCCCTTCAACTATTCCCGATCTCCCTTTAGATGACCAGTCCCAGGCCTCCAAACTATCATTCATGACGGCGGGCTGCTTGGACTGGATGTGGGACTGGCTGCTATGGATATTCTGGGCGACCGAGATGGATGTTGCCATAGTTGAATTAGCAGCAAGACGAGTTTATTCCGGGTTCTTGCGGTGAGTCAAGTCTACTAAGCTAATGTGGAAGGGTATCTAACCCAGCATATCAAGGGCAACGAATTCACCGTCGACAGTGTGCCCACAGTTGCCTTCAACAAGCGAGAAGTCAAGAAAGACCATGTTTCCATCAATGAAAATCCAAAAGGGCTGGCAAAGACGGATTCCACCGAGGGGTTTCTCATCATAAGTAGCACCCTTGGGCACAGACCGGTTGCGACCACCGCGGCGAGAGTTGGCAGGCCTCGAAAACTAAGACACGGCCACTTCAAGCAGGCATGGCTACGGTGTTTTATACAATCCAGATGTCGTCAATCCGTCGCTACAAAACGGCTGAGTGGCGTGTCTCCGTCTCTATCCTTCTGGTTCGGATTGACGCCGTGCGGAGTTCGTGGCACAGTGTGTCGTGGAGGGCTGACACGGCCGCTTTCATCGCAGCACTTCTGCAACAGTCGTACCAGCCGCTCCCCTCGTTGGCCTCCGATATCTGACAACATAACGATCATGCTCTCGTTTCGACTGCCTTGTTGGAAGACATTTACGCCGTGGAATCCCAGCGAGCCGGTCAATGGCAGGGTCGTCAAATCGGGGAAGCCAGCTAAAGCTGCGATGCCCAGTTTGACACCGACAAAACTGACTAGTTGAGCCGGTTTTCCGCCAAGGGATGGTAAATTCACGGCCAGCTCACCCTGCTCTGTGACTAGGGTGACGCCGCCCTGTGCTCACCCCTGGGCACACCCCTGACTCACCTCCACTCACCCTGGCTCACCCGAGCCGAGGTGAAAGTGATCAGCGTGTCTCACGCGTGGAGGCCCAAAAGGGCACCGTTTTCCTGGACGTGCATGGTGGTGACTCTCTGGTTCGCTCACACGGCCGAAGTCGGTGGCACTAAGGTTGCCGAGTGCACCACCGAATCACAGCTGAGATAATTAAGAAAAGCAGCGGCATCAAACCGACATTTTAAGATCTAGTGGGATGGTTGTGCTTAACCCAGACCGGAAAGTCTACACGATACCTCGTTGACCGCCTGCGACCAGAAGGGTCTGTTTACCATTAATTCTGCCGCTTCGGATGCTATATAGAAGGGATTCCAGCCCTCGCTGCTTTCAGCTTCTCCCAACCACGAGTCCAGTCCCTCCACGGCTACCGTATCTCCCATTCATCTATTGATTGCATCCAGAATATCGACTTGGGTTGGATCGTCACGCCACTTCCCTGCCAGACCCAAGCGGTCTACCTCTCCAAATTTCGCCCTCACTGGACACTGTCCTTTTCCCTCTCCGGTCCCCAGTTTTGCCTTGGTCGACCCTCAACTGGACATGCTTACCACCGTGAAATAGCTTGAGGAGAGATCTCGCTGGATCGATTCGCTCTACCTGTCAACCGCCACACTTCCACTGGACGACCCACCTGCTTTGAGAGGTGACCGTCAGCACCGATGTTAAATCACTACGGATCGTCGCAGCGGCTCTTTAGAAAAGAGGGGGGAGGGCTTGGAACTATTGACGCTGCCGGCTGGGCCGTCCTGGCACCAGTGGCAACTCGGGACATGCGAGCAACTGGATCTTGATCCGACCCAATGGGCAAATAGACCGAATGGGACTGTGTGCATACTGGTGAGACAACAGAAGGACTGTGACGTACCCACGATCCGCATGGCTACAAGACACCTGGCAAGACTGAATTCGGAAGCGGTGAGGAGAACGAAGTGAAGGAGTAGCTGCCGGATAGGGGGGGCTGTGCGATGCACAAGACGCATTGGGTGGCATGTAGTGCCTGTTGGACACCCACAGCTCAAATCCTCGGCGTGGCGGGTGCTCTCGGCCAGCGGCAAGATGCATACGCCGTCCTACTTGTGCCCCTGATCGCTCGCGCGGAGTCGACTATGAGACATCAGGAGGGCACATGCATTTTCCGATGACGTCGATCGAGGCAAGGAGGAACCCCGGACGAGTGCGTGAGGCCGGTGTCGCATACACTTTCGAATCTGATGAGTCGCCACTGCGTGTCAAGAGGGAGTGTCGGAAGCTCGCAGTGCGACACAGTGCTCCGTCGCCTTTGGAAGGAGCGAGCAAGCGAGCGACGAAGAAGAGCCCAATCTCGGGACGACGAGGCGCGTCAAGACGAGTCCCGTCCAGCTTCTGGAGTGAGCGATGCTCGCACAGCGTGGGACCTCCCGATCCGGTTGTCGCAGTGTACAGAGGAAGAGCAGAGTCGGGTTCTCGTGTATTTATACCCCTTCGTTCTCCCGGGAGCCCTTTGGCATTGGACGATTCCACGCCACGACGTCCATTGGTCGACTTTTGCCAGCATGCCCGAAACACGTTCGACCTTTGAGCCTAGCCAACTTCTGGATGGCTGTGAGCCCAGTCTCGCCGACGAATACAACAAGATGATGGATATCACGGAGCAGACAAAGGACAGGTACGGTACTCTCTGGCGCGATTCGAATGCATTGATGGCCAATCTTGTACGAACAAAGGCCGAGCTCGACCGGGTCACAGCCCTGCGGCAACAGGAGCTGGCCGAACACAGAGGGGCCATCGAGCCGTATAGAAGGGTGATTCGAGCCAAGGATCGGCAGCTTCAAAAGTTCAGACGGAAGAAGCAAAAGCTTCGACATCGAATCCGACATCTAGAGACAGATTTGAGGGTGGCGAATGAGGAACTGGAGAAGGTTGCATTTCTGATATGTGAGATCTGCTACGCCAAGATCAAGGACACATACACCACTTGTGGACACACCTACTGCCAGGGTTGCCTCTCTACGTATCGACAATTTCTCGCCTGCGATATGACTATCTTGGCGACTCAATGTCATTTTGGTCCCTGCCCGAAGTGCCGGACTTTGCTCAAGCCTGACGACATTCGGAAGCTCTATTTGAGTACATCTCAGGATGTTGTGGTTGTCGATAGTGACAGCGATAGCCCCAGCGAGGACGACAATAACGACCACAGCGACAAAGACAGCGAAGACAGCGAATACGATGATAATTGAGAGAGGACCCTCCCGGTTCCCAGCACGAGCAGCTTAGGCGGAGCACACCACACAGGTCCGAATCTCCTACCCTCTCGAATGCATTATAGCGCCGGCAATTCCCGTGGGTCAACGTGCAGACATTATTACGTCTTGATCTTCGTGGACATATGCTGCCTTTGATCTGCCGGAATGGGAACAGTTTCAAAGACATAGTCCAATGAAATCGAAAATTGACTAATCCTCCTCATTTCACTCTCCCTCAGGAGTCCGTCTACGAGAAGTCGCCGCGGAATTCTGGTGAGAGAAATGTAGAGCCAAGTGTCGCAACGGTTGTGCTCTCATCGTCTTCGTTTGTGGTGAGAAAGATAAGTGTAGCGCAGAACCTACTTGCTTACGAACAGTCGTGCTTCGGCCATTTAGTATTCATGGTGCGCTTGTTATTGCAGACGTACCACAGGAGTTCGACTAAGATTTCGACAAGGCCAAGCTTGCCGAGGTTCACAGATGCCGAGACTCGGACGGAGATTCGGACAGAGATTCGGCCGGAGATTCGGAGATTACGTCATGTTTTTCCCCAGGTCCGTGAGCCTCGGCTGCCCTTCCATATTCAGTGTGAATTTAGGCACCTCCTGCAAGTCTGGGGAGACATTCGTGGCGGTCCGGTCCCTTTCATTGCTAACGCAGTCTATCCTTCGCATCAGTGCTCCTCAATGCTCCCCAATTTCTTCTTCCAAGTGTTCCGAGAATGTTCCCCAATCCTCATGCCTCTCCCCCTTCTGACCGACTCGGCTGTAGACTTCATGTTCAGCCGCTCGGTTTTTCGACACTACCCTTTCCTTCGGCGATGGATTGCGGCCACCAGATCTACGTACTAGAGGTCATCACTAAGATTCACTCACTTTTCTTCGATACCGCTGGGACCTTCGCCACACGGCCTCCAATTCCTTCAAGAAACATGGCCATGCTCCAGCTCTTGGTAGCCCATTTACACCTCCCGCCCCACTGCGGCAGGCAGATAGGTTGCGCTTCCATCGAATGACCCGGTGTTACCTCCTTCCTTTCCTATCCGCTCGCGAGGTGAAGGTCAGCCAGGGAAGTCGTTGTCCAATGGAGAAAATACCTCAAGTGACGGAGCGGAAGGCGCACTTTGGATTGTGGAAGATTACCTCGACGCGAGCTTTACAAGAGGGGACGGTCGAGGATCGGCGGTTTCGGCAACGATATGGTCAAAGAAGCGGGTTCCTGCCTATCCGCGCCAGATGGGCTAGATTCAGAAGAAGCGAAGCAAATGACGCGATAGAGTTAGGCGTCGAACACGGCGCAGTCATCTCTTGACGAAGGTTCCATCTCATCACCTGTCGACCACCAGAGGCATTCTCTGACTCGCTCTTTCTATCACTTCCCTCTGGGTATGCAAAATCGCGGAAAGGAACGCGTGCCCGTACTGGGCACCGGCTGATGGTGAGATCGGTCCGGCGACTGTGCTTGTGATGGAAGAAGCCTCAGCTGGGGAGAACCCTAGTGTCACCACATTCAAGCCGGTTCAAACGAGTTCACCTCAAGAACACGCCCACAATTCACCTGATATACGACGCGAGGCGACTTTCGGACAGCCCCGATTGCATCTTTCGACATGACCTGACGAGTGAACGAAAAGTAACCACGCACCAATGAACCAAGTCAAGATCTACAGACCATATGTATACAAACGCACGCCGAGTTCAACTCGACCGCCTAAAGAACCCATCCCCCTATAACGAAGACCAAGACGACGCAGTGCCCTCAGCAATACTCTCTTTTGTGCTTCCCGTTCTCCCGGTTCTGTTGATTCTTCTTCCACTCAACTATGGTCATCCAGACGAAGTGGCTCCCAAGCCCCCTATCTTGCTTCCCAGGAAGTTACCCTCGAAATCCTGACTCTCAGTGCTTTCGAGAAAGGTAGAAGTTCCAGATTCCACGTGAAAGATGCCGGTACTGCCGTCGAAAGTGGTGTAACCCACTGGCCCAAACACCCATTTCGTCGAAGGTGAAGCGAAAGACATTATCACCTTCCTCCTGCGCTACTGATCCCGTCATCGCAGTCTGACCCTTCAGCCCGAAATTTCCGACGGAGCGATTTTCGACACGACCTGTGGCAGGATCACAGACCCTGGCCAAAATGTGACATACGACGACTAGAGAATTTCTCTGGAACTGATGGGTCCGAGGTCGCGTCATGGTCAGTTTTGCCACTGACGGCGAGAGTGATCTAGATCACCTATCAGCAATGTAGTTGAATGGGGAGAGGAACAAGCCCGGGGGGGAAATCCCCTTGCTGGGGCTGTCGTTCAACGACTAATTTGATTTCGCAAGGCTGTTCATCGCGCACGTCGAGTCCAGGCACCAGCTTCCCGGCACGGCCAGGTTTGATCGCCCACGCCTTGTGGTCTTCGCGACTTGATGACGACAATTTCGGAACCTCGGGAAGATGGTTTGTAGTAGTTTCCACTGATGCGCTAGCACTTTGCTTTGTGTCTCGATGCATTGCTGGAGGTTGTTGTGGGGTTAGATCTTGAGAAATGGCCACAGTGGTGTCTCAATTCTCCCCCTTCCAACCACGAGTTGAGCCTTCGGAATCGAATTGCTGGAGAAAGTAGGCTTTTCACGAAGATTAGGATAGCATTCACTGTCTTTTCTACAAATTGCAGGACAACTGCGGCTTCTCTCGACGCCAGCGAGCAACCTTCGCGTCTTGCTCTTCCAGGTTGTAGGCACGGTGCCGAAGCCAACAGCCCCGGAATTGACACCTTTCCGACGCTGAGAGATCAATTGAACATCTTGGTCTCGTCATGCCCTTCGTTCGCTGTGGCCAAGCTCAACAGAGATCAACTCGAGGAATTGAACATCTCCACAAGACTTCTTGTTGAGGTGCCTAACAATCCAGGCACGTGACACATGGACGAGTACGTCAAGTTCCGACAAAAGATGGCGCATCAAGCGGCAGGCAGGTGTTGCTTACGTAGAATATGGTCGAGAAGCTCATGTTGTTTCCTCCCCAAATTGGGGTATCTTGCCAGAAGGCTGCCGTATACCAAAAGATACTGCCTGATGTATTGTTACCCGAGACTTCCTTGAACAACGAAACTTGCTATGGAGCTGCATCGAAATTGCCGAGCACTCATCGTGAGGGAGATGGACAGAGCCGGCGCTTCAGCAGCAGAGCTTTGAGGCGATCGATCTTCCTATCGAGCTCGCATCCGTACCCCACGCAAAGACTGGGCTTCTGTAGCTCTTTGTAGGCGCATGTTAGATAGCTGCGCGCTCACAAGCCACAAGGAGGCTCTGCTCTGTCGCACGTGACCTTCCGGGCCTGCTCCCATTGGGTCAATCACACTGCGATCAAGCAGTCTCAAGGCTAGTTCCGACGAATCTTGCAGAGCTCACAGCTTGGGGATATTTGCAGGCCTGGCTATACCTGATCGGTCATCAAGGAATCCTCCAGAAACCGCGGGATACCAAGGAGATCTCTTGTTAGGCGCCGGTGATGACGGTACCTGTAATCACGGCCGTCAGTAAGCAACAACACCCCAATCAAGGAACGAGTGTAGCGATAGGCAAACTCACCCTTCAGGACGATTCCACGGCCAAAGTTCACACCGCCGGTGGCAGTCAAGTGATCCAACTCCACGATTTTGGGATTCCTGCTGATTCGCTTTTGGAACTGCGTAACCTTCTCGAAGTCACTGCTTATTTTGTTCAACGATATAGGCCCGGATCGATTGGGGTCCATGACCAATTGATCATGTGGCAAGGTGTACAGGTTCGATTTGATTAACATCAGATCGGAGCAGGTCTTGACAGGTAAGAATCGTCGGCGGGGGACATTAAAACTGTGTGAGTCTTTGAAGTGCTTGATGGCAGCACCCACGGCGGTCTCGAACTGGATGATGGAAATGTCCGCCTCGCCCTTTTTGTTGGCCGGGATCGACTTGAAATTTATTCACCTACTGTTTGGGCACCTGTGCAATTTCCAGTAGTCGTGCGTGATCTTCTCACTCGATAACGGTACCACCCTTGACGTCTGCCTTGGTCTTGTCGATTAACTCCATGATGTACTCGGTTTTGGTCTCAACCATGTGCTGTAGGATGTGTAGAGCCACGACGGCACCTAGGTTGTCGGCATTGGACAAGAAAACAATCTCAATGCCACTATTCATGAGCTGGTCAAGGATGCCACTGTTGTAGAGAGACTCGAAAACGTCACCGTACCCAGGGGGGTAACAGTCGGAAAGCTGAAAATCGTACGACTTGGGCGTGGGGAGCAAAGCGTCCTTGAGGATACGGGGATAGCGGGATTGGTCGAATGTCAGGATGTCAATGTTGTGGCCTTCGTATTTCTTGATGATGGATGCAGTGTCTTCATCGTTGTTGAAGCTGTCCATCAAAAAAAGAGACGTTAACGTCGTAGGTGCGGTTGAGGTATTCGATTTGGCGGACGGAAAGATCTAGGAGAAACATTCCGTCTCTGACCTCAATGACCGATTTGGGACCAACACGACCCATCGACGTCCCCGGAACACCGTTGAGCTTGACCACTGCGAGTTTGTCCACGAACTCGACTGCGTCGGTGGTGGTTCAGGGTCCCATCCGCCGAGAAGAGGAACCTTTAGAACCACGAGGACGTGGAAACACGACTCGCTCGCTCTTTGGCTCGAGAAACAGCAAGAACAGATGACTCAAATACATTATTCCCTTGTGCAGCACCTGCTCCGGACAATTCCTCAGTCACACGTCCCTTGGGATCGCACGAGCCACCTCTGTTCTCTCGAAGAACTCTGAAAGATGCAACGAAAGTGAGGTCCAGAAGTCGGACTTTGGGCATTCCGACAGCGAGCTGAGTTTTTTCGTGCCAGTCAGTCCCATACTCAAAGCGGTGTAGGCTTTGAGGCTTGCTTCAAGACGGTCGGGTGATTCCAACGCAGGTGACGTTGTTCAGTGCTCCGACCCAACACCCCCCGAGCCGAAGCACAGTACTCTCGATGGGCGCCTTGAGATCGGACAAGGTCAGGCGGACGCAGTACTGGTACATGACATGGCACACAAAGGCGGCCGGCAGAAATCGTCCGAATGCCAGCGAGACCACATCGGCATAGTCTTGGTAATACGGGGAATCCGATATCGGGGTCACGTGGAAAAACACGCCGACGATGATTGGCCAGAAAAATGTCACCGGCGGTGTGACGAAGATACACAAGATAGAAGTGATCAAGAGTGACGTGCCCAAGAACGTCCACCGAGAATCCCTACACGCGGCCGTTGCCGAGCTGGACGAATTGAAGGTGAAGGAAAGCGGGAAGTTGGATGGGCATCCAATGCTGAGGATCCCGTGGGCATCAACATTGGGGAAGTTGGACCGCTCTCTCCTGCGTAAGACAACCCTACAACCTCCTTTGGAGTTGATCGTGATTCCGGTGTCGATGGCTGCGACACAGATGAAGGAGGCTCCGCGATAGACGACGGAAGCAGGAGCCTCAAGAAGCCCAACCAAGTCACGAAGTTGATGGCGGCAAAGCTTCCCCAAGCCGCGCCAAAGCTAACACCCTCACCAAAGGGCAGCGCGTAGAGTCCGACGGTGAAGGCAAAGATTTGACGGAACAGGTTGATGATGGTCGACACTTCGGCAGCTTGAGGCTTCTAGCAGTCCGTGCAGTAGACGTAGGTCAAAGTCGTGCCCGCCTGTACACCAACACTGGCGACCGTCATACCCGCAGCGGACCGATCCATGGCTTTTTGTTGTTGACGCAGAGGCCGTGAATAACTAACCCCACTGGCAAGAAGAGACCAGGAAAGCAGAGATAAAGGCGAGCCTCAGGCTTCCTGTGTCCATCGTGGCGGCGTGCGTAGCGGTTGATCGACTGGTCGGAGATCCAATCAGTGCAGGACTCTTCGATCAGGCAGCCAAGCGTGAGTGGGATGCCCAGCAGAAGACCCTTTTGCACCGTCTTGAAGTCGTAGAGCTTCTCGCTAATGGAAGACGCCGTGAGAACGAAGACAATTGTGCCCTAGGTGCTGGTCATCATGTAGTGGATGCGGGCATTGTAATCACCAGGAATGAGGTTTGAGCCGAGAAACTCAACAGCTTTGTGGAGGAGTTCCAACGGATAGGTCAGGGCTGGGCAGGATAGACAAGACAGAGACTGTTCACGCACGCAAGGCCAAGCCGGTCATGGGACTCTCGCTCTCGCTCGACCACCAATGGTCAATGACCCGTGCATCCGGAGCGGCGTATCTGCTCAGCAGCTCTTGGCCTTGTGTAATGATGGAAGGATCCGACCTCTCTCCTGCAGGGAACAAAGCGCGCCAGTGCCGACTGTGGATCGCATTTCCTGCAGCTTCGTCAGATATGGCAGCTGGTTTGATGTATAAAATCCGCTGTAGGGCGGCGTTTTCACCGCGGGACTCGCTAAGCGACCTGCTAAGCGTGGCGAACAGACTGAAGGTGAAGAAAGACGGGCACTGAGCACCGGACACTAGCAGTGGTAGTGGCAGTGGTAGTGGCAGTGGTAGAGGTAGAGGTAGAGGTAGAGGTAGAGGCAGAGGCAGAGGTAGAGGCAAGAGAGTCCGTAGACAGACTCTACATGGAGAAATGATTCCCACAGAATTTTGGTGGTGTTGGATGCTGCCGAACTTTAGCCGAAGTCGCCGTTGTACGAAGGCGCTTTTCCCACATAATGGGTCAAAGGTCGAGCAGCACGTGACGTTACAGAAAGTAGCCAATCGGATTTCGATGCTCTTCCGCACCCATCAAATCCGCGGCTTCTTCGACGAGGTCGCCTGTAGATACTGTTTTCGCTTCGCTCAACAAGATGAAGAGAAGCAGAAGGGCCCCGATTCTTCGACCCGCACGTTTGCCGACGATGTCAATGGAACACGCGATTTAGAGGACTCGGTGCAGATGTTCTGGGAGGACGCGGCCACCAGCACCTTCAACAGCTTCGTAGAGATCGCCCGGGCCATGGCCCTGATCGGCCTGCCCACGCCCAATGAGAAGGCCCTGCCCCTGCACCACTGCCTGCGCAACGCCCTGCGCTTCAAGAAGCTGCCACGCAATCGAGATGCACTTCCCTGCAGCGTCCTGAGCCGGTCGAGTCGCCATCCCCATCATCCTCGCCCTGAGTATATCATGCAGTTGGGTCGGTAAACGGATTTATACGTGCATGGACGGTCAAACGTCGGTATAGACACAAACGGGTCGGACAGGGCTTGCTCGAGGATGCCCTCGCGCTGTGCCGGCAAAAAGGGTGGAGGGGTCCCGAATTTGCAGAGGACGACGCCAACTCGGCGAGTATCATGCATCCGGACTTTTCAGGCGGGCTCAGGTTCGGAGCAAAGAGAGAACCGGGTCCCAAGTCCGTACTATAGGCGGAGGAGCCGGGCTGGTTGTAAGGTTTGGCATATGGCGGACACGGAAGAGCCGTTCAAGGAGAGGAGGATCATCGTGGAAGTGTACCCCGGTTCCCGCCGCTTTGGGCTTATTCCACAGGAAATAATTTGCGCCACGTGCAACGTCTCGGGACAACCAACTTGTACAAAGATGTGCGTGCGCGGCCAAGTAAGAGATAGACAGCCAGGGGCGGGAAGAGAAGGGAAGAGAAGGGAAAGCGGGATGGGGATGATGGATGGGATGGATGGGGATGGGCAATCCCAACATGGACAAAAGAATCGGTTCCACGTTCAAGAAGTCATCAAAAGAATTAAATATGGACAAGTCCTTTCTCCATCTCCAAGGCCTTGATCACCGCGTCAAGCGATGGAGAGAAATTTGCAAGAATGCCCCGCCCACGAGATCTCCGCCCACCGTGCGGCGAGCAATGACATTGTAGCAGACACAGACAGACCACGCCCAGCCCAAGTCGAGCGTTGCCGCGGCGCGCCAGCATCTGTCTTCGGACCTCGATTCTCTGTTCGAGGCCAGCGCACCGAGCAAAGCATGCGATGGACCAACCCACATCTCGTGGTTGTGAACGGCTCGATTCGCCTCATCACGCCTCCGCACACGAGATTGTCTCCATAAGCCAACAAGACAACTCTTTCGTGACTTCTCACACTTCTCTAAACGAGGCCGACTTGTATAGAAATCGACTGTGAGGGGTGAGCTCATTGAGCCCTCAAGGCGCCAGCGAAGCGAGTAGGGGTCTTCGAAAGGGTTCAATGGGCCTGGAGGTGGTCCTGGAGATGGTCCTGTACATGTTCCTGCAGGTGATCCTGGAGATGGTCTTGGGGATGGTGCTGCATATGATCCTAGGGATTGCCTGCTGGGCACCAGCAACGCCGCCATCGCTGCCCACGAAGTGTATAGATATTGTAGCCAAACAGGTATGGATTTTGCTGGCAGTCACAGAGACCTACGCTCGACTGGCCACGACGATTGACTGCCCACTGGGTCTTGCAACCCACTTTGGGTGCGAGTCTGACTCGAGTCTGTGATGCCACAATTCCGCCTTTTCTGTCCAACGCCGGTAAAGTCCTCAAGGGCTCGGAATTGCGTCGAGGAGAGAGCTTCGAGGGAGGAGAACGGTTCAGCCTTGGGGGGGAATGAAGGAGCGTGAAATAGATTGTGAGGCACGAGCTCATTGAGACTCCTCAAGACACCAGCGAAGCGAGTAGTCTTCCCAATGGTTCAATGGCCTGAGGGTCGTCCTGTGGGTGGTCTTGAAGGTGATCCTTGAGGTGATCTTGAGGGCGGTCCTAGGGATTGCCTACCGGGAACCAGGAACGTCGTCTCATCGCCGCCTACAGAGCGTATAGGTATTGTAGCCCAGCAGGTGTGGTTTGCTGACAACCGCAGAGACCTTAGCTGCGCTCGACTCACTGCGAGGAATAGCTGCCACCGGGTCTTGCCAGCTGACGTTGACTGTGAGGCTGGCTCGGATCTGTGATGCCACCGTTCCACCTTTTCTGTCCAATGCCACCAGGGTCTTCAGGGACTGAAGATTACTTCAAGGAGAGGAGAGGGGCTCGGTCTGGCCAGGGTCTGTAATGCCACGATTCCACCTTTTCTTGTCCAACGCCAGCGGACCTTCGGGGGCCAGGAGAGGGAGGAGAGAGACATTAATCGGAGGAATCGAGAAGTTTCGGACTGACCGGGCGTGATTTTAGAGTCCTGCAAAAAGTCAGTTCATAGTTCCACAACATGTAAGGGAGGCTCTTCACAGATGATTCTAACGTCACAGAACGATGGGGTTGACGTTGCTTAGCGGGCAGGTCGGTGGTGCTGTCATGGAGCTGTTGCAAGTCAGCTTGGTGGGCGGCGGCGGGATGGGGATGAGGGGGGTCGTTGTCGGTATTTGTGCGGAGGCATGAATGTTCACTCACTTTTGCCGGTAAAAACGGCTCAGTTAGCGCTTCGCTGGAAGACAGGAGTCCGGGATGGGAACGGTGTTCATGCTTGCTTGGTCGAAGATATGACGAGCCAGCCGACAATCCGCAGGGAAGGACCTCAGTCCTCCTCGTCCTCATCCTCTATCCTTCTACTCGGTGCCGGAAGTCCTCATCCGGCTAGCGGCGAGCTCCCAGATTACTCTGAAGCCAGTTAGCATGCGACGAGGGCGCGGGAAGCCGGCGGTACTTACCGCCTCGGGATGGCGTTAAGATACTCGCAAACATCGGGTCGGAGTCGCTCAAGGAGCAGCTGGAGCGCGCGCGAGGGCGAGAGACTCCACCCAAGGTCTTCCCCACGACCTCAGCGCCTGCGAGGCGCATGTCGTTGGAGAGAGCGACGGCGGAAGTCTTGATGGCGTCAACGGTGGGAGCACCAGCCTCCTTGGAGAGGTTGGCCTCCCACAGGCGGTTGGCGTGCGAGACCAAGGAAGGCACGAGTACAGTATACACAACTGATGCGGACGGCAAGGCGTTGGAATGTCCATCACCAGCAGCGACATTGTGAAGGATGCTTTCTCGGATGCAGAAATCTGGGTATCCCTGGTATGGGAAAAGCGCGACCTGGAGTCTCTGGTTTGTATACGCGACCGGAGGATATACGGTAGAGCGCAGGAGACGCCAAAGGTGGGAAATTTCCCCGCGCAGTTTTGAAAAGGCGGTGAACAATGATGGATGCCTGACAATCCTTGCCTTCGCCACCAGTATTGTCGTCGTCATCGTCATCGTCGCTCTCATCCTTCTCCTCTCCCCACCCATCTGGCAACCGACGCACGCTCCACCGAGCTCAATACTATCAATGAGGTTAGCCTTGTCTCCTGCCGAAAGAATGGGCAGACGCATCGCCTCACCCACGACAACAGACAGCGTGGCGACTAGCACCCAATCATGCGCTCTCCGTCTGCCAGCTGGACTTGCAATCACCAGAGTGGCCGCGTTGACCAGGTTACCAAACAGAGTGGCAGCCGGCCGTGTTGCTACGAGCATTGAGACCATGTGGAGAATCATAAAACCTGCTGGCCAGTGAAATTACCAATCCCACCTCCTTCTTGGCAGTCTTCTTGTAGCATTCTCCACTCTAGAAATGGGTTGGGGCGGGTATTGGACGGGAATCTTGCCCGCTCTAAACCACCTCCACCGGTTTGTACGTCATCACTAACTCTGGCATGGTCAGCGGACACAGGTTTTTGTTGGGGTGTGCCGCAAAGATGAAACCATCATTTGCGGACTTTCCCCAATTCGGAAAGCGCTACGGCACAGCAAGCCAATCACGGTCCTCGCCCAGCATTTCAGCCCCGCTCTCTGCTCCTGTGTCATGTAGACAAAATCAATGGTCTGCAAAATACGAAGGTGTACGAGGGACAGAGGCAAAAACAGGCGTTGGGTGGGCTGATGGTCATTGGGGGAGATTGACTCAGAGGAACTTTTGAGAAGTGGTGCAGAAAGACAACAGTAGGGATCCGCCACTCTGCCTCGTTGCCTGCACAACCGATCACGAAATAGGCAATGAAGAAGCGATCATGCATGTAGGAGGACGATATGGGACGCCTGGACGTCGAGAGCACATTGAAACCGGGCGCCATTGCATGGCCAGGGGCTGCAGTAGCCCCCCCGGAGCGTGTGAGGCTGCCCCTCTGAAGACCAAAGCTGATAGAAGTGCGTTGTCACGGTGCAGTCAAGACCTGGTGGCTGTCTGCGACCTCTGCCTCAACCAAGGCTGTCAACACTTAGATAAATATCTCTCGAATTCGTCTGTCAACAGTTAGATAAATATCTCTCGAGTTCCTCTTCATATTATTTGTGCTGTACAGTGTGTCGGTGCCGTGACAAGAAGACGATACTGACGCCCCAGCAGTGAATATACTGTCCCGTCCCTATACCAACCGTTGCCTCTGCTCACAGGTACAGACTTCTACCCGCGTCCGAGATCCACGCGTGCTTACGGTGGCATCAGAATGTGAGTAGCCAACCCCAACAGGCAAGAGGAAGAAGCATTAAAGCTAACTGCGCATTTTTGAGCGTTACAGTGACAGACCTGACGAGCCGCTAGCCAGCCTACCATTCCTACACCTTCTTCCACACTCAAAAAAAGTCAATTCCCCGCAATGCCCAGATCGCAGCGGAAGTCCTACGGTCAGCTAAGGCCAAAAATGGCCCGGCAAACCGAGCCCAAACGTTCGATCACGGCGGCGAGCAGTGACAACGAAGCATCACCAGCTCCCAGCCCTGGGGATGCTCGGATTTCTACCGTCAGCAGCTTGACACCGGCGCAGCGAGCTCCACGAGCAGCCAAGGGTCCCATGAAACACCCATGCGATAACTGCAAGAGAAAGAGGACAAAATGTAACAGCGAAGTGCCATGCGCGACTTGTATACGGATGCACGTCAACTGTAAGTACACAGATCAATACAACAAGCGTGGACTCGCCGAGTCAATGCTGAGACACATCGACCTAATCGAAGACAAATTGGTGGAGCCGTTGTGTCTGTATTTAGAGCTGCTTTCCGACCGATGTTGGTACAATTGGACAACGCCCAACAGACAGTCGGTGATGGACGTCCTCTTAATACTCCGTGAACGCGGGTTGGCCATCCGGGCGTCCGCTCACGACATGATGCCAGAGAGCCGCCGCGGTAGCACCACAGACCAGGGTGCTCATAATCCCACGGGCTACAGCAATGCAGACCAGTACTCTCAGCAGCCCACGGGCTACAGCAATGCAGACCAGTACTCTCAGCAGCCCACGGGCTACGGCAATACAGATCAGGATGCTCAGCATCCCACGGGCTACGGCACCACAACAGACCAGTATGTTCAACATCCCACAAGCTACGGCACCACAGACCAGTATGCTCGGTATCCCGCAAGCTACGGCACCACAGACCAGTATCCCCAGCATCCCACAAGCTACGGTACCACATACCAATATACTCAGGGCTCCATAAGCTACGCCTCCATGACGCACGCCCACGTCGATATACCAGAGAGGAGCAACGATAGCACCAAATACCCGGATTCCACAGGCTACGGCATCAGCCCCAATGCCAACTCGGCCGCGGCAACGGAGGACAATACAAAGACCACAGGGATGGATGGTGGGAGCGGCGGTAGCGAGCGGGAATTCAACTTGAGGAACTGGCCGCCGCGGGACCAACACCCCGTCGTCCAAGACTTCCCAGAGATCGGCTCGTCGAATGCCTCTCCCAGGAGATCTGACTTCAGCACCCGGCCAGCTGAAATATCTGTTAATATACAGGGTGAGGACTTACGTCACCCAGCGGAATATTATCACCTACCCCGTTATTGATACAAGGAGGAGAAGGGGAGGAGGAGGACGGATTGCGGGTGGAGCAAGGGCAACCAGAAAGCAAAGGAGCAAAAGAGAGCTGCTAAAAAGGAAGGGATAGGATAAGCTACAAAGAACAAACTGGAGGAAAAAGGTCAGGGTGCAGTATAATGGGGTACACGAAAGGAACTGAGGTCAATGGCAGATAGGTACCAGTCAAGCGCCAGATGACGTATCAGAAGATCAGATAGTTTCGGAGGATTTTGAGGGTTGTTGCCATCATCTTATTGTGTGTGATTGCTTTGACAATGAGTTAATAAATGTTTGTCTACACGTCTACCAGCTTCCAAGCGTTTTACAGCCCATACGGGGACATGTTACCCTTAGTAGCGGAGGTAGACGAGGTTCTCCGGCTTCCTCGCCGCTCGTATGAGCTGTTTGGTCCATCGAAGCGCTGGTTGAGCTGGTTGTACGGGCAAAAGTGCGCGGACAGCCACGCTTCGGTGGACACTCGATGCTTGACGGGGAACTATGGCCGGAACTAAGGTGAAGACAATGTGCCCTGTGCCTCCTTGGTGATTGTGGAAGGCCTCAGCCTCAGCAGCGGCAATGACGTCGGACGGATAAGGACGGTTAGCGTTCTTGCATCATGTGCAACACCTGCCAAGCTAATCCGGCGTTGTGACTGGCAAGGATGCGAAGACATTGAAATGACTGCCCGCGCTAGTCCACTAGCGCCGATAGACCCTCTGCAAATTACTCGAAGGTATTTAGTCAGACAGGTCCCAGCCCCTTGTAGAATTGACCAAGTTCCTCCATTGATCGCAACCGCTGTCAACCTTGGGCCTGATCCTGCGGTTTCTCCGGGTTTCGACACCACAACCTCCCCGCCTCGAATGACTCATTAGGTGGATCAAATGGCAGACGACGAAATGCATGCGGCGATTGGGAACCTTTCTCAGAGTCTAAAACAGATTGCTTCGTTGATACAGGCGGAAAGGGAGCACGGTGAAGCTGAGCAACTGCATCGTCTACGCCAATGGTTAAAGGGAAATGATACTTACAACTCCCACATCTCGGCTTGCAAAGCCCGTCAAGACTATCCTGCAACGGGGCTGTGGATCAAACAGAATGAACAGGTGTTACGCTGGCTCTCGGACGGCCTTTGCAATTCCCCATTTCTGTGGATGCACGGCATCCCAGGTATAGGTGAGGTAGCCACCGCTCCCGGATAGCAGTCCACTGAATTGACCCAGGGAAAACAATACTGGCGTCGATCATCATTGATGCTTGCCTCAACCAACAGCAAAGCAAAACAGCGTACTTTTATTGCAGACGTGATGACAATACGAATCCCACTTCTCTCTCAATTCTCAAAGGCCTCCTCGCTCAACAGATATATTGGTATCCAAAAAGTGATCTGCTTGGACAGTGGCATAAATGCTACAACCTGACTGACGAGCGGGTCGCCGAAAATTTGTTCAGAACCGTTTCCAGAGCGGACCAGCGCCAATATATCATCATCGATGGTTTGGATGAATGCGAACCAGAGGGACGGACCACAATACTATCGTTTCTTACCTCTCTGGTCGAAGAGGGCTCAGACCTACGTATCCTTATTACCAGCCGGGACGAGCCTGATATCAAGGAATTATTATCCTCGGCGGAAAACCTACCGATCAAGTGCGAGGATACCAGCAAGGACATATCTATATTTTTGCAAGCATGGAGGGCCAAGATTCAACAGAAGTTTGAACTCACTGAGGTTCAATCTTCTCTGTTAGTGAAGTATATACTTCATTATGCAGCGGGTATGGATGCCTTGTTGCCGATATACCTGATCCACTAATATCAAAAGGTCAATTTCTGTACGCCAAATCTGTCATGGAACACCTTTATCATCAACTCACTCTCAATTCTTTTCACAATAAACTGAAAACTGAAAGGCTTCCAAAACGGTTGGTAGTTGAGTGAGTATCGACCAGCCCGATCCGGTCGCTGATATGTTTCCATATGCGTTCACACATCTACCATCTGCGAATACATCTGTTGTCTAGCTTGACTTCTGACTGGGTGACAGGTACGATCGCATCATTGAACGCCTCAAGCTACGACTCAGTAGTAATGAATGGGACATGGCACAACAGCTTCTGGAGCTGATCAGTTGTGCTAATCGACCGCTCAAATGGCCTGAAATTCACGGGGCGATATCAATATCTCTCGAGGATCAGAGAGTTGACTTCAAACAACGTCAGCTCCGTACCTCGCTTCACCACCTGTGCGGGCCATTGGTCACTATGTGTGAGGACCGCGTGGTTCTCTCGCATTGGACATTCAAGAGGTAGGTACACCATGATTATTATGCTCGAGGCTTTCAAGCGTATCTTCTTTGTTACCATGATACTCCTTTTTTTCGTATGTGAACTAATTCTCAGTAGGTATATCGCCGAGTCTAAACACTTCGAGCTTGTGAAGGAGGAATTTAGGATTACGAGCTTGTGCTTGGTGTATCTCTCTTGGCCTCTCTTTGACAAGAAAGACTCAAAGAATGACTCGGAGGAAACATCGGAGAATGAGCTCGACCTCCGAGACGGGTCCTACGCCTTTGCGCACTACGCAGTCGCCGAGTGGCCAAACCACCTCCATAAAATACGCGATTTGCTCCGTCAACTTGCTACTCAACACGATGCACAATCTGTCAGTTACGAAACAGAGACGCTGGAGCTCTGTGAAGCAGCGGAGCAGATGGTACAGGAGTGTCAGAACGACCTTCAAATTAGGCACGCCGGAACCCAAGCGTCGCATTCGACAGCCCAGCTGGAGGGGAAACTCCATCGTTTTCTTACGGAATTCGGAGGTGCCGATGATCTTCAGTCCCTATGGGCTCATGTGGACCGGCATCATGAGAAGTCTAACCAGCACAGCGGAATCAGTTTAAGCAGGCTTCGATCCACGATGGCCTGGATTCAAAGGTCGCTGGAGGAGCTCCCAGAAGCTCACCAATCGCTAGAGCTATACTATGGTCCTAATCTCTTCCGATGCCCGAATGTCACTTGCTTCTACTTCCACGAAGGGTTTCTTCACCAAGAAACGAGAGACGAACATGTGAAGAGAAGTAGCACCGCTGGAGCTTGCGACATGGCAAACACGGCCAGCTTCCAACCCGACCCAGATATAAAAGTGTGTCTCTTGAACGCTCTGGAGCCAGCAACGCCTAGCTTTCCCCGCAAGCGCCAAATGGAACACCATGAAAAAAAGCAACATGGTCAAAGATCGTATGAGGAAGAAAACCACGAGAGATGTCGGAAAATCCACAACACGACAGATGCTCATCATTTCGGTCAGCCATAACAGAACTCCAGGAATGATTTCGACCAGACGCGCACCAAGGAGCCCACCGGGTCCAACCACGCCGACTTGGACCGCGAGTCTGACCAGGATGTGCAACGACACAGTTCCACCTTTTCTGTCCAGCGCCAGCAGGCCTTCGAGAGCTAAGGATTGAGTGGGCGTGAGGGAGGAGGTTTCAGACCGACCAGGTGCGATTTGAGTTGCGTGTGAATCGGTCAGTTTCAGGGTTCCACAACTTAGGTCACAGAGGCTTTGTTGAGAGAGGTTTTTCACAGACCAATGGATGCTGCTAGACAAACAGATTGGGGCCATTTAGTGAAAGTTTGATGAAGTTGTAGATGAAAATTGTGGATGAAGTTGTTGACGGAAACTGAGATGGCAGTGGCGGAGATGGCAATTGAGATGAGGAGCGGAATATTTGCGGGTAATAATAGCTCAGCTGCGCTTCTCCAGATAACGTGACTTCCTCCCGACCGGAATTACTCCGGACCGGATCGGAACTATTCCGCTCCTGATGTCTGCGTCCGAATAATAATAATCACCCTTTCTATTTTCACCTTGCCGCCGCCCACCAATTTGACTTTCAACAACTTCGTCTCAACCTGTTCATGGTACGCGTAGCCTCAGTCCTATCGTTCTGTGACGTTGAAGAGCCTCTCTTACAAATTGTGGACTGTGACACTGACGGATTCCAGGACCCTCCGCGCTTTGTCAGTCGGAAACCTATTACCTCCTCTCGAATCTCTCTCCTCCCCTCCCCCCTGTCCTTGAAGACCTGCTGGCATTGTAGAGAAAAGATGGCACTGTTGCATCACAGACCAAAGTCAGACTCGCAGTCAAAGTCGGCGTGGGAAGACCCAGTGGGTAGCCATTCGTCGCACTCAGTCGAGCGCAGGTCAGGTCTCTGTGAATGCCAGCAAAACATACCTGCTTGGCTACAATACCTATACACTTTGTGAGTGGTGATGGCGACGCTCCTGGTGCCTAGCAGACAATGCCCAGGACCACCCTCAGTATCACCTCCCTGGATGCGGGATCACCTACAAGATCACCTCCAAGACCACGCCCAGGACCACCTCCAGGATGCAGGATCACCGTCAGAATCACTTCCAACACCACCACCAGGACGACCCTCAGCCACATTGAACCATTAGGAAGACTCTACTCGCTCGCTGGCGCCTTGAGGAGTCCCAATGAGTTCACGCCTCACAATCTATTTTACGCTCAATCACCCCAAGTCAGATCGCACCCTTCTCCTCCTCTCGAAGCTCTCTCCTCGAAGCCCTCTCCCCGAGGGCCTTGCCGGCGTTGGACAGAAAAGGTGGAATTGTAGCATCACAGACTCGAGTCAGACTCGCACCCAAAGTCGGTTACAAGACCCAGTGGGCAGTTAATCGTCGTGGTCAGTCAAGCGTATCTCTGTTACTGCCAGCAAAACAGACCTATTTGGCTACAATACCTATACACTTTGTGAGCGGCGATTGCGACGTTCCTGGTCCCCAGCAGGCAATCCGCACAACCGCCCCCAGGTCACCTACACGATCACCTCCAGGGCCACCCCCATGACGGCCCTCGGCCCATTGAACCCTTGGGAAGGCTCTGCTGGTTCCGCCTTGAGCAGTCCCAATGGGCTCACGCCTCACAGTCTACCATACGCTCCTTGAATCGCCTCCAGTCAGCCCGAACCCTTCTCCTCCCCTCGACGCAATCCCCAACCCTTGATGGCCCTGCTGGCGTGGGATAAGAAAAGGTAGAACTGTGGCAATACAGACCCTGGGTGGCCCTGCATCCTCAAGATGGCGCCGAGGTGGCCCTGGAGGTAATCCCCAAGACCACCCCCAGGGCCACTTCCAGGATGCACGATCGCCTTCCCCTTTTTTTGGGGGGGGGCTCCCGACCCAGCATTCACTAAAAGCTTCATCACCACCACAACAAGAACTATTCATTCGACAGGCTCAACCTGTTCGTTTAGCGACATCTAATGCGTTTGTGGTAACTCTCCCTCAAAGATCCCCGGTGTGCTGAGTTTTGAAACCGCGAAAATAACTGATTTTCAGGCCCCCTTGAATCGCGCATCGTCACTCCGAACCCTTCTCCCCTCCTCTCCCCCCTCTCGACTCTCCTCGAAGCAATCCTCCCCCCTTGAAGGCCTTGCTAGCGTCGGAAAGAAAAGGTTGAACTGTGGGATTACAGACCCGGGTCAGACCGAAATCTTCTCCCCCCTCGAATCTCTCTCCTCTAAGCGATCCTCAGCCCTTGAGGGCCTTGCTGGCGTTGGAAAGAAAAGGTGGAAATGTGGCATCAGACCCTGTTCAGGCTCGCTGTCAAAGTCGACGTGGCAAGCCCCCGTGGGCAGTCATTTGTCGCAGTCAGCCGAGCTTAGTTCTCTGCGTTTGCCAGCAAAACAATACCTGCTTGGCTACAATACCTATACCTTGTGGGCGGTGATAGTGCCTTCCCTGGTTCCCAGTGGGCAATCCCCAGGACCATCTCCAGGCCCGGTGGGTGCAGCAGGCGTCGGAGGGTGCGAACAGTAGTTGAAAAGAGCTGAGACTCATCGTCTCCCACAGGGCCTTTCTGGTCATCCGCACCCTCCTGTCTCTCTATCTCGCCGAGCTCGATGGCAAAGTCGTGTCGGCACTCGTCCGCGGCAATGGTCTGGGCAACAGGTGGCTTGTTCTCTACTGCCATGGGGGCGGAGTAACGAACCCTCTGCTCAACTTACAAGGTAGCGGTATGCAGGACTGCTACCAGGAACGCACACTGTTGCAGCAATGCAAGATTGATCCAGGAATGCAAGCACACAGAGCCGCAGGAATGCAGGACTGTTGTGGGAGTGCAAGAATGAAGGAATGCAGCCAGGGATGCAAGAATGCAAGAATGCAAGATTGATCCAGGAATGCGGGACTGTTCTTGGAATGCAAGGTTGTTCCCAGGATTTCAGGAATACAACATTCTTACACGATTGCTCCGGGAATGAAAAACTGTTGCTGCCTAGGCTCCATCCTCCGTCCTCTTCCCGCTCGCTCCTCTTGAGGAATGAATAAAGATCCATGTTCCCCTTCCTGTCTGTTTCCTCCCACATTCTCATGGTCGGTTCGTTGACATGAAATTGCAAAAAAGCAAAAAGCCCGTCCAGCGGCGAGCCACCATCCCACCTGAAGCAACCCGCGAGCCCCATGAGGACAACCTGGCAACAACCCGCACGATTCCCGGAGCATGCCTGCATTCCTGCAATCCTGGAACAGACGTGCATTCCTGCACAAGGTCAGCATTCCTGGTTGCATTCCTGCGGTCTTACATTCCTCCAGAAATCCTACAATCCTGGAACGATGCTGCATTCCTGACTGAATCCCTGGCTGCATTCTTGTGACAATATTGCATTCTGGAACACTGTATTCCGGCAACAGTCCCGCATTCCTGTAGCAGTCTTACATTGTTGGAAGGAAGTAATATTCCTGCAGCAATCCAGCATTCCTCGAGTCTTGCATTCCTGGTAACAGTGTTACATTCCTACATTATTGCATTGTTGCAATTCCTCCATCCCTGGACCAATCTTACATTCCTGGAACCGATCTCACCCTCTCGGAACAGTCTTGCGTTCCTGGCGGCATTCCTGCAACCTGGAATTGGGAGGAATCTTGTATTCCTGCCGCGATCTTGCATTCGTGGCAGCAGTCCCATCGCATTCCTCAAGCTGTACAGCATTCTTGGAATTAGGGCGATCCTGCATTCCTGAAGTCCTGGAACGATCCCACACTCTTGGAACAGTCTTGCATTCCTGCATTGCTGCAGCATTCCTTCCATTCCTGGAGCAATGCATTCCCGGGGCAATCTCGGATTTCCGTGGTTCCGCATTTTCGCATTCCATCCCCACAACACACACACCACACACAACACATACATATATACTGGGTGTCAATCTGTCAGGATATCAGGGGAAGGAATGGAATGTGGTATCCATCAATCATATCATTCATACCAACAATCAATGTAACTATGAATATGATGAGCTCATGCCATCTCCCCCTCGGCGAAGGGCCCATCCTATTTCTTTTGTCCTTTTCCATTCCTCCCTCTGTTCTTGTCTTCTCATCCATCCTCTGCCTGCCATGCCTCGCCTCGACCTTTACAAGCACGCCGACCCGACGATCAATATTCATGATTTTGTACACTACTCGGCTCTGCACATTCCACATTTGGTGTTGTCGGGAACAATCTCCTCACGACCAGCGGCCCGTGCCTGACGACTCGACGAGATCAATCAGCCCGAGGGTTGCGCAATCCAAAAACACCTCTGCAGCTCATCTTCCCGAGCTGAGCTGACCTAACCTCTCCCTCCTTCTCCGCATGCGTACCCATGCCCGTACCCATAGGCCGCCGGCCACCTCAGGCCGCCTCAAAAAAACACTTTTCGATCCCTTCCTCGCACCGAACTGACCATATACTGTGTGGATATAAAGGGTTCCACAGGCTGTTTCGACGTCGAGTGTGATGAAGTCTGTGCTTCGCACATTGACATTCCCGCTGCTCCGGGCTGGCCGGTTGTTGAAAAACATGTTTGCATTCCTGGAATAGACTTGCATTCCTGGCTGCACCCTCGGCTACATTCCTGGTAACAGTCCCGCATTCCTGTCGACATTCCGGAAATTGGGGCGACCCTGCATTCCTACAGCAGTCCTCCATCCCATCCTGGACGTCAGGAGCGAACATTGTGGGATCATTGTAGTAGTCGACCATGCCGCTCGACTCGTGCGCCAGCATGCTGTTGTCCGGAGGTCCTGCTGTAGGTATGTAGCTCGTCGGATGCGACTTTGAACCAGGAATGGGTGGATAGAAAATCCCCCTATTGCTGTAAGGTCCCCCAAAGTATGGAGCGGCCCCCGTAACAGGGTGTGGCTGAAAACATGACACCAATACCGCTTCCTCCGGTATCTGCGAGAGAGGCGACACTCCAGCCATCCTAGGTACGGCTGGTTGACCGGATTGAGCCGCAGTCTTGTCTTCCAACCATAAGTTAGAGATCTGTGAAGGTACTGATTGATGGAAGGGTATTTCTTGCTGCTGCTGAGGAGCTTTGAAATGAAACGCCGCCAGCGATTCGATATGTGCCACGGAGACGGTCTTCTGGGGCCGTGGTTGGTGCATAGGGATAGCTATAACGTGGCTCCTATACAGCGCAGGCGCCTGCATTGGCGGCGGTGCCGCAGTCATAGGAATTTGGCCGATCTTCATCGGCAGCCCACTTCTCCATGGTGTCAGATCTCCAGACGGCATACGCACCACAAGCTTGCTCTTATCATCCTTAGTTGCTGCTGGGCGGAGGGTGGCTGGGCCTGCGGGGCGTCTGGTATCTTTTCGTGATGCAGGCGGCCCCATAGAAGATTTCTGGCTCTGCGCAACACTTGGAGTATAGCCACCCCTATATTTATTTGGTGGGCGGCTTCCATGGAAGCTACCTCCACCACCGCCGCGTGTATGCCACGGTCGGTTAGGACGTTGGCCCCGTGGGATGAAGATGAACGACCGATCGACAGGAGGGAGGACGTATCGCGGTGCTGCTCCGGGGATCGAGATGCGCACGAGCATATCCCTTCTCAGCCGAGGACGATGCTGTGGAAGCAAGACGTGGTGTTTCTCGACGACATTTGGTACCGTTATTTTGCCAGCCATGCCTGGAAATGATATTTGGACATTGACAATTTCCATGACTGGGATGGTAAGGTATGTATGGGATGGAGAATGCTCTGAGGATGTGTATTCCTGTTGTACAGAAGACTGAACTGGAGAGAAAAAGAAGGAGAAAGAAGAGGGGCAGCAGATGCGGTGGTTCTGTAAACACGTGCGCGGAGACCGTGTCTGCCAAGCCGCATCTACCGCACCTACCGCATCACTAGTCCTGTACCATGGGTCAGCCAATCAGATCGTGATCTGGGTGGCCCGTCCCTCACGGCCGTGACAGTGATAGACGTGAAAGAAAACGACCTGTTTGGAGCTGTTGAAGGATCTTTACCTCTGTTCTGGCCTTTCTCCGTGTCGCCCTGATGAGATCCGTAACGCAAAGCTTGTTCTAATGGCCGGCGACGAGATGGAACTTGATGAGACTGCCTCTGCCCGACTAGCCAAGTCTCTGCCCAGAGCACCGAAGACAAACTCGAGAGGAAATGAGTAATAGACACTGAGTTCCAGCGAGCCATGAAGGACGTCCTCAGTTTCTCATTCACGTGGATACTCGTCGAGAAGCGACGAAGATGTGCTGATTGGCGATATCCTACCTCAAAAAGACTGTCATGGGCTCGCCCATGTTCATGTGTCGATTTATATATATACAGCAGACGAGATGGATCTGACAGTTCGATGGAAGCTCTCGAACACTTGCATTGAGTACAAGGTGCCGACAATTATTGCCCTTAGCTCGCGATTCGAAGGTCTCGATGTCGATTACGCCGGCATTGACAAGGAAAATGCTTCCTCAAGCCCTCAAGTCCATCATTGTCAACCACCGGAGATGCAGGCAGTCTAGCGCGGAAGATCAGATACTCTGTAACAGTCAGAGACTCGGCCATAGCACTTGACCCTGACAAGGGCTCCGCCAAGGGTCTTTTCGTGCTGACGGAGACCGCAGGGGTTCAATGTAGAAAGGGAGGTCGAGATGGCAGTATTTTCGCCAATTGGCCGCCACGACCACCACGTGTCGGGGGCAGGTGTGCTCGAATCTCGGCATGCCTGTGTCGGCAAACACTCAGTCATGCGGGCACCGGAGGTGATTGCACCCGACCCGTACTCTGAAGAGATCGATGGTTTTCGGAATTCCACCCTTAGTGACAGGCCAGGCCCGGGTATTGCTGCTCAAATCATGATCGAGATATCCTAGGCCATCCCCTGAGATGTTATTTTCTTGCCATCCCACTTCTGCTGAGGCATTCGAAATACCCATTCTCGTCTGTTGCCTGGGCCGTGGTGAATTGAGCTGTCATGGACTGGCTTCTGTTTGACAAGCATATAAGCTAAGAGGTCCAAGTTCCTGTTATGAAATGACAGGATTCTTAGTCTTTTGGGGTGAACCTGGGCTTCTTTCTGACATGAGCACTCCGAATGTCTGATCGAATAACTCGGCACCAATTTTCCCAGATCCAGTCTGTGCGAGCCAAAGCCTATTTGTATCTTGCTTGTCGAGCCAGCTGTGAACTCGAAATGCCGTATAAGATCTCGAGTAGTATCCAATAAGGTAGTGGAGGACTCAGCAGGTCAGCAAGCCGAGAACAGTCTCAACGAAATAACGCTGCGTAATGAAAATTGGATCTCCGAACAGCTGTAATGAAGGCTTGACAGATGAGGCAGGCTGGGTTGAGCATTCAGGTCAACTTCTGGCCGAAATGGGGAAAATGCAAAATGAGATCCGTCAGAATCGCTTTCAGATTCCCACTCAAGGCCACGGTCTTGATGTAAGACAATATACGATGAAAGTGAATGGACGTTCTGATAAATAAAGCGGTCATCCGGTCCCAGAACTGACGTTTTCCGTCTCGCTTTGTGAAAGTGGCTCGGGATTCATGTTGGTGGCGCTGGTGTCCAGGATCATGTCAGCCGGAGATTATTTTTTTGTTTGCTATGCTCGATTCTTGGGAATTCGTCTTTCGCGCGGTGAACACAACACTTGAGCCTCACGGACTGAAACAAGCCCCAATCGTCCGATCAGTTCGCGGGCCATCCGATGCGCTCTTCGCGAAATTAATGGTTGGGTTTTATACTCCGTCCAAAGTGAGCAAGCTTAAACGAGACTTGCCCTTACTTTTGCGTTCGAATGAGTTTAGGGACCCACAGCTCCTTTCCCGGTGCAACGACGGGAAACCTGTGCTCAGCGATCGCTTCACTGATTTGGGTCTTGGAAAGGCCAGCCAGTCAGACGTGTTAGCCCTTTGTCCAGATTCTTGCTGCTGAAGAAGCGGAACATCAACCTGTCTTCATCACATCGCCAACGACAGCAAGTGGCTCGAAGAAAGAGTAGAAAGAGTAGAAAAGAGATGGTTCTGTCGGAGACAGAAGAACAACGACTAAAAGAAGAAAAAGGCCGCCGGGTGGTTCACCGCCAGCCATATCTGCTCGTCAAACCGACCGCTGGCTGAGTCGCACTGTCACCTCAGCACCTCGGTCGGCAGGCGGATGCGGACCGAATGGCTGTGGCTCATTGACTTCATGAGCACTCGGCTTCAGAACAGGTTGACCGAGCCCGAAATACTGAAGATCTGGCCAGGCAGCCTCAGCGCCATGAAGTCGGTTAAGCTCAAGGGACAAAAGTGCGGAAAATGCAGTGCGGATATTGGAACTGAGTCGGCGCCTCGAAATAAATCTGGAGTCTGTCGATCTTGAACTTGCGGAGGTCCTCGGTGGTCGATTTTCCGCGAGGCATTTATTTGGAATGAGAACGTGCTTTCTCCAGTAGACCAGGTGAAACGAGATGGGAAGCCGAGGTCTCGTCCAAAGCCAGAAATACGCTGCCGCGCACGTGGAGAGATTCGCACCGCTCTGGTTCGAAGAACAAAAGCGAGGCTACGTATGCGCTGGCAAAATTTTTCGCCCTGTGGACTGTGAATCGGGGAACGCCTCCCCATAGGCACCAGCAACGCAAGCCTCTCACTTTCTGCTCGGTGGTTCGCGGTGCTGGGGCTTCAGCTTCGGTTGCAAAAGCACGAGCTTAATGAGGAGGAGTGGAAATATAGGTCAGAATCAGAATGGAACAGTGGACCTTGTTTTTGCAAAAAATCTCACTTCGCTGCCTGCTGCGGTTTTTCTGTTCCGTCTCTGATATGTGGTTGTCGTTGCTGGAGTCGATGAGCTAATGGTGAATGCGGCCTGTGCATTCTTGTTGGATGCTTGGCGAGGATGATCGATCACGGTTCTGGTTTCTCGAACGTGTTATCCTTCAACTCTCGTATCAGGTCCTTGAGACTGGGTTGACTGAGGATGTACTTGCATGGTCTTCTTGATGTTTGTGATGGCGTCGATCCGGAAGCCAGCAATACCTTTGACAATCCACCAGTCGATCATGGTGGAAAGCTCTTACTTCAGATCTGTGTTTTCCCAGTTTAGATCGTCCATCTTCATGGTGCAGGCATCAAGGTACAACATGCAGTCTTCATTCGCAACAGGCTCCCACGCAGATCCTCCAAAATAGGACCACATAGGTTGCTAGGAAAAGTTGAGGGGCTTTTCGCAGGAGGAGAGGCCTCGAAGGTTGCCAATTCTGAACACGGATGAGGGACGAGGGGGATTCATGTTCACGCCAAAGTCGTCCTCAACCCCGAATAATCTCGCCCAAGCCCCCCAGCAGCCACATGGGGGCATATTTCCAAGCCCGGTGCACTCCCCAAACACTGCCTGGAGGAATCCCCGCACCCCCCGGCACCGTGTTGGGCGGGCAATCCGTCTTCTCTAAGGGATTGCATTCACGTATCCCGCGCCCGGAACCAGGCGTGGATGGAATTTTGGAAAGGTTTTGACAGAGTCTCGTGTATTAAAGCGTCAAGTTGTCAGGATTTCTACCCCCAGGAATACCAATACAACTCAGAGCAGACTCGTCTGTGAGTTCTCCCCTCGACCTCATCTACTTTGCTTTCTTTTCTCTATTTGTTCCTCGTGACTCCACGATAGGATCAACCGGCAACTGCGAGAACACAAGTGGCGGTGCTGTTGTTGCATGGTATTTGACCAGGATCAGCATGGTCTTCTCAGATTTATCCTTGTTGATGTAGTAACCAGGGGATTCTGGCATGAACCAAATAGTCGGACTGCCTTCAACCCCTCCCAAGCAACAAGGCGACGTACTTGTAATGATACTGCGCCTGCGCCCGGAGAACAATCTTCTCGGTCGACAGGAGCGCTTGGATCCAATTCTTCCAGCTGCTCTTCCAGCTGCTCTTCGACCATGTCGACTTGAGCAGAGAGCGAAGAATTGTTTCCCAGTGCAGAAGGTCCCCCTCTTACAGATTCTCCGACTTGCAGTCCAGCGGCAAGAGCTGCAGACCAAAATATCGCTGGTGGGGAGTCTCAACACGCCGTAGCATCCGTGGTACCCTGCCTGCCCGCATCGCCACTCTCCCCAAATTCAGAAAGTTTAACAATGTATTGAACACCCCGAGCCCAGAGGTATACGTCAAGCAAGGGTTTCTCAGTAGCACAGCCAGGATAGTCTCCAAGCGATGTGTACCGTGTGTCGTGTGGCGGGCGCAGTTGTGTTCGGTGGGTGCAAAGATGGGTTCTGATCGTTCATGGTGCGGGCGCAGTTGTGACGGGGCTTTGCCATTACGAAAGGTAGTGGAGGGTGACACGTATGGGAGGGGCGACATCATGGACGAACGACATTGAGAGGGTTATCGGCGTGGATGGCGAGGGTAGAAGCAGAGAGGGAGAAGAGGGTCAAAGTGTCCGGAGAGGGAGGTCTTCGATGCGTTGCGAACCGGCGGAGGCGGGCGTACGTCAAAAGGCTTCGGAAGAACAATTCCCATGACAAGGTAGTGTCCCGTTGGTGATGGCCATACCTGCAGGATGCCTGTGAGATGAAACGAGCCACAAGTTTGGGAGTGTCTCAAGAGAGAAAAAGTCCAGTTGAAAATCGAGAATTGAATCGGCGCCTTCCCATGGACTGATAAATTATTTGGGGGATTGCGCGCTTGACAGTTGCGGGGAAGCCCGTTCGTTCCCTTCATCATCCTCTCACCATTACTAGCCACAACGTGAGGACAACTGCTACATATTAATAGGTGGCACTTATAGCGCCCAGATAATAGTACTTCGATGAAAAGAAGCATTACTGCCCCGAATTGAGACGCGAAGCTACATCTAGATAAGGTGCTGGTGCCCATCCCTCGATTGCCACGACACAAAGATCACGACAAGCAGTGTGCCTCGACAACTACTATTGTGTTGCACAATATAGCATTCAAGCGAGCTTGTCAAGTGGTTTTGTATACCATGAGACGCGCCATCCTGCCAATGTCCTCCGAGTTCATCTCTTCCGTCACGTTGTGCGTGATCTAGTACAGAGCATCCCCGAAGCATCGTTGTTCCAATGGGGTTGTTTATTGCGGACTTCGACTCAAAACTCACCAAAGAGAACGACCCGTACTCCCAGCATCGATCAGTCTCCTCAGAGTCATAGTCCGGATCAGATTCGAGTCGGAGCGGCATTGGGGTGAAGGGGGTTTACCCCCTTCTGAGCCGCAGAGGAGAGTAACAGTGGCCGGTTTAGCGCCGCCGTCAAACGCCACAGGCGGCCATGGCGAGCTTCACGGCCTTCTCTTGAGCAGAACGGTTACGGTATCCAGGCTGAGTTTCTCCAACACACCGGGGCCGGCCCCAGCTCTAAGTTTCATATGACCGGCGGGTGCCAATGTGCATGCGCAACGGGAGGCTTGTTTTGTCCAGCAGTACCCATGGCTCCTGGCCAGGCCGAAGCTTGGGTTTGCTGACCGTCGATCGATGTGATCTGCTGTGTATGTCATGGCTTCAATATCCTCGCAAACCGTGCGCTGGAGCATGGGGGAGATTGCGACGAGAACCAACCATCGCAGTCGCAGGTGTTTCTGTACGCCCTGAATGATGCGGTGCTGTTCGAGGCCAAGGCATGCCAATCCATTGCCTCATCCCAGACGTGTTGTCATCACCACTGTTCTCGTGCAAAAACTTGTGCTTGTATCCACCCCCAAGTCTTACACATACGGAAACTGAATTGTATAGACCGTCCATGCGTTAACAGCAATTGGTGGTGACGAATACCCTTCCGCCCACTACATTGTTGGGATAGAGGGAGTCGCTCGCGTGAAGGAGAGATTGAAGACAGTCAGCGAGATATTGGAAGAATCGCTCGACACCAGTCCAGCAGGTGATAAAGTAGACTGCGAGGCGTGACCCTACTGGGACTCCGCCAGCGAATCGAGTAGGGTCTTTCAAACGGTTCAATGGGTCTGGGGGTCGTTCTCGAGGTCATCCTGGACGCGGTCCTAGACGTGACCGTGGAGGTAGCCCTGGGGTGATCCAGCAGACGATGTTGGGGGTGGTCTTGGAGGTCATCCTGGAGATGGTCCTGGAGGTGGTACAGGAGATTGCTTGCCCAGCACCAGAAGCGTCTCCATCGTCGCCCACAGAGTGTATAGGTATTGGAGAGAAGCAGGAGTGTTTTGCTGGCAACCACAGAGACCTGGCCTACGCTCAGCCGACCGCGACGAACGGCTGCCCACTGGGTCTTGCCACGGCGACCTTGGCTGAGAGTCTGACTCGGGTGTGTGATGGAATAGTTCCGCCTTTTCTATCCAACGCCAGCAGTGTCCTCAAAGTTTGAGGATCGCTTCAAGCAATGAGGGTCGAGGAGAGGAGAGGGCTCGATCTGACTGGGGGCGATTCAAGGAGCGTAAAATAGGTTGTGCGGCGTGAGCCTATTGGGAGGCCTGAAGGCGCCAGCGAAACGAGTAAAGTCTCCTCGAGGGTTCAATAGGCGGAGGACCGCCCTGGAGGTGGCGCCGATGGTGGCTCTGAGAGGCTCTGGATGTGATCCTGCATCCTTGAGATGGCCCTGGAGGGGATCCTGGAGGGAACCCTGGAGGTGGCTCTGGGGGTGGCTCTGGAGATAATCCTGCATTCTTGAGATGGCCCTGGAGGGAGCCCTCGGAGTGGTCTTGAAGGCGATCCTGGGAGTAGTCCTAGGGATTGCCTACCGGGAACAAGGAACGGCACCATCGCCGGCCACAAAGTAAGTAGGTATTGTATCCGAGCAGGTATTGTTTTGCTGACAAACGCAGAGCAATGAGCTCGGTTGACCGCGACGAATGTCTGCCCACGGGGGCTTGTCACGCCGACTTTGACAGCGAGTCTGTAATGCCACAGTTCCACCTTTTCTTTGTAACGCCAGCAGGTTTCAGTGAGCAAAGGAGAGATTGACTGCGAGAGAGAGGATGGAGAGATTGACCATGAGAGACAGGAGGCAGAGTTTCGCGGAGAAAGAGATGAGGAAGACTTTTATCGTGAGACAGAGGAAGAAGAGATCGACCGAGAAAGGGAGGAGGAAGAAATTGGTTGTCAAAGCGAGGAGGAAGAAATTCATCGAGAGAGAGAGAGAGGAGGAAAGGATTGATCGGAGGAATCGAGGAGGTTTCAGACTGAGCGGGCGTGACTGTAGAGTCCTGCAATCTGTCAGTCCCACACCTTGCAGGAGACGTTGTTTACAGATGATTTCAACGTTACCGAACGATAAGATGGAGGCCGCTTCACGAACAGGTTGAAGTGTTGAGATTAAATTGTTGGAAGTCAACTTGGTGGACGGCGACGAGGTGGAAATGGAAAGGGTATTTGCCAGTGTATGTGCGGAGGCATGATGGATTGTCAGTGTACGCAGGCAGGAATCGGGGGCGGAATAATTCGCCAAAATCTGCCGAGGTCACGTTATCTGTCTTTTTCAGAAGTGCGGCCGTCCGGTCACTTTTGCTGGTAAAATAGACTGTGAGGCGTGAGCCCATTGGTACTCCTCAAGGCACCAGCAAAGCGAGTAGAGTCTGCACAAGGGTTCAATGGGCCTGGGGGCCGTCCTGGGTGTGGCCCTGGAGGTGTTCCTGGAGGTGGTCCTGCATCCTGGAGGCGGCCCGAGGAGTGGTCTTGAAGATGATCCTGTAAGTAATCCTACAGGTTTCCTTGGAAGGCCACCTTCAAGTTGTTGGATCACCTACACGATCACCTCCATGGGCGCCAGGAGGGCTACCTACAAGATCCCCTTCAATACCACCCCAGGATCACCCGCAGGACCGCCCGCAAAATCACATCTAGGACCACCTATAGGATTGTTTGTAGGATCACCTTCAGGAACGTCGCTATCGCCGCCTACGGAGTGTGTAGGGATTGTAGCGGGGGTCTTCACGCAGGGCTCGCCTAGATCTTGTCTTCTTGATCAGGGGTTCGGGAATGCCGTCAATTTTCTCGTGAGAATCAGCGAGGAGCTGCCGAGTATGTATAGAGAAGGGACATTTTGTGTTAGCCAGCGCCTTGCGATCTGCGACTCGACCGCGACGACCGAGGCCTGTGATCAAATGTACGGTACTAGATATTCTTCCAGCTCCCAAGTATTGTCCTTCGCACCATAGCCCTGCCACTTGATGTGATAGTACACCACATCTTGAACGAACTTGTGTTTCCGAATAGCCTCGACGATATACTACCCTTCCTCCTCAGGAGTTCGTGCATATCATCGTCGATAGACCGCTCCTCACCCTCAATAGCTCGTCGATACTATCGTCGATATACCACTACTCCTCCTCAGGAGCTCGTCCATATCATCATCGATATACCACTCCTCCGGCTCAGGAGCTCTTCCATGTTATCGTCGATATCCTCTTCTCCTTTTGCGATACCTTCGGCGTCATCTTCGAAACGTCGTCTGCGTGTTGGGAAGCCTCTCGAGCCTCCTTTTCCGGTTTGTCCTTCTGTTTCTCTTCGTCATTCTCTTCGTCATTCTCTTCGTCTTTTTGTTCAGCTTCGCCATCATCGTCGTCGCTCTTGGCCTTGTCATCAACCTTGTCTTTCGATTCTCAATCGATTTGGTTACTTGCTCCGAAGGCGGCGTCTTCTTGGTCTGGGTACAATAAGGCACAGGCTCAGGTCGGTAAGGTTAAGACTGAAGCCAATGCGAGTGCAAAACGACAAAATTTATCGAAGCCGTAAGGTATAATGAGCTATATGAGGCGCGGTAGAGTGATTCAGAGCTAGATCGAATGAGGGTTCTGGCACAATAAAGCTCGCGAGGTCTGTAGACCGCGGTGATTGTCCTTTCTCTTGAAGACCGAGGGCCTTGTCTCTGGGTGCTCTAGCAGCTTCTCCTTTGTCTTGAAGACCGAGGTTGTCCTTGGAGGGCCGATGATTCGGCCACCACGTCGCTGTTGGGCCAGACTACAGTTACCGGTCAGGCCACCGCCTGACCTGTCACTGTGTTGAAGGAGAATTGAAGCCTTAATCTGTTCCGAGCCCTGTGTCCACTGGTGGCAATGTGAACGCCGTGTGGGCGGAAGGACCAAAAACAGCAGGGACCATTCCTCTCGCTATTGGAGATGACCTGATGTAGACAGTGGTGTTTGCCCTTTCTCTTGAATCCCGAGGGGCCTTGTCCTTGGGTCCGAAGTAGGTTTGACTTGCTCACAACCGTAGAGACCCGACCTGCGGTCGACTGACTGCGACGAATCGCTGCCACTGGGTATTGTCACCCGACCTTGACTGCGAGCCTGACTCGGGTCTGTGATGCCAGTTTCTCCTTTTCTTCTGCAACTCCAGCAGGCCTTCGGGAGGCAAGAGAGAAGGAGGACAGAGACACTGATCGGAGGAATAGAGAATGTTTCAGACTGAACGGGCGTGATTTGGGGTCCTGCAATCAGTCAGTTTCACAGTTCCACAGCTTGTAAGAGAGGCTGTTCACAGATGGTTTTAACGTCACAGAAACGATGAGATTGAAGCCGTTAGCGAACGGATTGATGGTGTTGAGATGAAGTTGTTGGAACTCAAGTTGGTTGGGGGTGGCATGGATTCTGAGTGCGCGGACGCAGGAGCTGGAGAGCAGAACAATCCCCCTAAGCCTCCAAAAATTCCCAAAAATTCCCCGAAATCACGTGATGCGTCTTTTTCAAAACCGCGGCCATCTGTTCACTTTTGCCAGTAAAACCCCCTCAACCTGCGCTTCGCCGGATCACCGCCCACTCTGTCATTCCCAAACAACCAACCCAGCCACTATGTCCAAGACTCTCTGGACCCGTCAGGACCTGTACATGAGTTCCTACCCTTTTCCCACAGTCGACACGATCAGCACAACGCTCTGCTTTGAAGCAGCCTGATTACTCTCCCTGTCTTCGAAGGACGAGGGTGCACGATACCTTCCTCTCGAATGCTCGAAAAATACTTGGGGCTGATTGTGAAGTTAGTCGAGCACGGTGGGAGAGGTCAAAATGTTTTCTGTACTGATTTTTCCAGCTGAATTAGGTTGGTCGCCCATTCAATTGTCGCTGATCAGACGGCGGGCGCCACGTCGTTTGACCTTATCTCGTTCCTCAAGTTCTCCCACCTGTTCCAAAGTCCATGCTACGCCATCGAAGCAGCTATGCATCCTCTCCCCTCTGTGGCCAGGTCCTGCCGGCCGATGGCAGCTCCTCAAGAGGTGATCTGTGGGTGTATCACAGCAGATAGGCGTGGGTGATGTGCTCCCAGGGCAGCTGCCGCTGAAAGAGACAGGAGAGACATTGATATCCGCGACCCTACAACGGGCCTGGGTCAGTGTCTCCATCCTCGGTCGCGTCGATCCTCTTTCTCTTGCCGAGAACAGTCATGCCTCTCCGAACATTGCCGTCTGAGAGCGCACCCTGACGATGACCCCCGAGGCGAAATTCCCTTGCCGGCACAGCGCGATCATCCAGCGGCAGCATTGTACTTGGACTGCCTTCGACGCGATAAAGCGGGATAGCTTTCTCATCGCGGCTTCGGCAAGCCAACGCCGCTCTGGGATCAAAGGTCCAGGAGCCGCTCGGCAGCTCGCCATTTCGTCGGAGAGCCCGGAGCCCCGGGGCTCGAATAAAATCGGGTTCTGAATCTCTCCCAAGGAGACGCTGGCGTCGTACTCCTGCTGGACCTGGCTCAAGAACACCCGCTCGAGTCGGCGTGTCCTGCTTGGCAAGGCTCGCTTGAGGGTCTCGCAATCGTGAAAGAGACGGTCCCCCTCCTCAGTGACACCCTCACAGAAGCGACTGGTGAAAATGGTAGGCCACCCCCTCAGACTCCGGGACCGCTCTCCCACCCGTTCATTGAAACCTCGAACTAACCACAATCCTCCAGCTCCTTCGCAGCCCATCCTTCCACAGCGGCGTCTAGGCGTACATACGAAAGTCCACGGACTGCAACATGGCAAACCCCAGAATACTTCGGCGGCATCCACCGTGACCGTGTGTGTCCCAAAACAGTCTTTCTCTGCCGTGAGCAGTGCTTTGCTGTCTTCCAAGAAGAAAAAGGACCAATCCCACATCACGAATCGAGGACCGTGTCTACCTGGGCAGAGCATCAGAGAAAGGATATATATGAATGACACAAGATACAAAATCCAAGTTCATCATTCAATGCTTGTTGTCTTGTTCGACTTTTTGTTCTTTTTTGGCGTGTCTATCTGAGTAAGAAAGGTCCGCGAGAACCCATGACACGCTTTTTCCAAGAACGCAGCCGTCGCAATGTCCCGTAGGCCGTGCTGGGAGTCACCCGCTGGACCTCTTGAAGCATTTTGACAAATGTGTCTTAGGGATCGTCGCCGGTCCGAACTTGCCACGGTCCATGCAGAACGATGCAGGCTTGAGATAAGTATTTTGGAGCTGAAGACATCAAATAAAGTGGCCCAGAAAGTGTGCTGACCGTCCTGTCTGCAATGGACCCTTCCACCACCTTCATTGTGGAGGGGAGGATGCCATCCAGGTTGTGGCGGCGGGCGCCCATAGTAACCGGGGTCAAAGTTGTTCCCATACATTGGTCCGTTTACGTCGATCAGTCGACACCCGTTTGTTCTATTAACTCTCAATCGTATTATACAATTGTTGATCGGCTGACGAATTACTCTTACACGCCGTCTTTCTTGGCCAGATGTCTGGATCTGGGGCTGAGTTGTTCAAAAGGGAGATGCAGGGACGCTTCGTCGTGCATCGCGTGGTTTTGCCAACTCGTGGCCGTCACAGACCAGTTCTCGTTCAGCGACTTTGGAACGTTCGAACCTATCTGCGAAACCACCACCTTTAAGCTTCAACACATCGATCGTCCTTTATTCCCCACTTGGACTTTGTCATCAGCGTTTCACTCAAATGGGCAGCATGGTCGTGGTCTCCTGCGGACATATGTTTCTGGAAAATGGGTATTTGGATACCGAACCCATAAGCTTCCTTCGTTTTGTCATAAATCCAATCCTTGGCCCACTGGCCTGGTTCTTCTTCGTTCGTCTCATCTTGATTTCCATGGATCGTCGCAGGACTTCTGTGACGGATGCAAATGTGTGGAAATTCACATGGAGTGGAAAATGGCCACGATGCACATTACTAACCGACCAGGCCAGGGCGAAGAACCAAAACTGCCCAAAGTGCATTCTCACTCAACGTCTCTACCTCAGAGAATTTTCACCTATGAATTCGAAGAATCCCCATATCACAATATAGCAGAGTCACACATTCATGTGCTCGCTCAAAGGATCCTGGATGTGCTCCACAAGCGTTCTGTGCGGCAACAGAAACTCCTTCTTTTTAGCTTGTTTGTTCTCCTCTCCTTCATATTCTCAGTCTCCCTCGACAGACTCTCCTGCTGTCGTCGCACTTCGACACAGCAGGAATCATGAGGCATTTATAGTCAAACGGCCCTTCACCCATCAAAAGGATGTGTCCCGTTCAATATCATTATCCATTGACTGTTTTCTTCTTTTCCTGATTTCGAGCAGAAATACGCAGTCAGGCTTGGTCAGCTGCTGCGAAAGCAGAGAGAAGGATGAGAGGAGAATGGAGAGTCTATCGCTCTTCCATGTGTGGCAGTGCAACCTGTGTTATGGCCAGCGGCGACAGGTTGATATCCAGGCCGCGTGGCACGCACCAAGTATAGCGAGGTCTCGCGTTGCGAAGTGCGGGTAGCACGTCGAGGTGGATTGCTTGCGCATCGGGATGATTTCGAGTATTGTGTCTCTGGCTTCAGTCCAAGGACGGCGAGTGTGAGAGATGTCGAAAGGTCAGCGCTGACGAGACCTTTTCGTGCAAACCGGACCCGCTGGCCGATGGGCGATGAAGAAGCTTCGATACCGACCCGGGAGAGATGTTCGATTGGGCAGATCCGACAGAACGCAGTTTGCCAAACAAGATGGCGTACGTTGAACGCCCGAACTCCCACCCCCGCAGCAGCCAACCCCCCCGCCGCACTTCTTCCTCGATTTTGACCGTCTGTCTCTCTCTGCCTACCTCACTGCCTCCTCGGTACCACCAGTGCCTATTAGAGGCTCTCGTTAGAGGAGCCACCCTCGGCCTCCACCACTCACAGGCGGGCAAAAGTGGCGGTTCTAGCAAACGTGAACCCCCCCATGAAGAATGTGCTCTACCGCTGGGCTCCTCCCCTGCGCGTCTTGTTTTGCGAAAGGAAGACCTGCAGAGCACGTCTGCCATTGATAGCAGGAGTGCAGCAACATCTGTTCACAAGACAACGACGCAGCACCCAAAGTCTAGTACACGACATCGACAGTCTTGATCAGTTTGATGAAGAATTCATCCACCGCCGGTCAGAAGCCACTTGCTCCACCATGGGGAACCGGTACGAACTCTTTCCCGTGTCGCAGGTGACTGTTCCGGCTCTTACCTTGGACCAGCCCTTCTTGAAATACGGCTTGCTGACGTTGGCAGCGATGCACATCCGCTTCACGCCTCCACTTCCTCTGCAGTCCAAGTACCTCGACATCGCAAGTCAACGCCAGGATCGAGCGCTGGAGGGTTATATTCCACTCCTTGAGCATATCTCGGCGGCGAATTGTCACGCCCTGCAATGTATTTAGAATCTTCGAAGAGCTAAGCCAATCATCACGGGCGCAAGTGAATTACGGCCATGACCATTAAGAGCTGAAAGAGCTGGACAAAATCGCAGTTCGTTCACTGCACTGAGGGAAGAAAAAGACAATCACATCCGGTTCTCTCTAGGAAGTTGGTCTGCGTGTTTACTCGCGCCATACCTTCACTATGACAAGGCGACTATCGTTCTTGTTCTCTCACACGCGCGATTCCACCGACAACATCACCCCCGATCCACCTCCAGCGGTGACTGCGAGTTCTCCTCATATTCCACCTCAGTCTGGTGGTCACCCCAAATACCACAAGCTGCACAAACATCGCATAATCTCCTCCTCTGCCATCGATCTCAACGCCGGCCTGCCACCGCTTACTCCCCCTCCCCTACTCTCCGACTCTGGAGCAGTCCGCCCTCCAACCAGTCACCACAGCGCCCCCGGCAGCACATCTACGAGCCGGAAGAGCGGAAGCAAGCAGGAGTCGGCCTCAGACACCGATTTTGTTGATACCTACCGGTACGACCGGCTCCCCGCGCCATGCTACCACGCCTCCGTCGACAAAAGTAGCGAAAAAGAAGAGTCGGCTCGCCAAACGGCAGTCCACTGAGTTCTTTCAGACACAGATCCCTGCGAGGACATTGGTTCTGGCCCTAGTCAGGACGAGCGGATCGCAGACGAGATCCAGCCATACGAAAGGACACCGACACGAAGAGATAGTTGGCAGACATGGTGTTTGAGGCAACTTTGACCACCGCCTGGGCGGATTGCTCAGGACATCGAGATGAAAGATGCCCCGGACGGCGAGGCGCGCTGGGTCTGACGTAGCGTCCCCGTCGTCATCATGAAGGACCACCGCCCATCCCAACACATTGGAATGGTCACCCCGAGGGAACCGAGAAAGGCCACCGACAACGGGAGTCAGCAGGGTTGAGAGAGATTACTCAGGAAGCCACGACATAATCGGAAAAGAGAGACGAACTCTGTGCTGTGCTGCCATAGTCGCCACAATCACAAATGATTCTGGATGACTAAAAGAAAACCTGAGGATCCCAAGGCGTTCTACTCGCTACGCCTGCATGCTGAGCGTGCAGCTAGGCACCCTGAACGACCCGGAGGCAAAGGACAAGCTGGATCCGAGCGCATTGTCGACAGTGCTTACGTCGTGCTGTAACAAGCCTGCTCAGCGATTCGCTGTTCTCCCTGGAGTCCTTTAGAATCCTGCCTCTTCATATCAATGATATTCGAATACCTGTTGAATTGAGAGTCGGTGGCTGTCTTGCCCTCCTCCTATCCAGCAGTAAGGGTAATTATGAGACGGTTTTCGGAGTTAGGCACGCTCGGCCAAGATAAGACGCCCTGAGGCAACATGGTTCTGCAATCATTAGCCTTCATTTCCAAAAACGACTACTGGTAGGGCACCACCTTACCAGGCAGTAGCAGGCCAGCCAACAACCTACAAACCCGGCTGTGGGTAAAGTTGATTGAAGTGTCGGCGTGCCTTGGTCGAATGACTTCGCCGTTGTTGCTTGAGGAGGCCGACGGCTTCATCGTGGTGGCCACGGAGAGAGAGGATGTCGCTGGCGCCCGCTGACCTGGCGGAAGAGTAGAAGAGAGAGGATGTCAGTTCTAACTCATATTCGCCACACCCCACGGCCATATTCTGGAGGTTGAAAAGGGCTCGCCCTCCCCGATCACCGGCAGCCCTCGAATGATGGGCGCCTCCAGGCATCTAGTCGGGGGACTGGCCAGAAAACGAGCTTTGAAGCCCGGTGGAATGAAATTGTCAGATGCTCACAAGCCTGTCCCGATTCTGATAGGGTGTCGATCTCATCTAGAGAAATGGAAAAGGTACGAGGTCCTGCAGCACACTGGATGGCATCATTCACACCAATTCCTTAACGACCAAGGCCGTGGATTACTATGTTGACTATTGCATGAACCCAGAGGAACTCATCACTTATCAGCGATGGTGGCAGAACCCGCCTTACATCCATCGAGGGCAGCACATTCCTATAGTAATCGAGAGCCCGGCTTCAAATCACCCTCAGTGGGACTGCGATCCAGGCTGGTACCCTGTTGATGAAACCTATCAGCCAACAGTCTTCCTGCATATCAAGGCCATCCACAGAGAGCGGAGTGACAATTCAAAGCAGCAACGATGCAGCGGGAAGACTGGCCTACCTTCAGTTGTGCAAACAAGCGGAACAGAGAAACGGAAAAGGTGCTGTGGTGATCGGTGAGGGCGACCCCCTTTTCAACCACCCGAGAACGTCTTCCACTATCGAAGCCCGCCGTGGAGTGTGGCGAATATGAGTTGGAACCAACAACCTCCCTCCTCTTCCGCCCGGGCCTTGCAGGCCGCCAGGTCAGCTGACGCCAGGAAATGGCTGTGGGAAAAGCTCCTCCAAATGAGACTTGTTGGATGTGGAGTCTTACCTGCTTGTTCCAGTGCTCAGACTCGGTGAGGTGAATCAAGTGGTGGTTGACTCTCGTTGGAAACAGCTGGAAGATGAAGTGGAAGATGGAGTCGGGAGGATGGAAAGAAAGATAAAAGTTGAAGATCACCACCAATAACAGCCGCCGAACAAACTGATCTGGCTGTCCTCGCCGATATCCGACCCTAAGCGCTACGACTGAGTCGTCCCCGGCGAACCGCAGCACGAAAAGGCCGGGTCGACCGTGGACCTCGGCGAAGACGGACAGAGCGGAGGCAAATGGATTTACCTGCAGGACGGGAGCAGACCGAGTGAATTGATCGAGAAGGAGCTAATCATCGAACTTCGGCACGGAGGCGAAGGGGGAGTGATGTGAACGAGGGCCGCGAGGGACCTGCAGTGAGTGGAGCCAACACTGCACGATAGCTGGATATGACATCCTCTCCATGGCCACCGCGCTGAAGCCGTCCGCCACCTCTGGAAGCAACGCCGGCGTCATTTGGTTGAGGTTGGCCGACGCCTCAATCAACTTTACCCACGGTTGGATAGGAGGCAAGACGGGCACCGGCTCTCCATTCAACAGATACTGGAATATCATTGATACAGAAAGAGACATTTTAAATTGCCACAACAAAGCCGTGATCCACGGAAGTGGTATCGGTTGTTTGCGGGTGGCAGGACCTGTTCCATTTCTCTGTTCCGCTTGTTTGCACAACTGAAGCTTGTCTCCCCCGTTTCTGTCAGCGCTGCATCGTTATTGCTTGGAATTGGAATATGTCTTCCACTATCGAAGCCGCCGTGGGGAAGTCCACGCTGCGAGTCAATGACAGTCATGATCACGCCGTAGAGAATATTGAAGTCGACGCGCCCCTCGGTGCGTTCAGTCGTTGCATCCCAGGATGAAGTCGGAGGTTGGCAGTAGAGGAGCTGGGTGAGGGCGGAGGAGCTCCTGTCAAGGGGCCGCCTGCCCAGGCACCGGGTTGGGGATCGGGAAACCCTCATGCCTATACTGTAATGGGCGTTAGAGGTAGTGGTGGCCCGTCCACGCCGCGAGTCAATGGTGGTTATGATCATACCGCAGAGAATGGGGGGAGACGGGCCACCTCCTACCACATCCTAGCCCAAGGACGAGCAGGCAAGAGTGGAAGATGCGATGCGGCAGCGGATCTGGACCCGGAATAAAATGCATTCGGTATTGTGTCTCTGGGGAAAGGCAGAAAAAGGAGCCTTATATCGTCTTGAATGATTCCGTGGGCTGGGCCATACGTCCCAAGACAGCCAGTTGGTCACAGCATAGCGACGTAGCATTCTCTAAGCCAAGGGTGGAGGGCCTCTCGACAGGGCTTAAAGTCGTCTACAGTTGCAAGAGGGGGCTCGAAAAAGCCGAGTTGAGGATCGAAGATACGACGGAGGGAGGGAGGGATGGATGGAGGAGAGCGGTCAGTCAGTCAGTCAGTCAGTCAGTCCATCCAATCCATACATACATACATACAGCACCCTCGCAAAGATATCCGTCCACCCCCTAGATTTATAGCCGCTTCGACTTCAACAGCAAATTACGTGAGCCACAGTCGTTCCATTGCTTTCACTGTGCTAGCAACATGCCAAAGAGTTGCGAATATCCAGTATTTCAGCGTGGGACAGTGGATGGACTTAACTTGCCTGGAAAGTCGCAACAGTCGTGAACATCCCTCGCAGCTCTGTGTGCAGTATATCATCACCCACCGTGAACCACATCGCCACCAACGCCCCGGACAACCCGGAACGCTCTCAAAACGAGCGCAGAGACGAGTCATTCGAGATGCGCAAGCGAATTCACGGCGTTCCGACCAACAGGGAATCCGAAACGGTGATCTTGACGTCTCGATCGATACGGTCCGGTAGGAGACCTACATCAAAGGCCGAGGACGCAGCTTAACGCCCCCATTCGCTGCCAGATACAAGGACTGGACCTGGAGGATTGGTCGTAAGGTATTTGGTTAGATGGACGCTCGATCGTGCGCGGCTCTCGTATCTCTCGCGAATGGAACGTCCGCGCGCCGGAATGGAAGTGGAATAAGGAGTTGATCACTCGGAAAGGGAACGCAGGATGTCTCAAGTGTGATCTGGGCGGCGATATGGGCTGCGCAGCGTCAGATGCGTCTATTCGATCGCGAGACTGGGCTGTCAGAAGGATGGGCTGTTCGGCGGATTCCGATCTCCAAGTTCCGAAAGACGACATTCCTGTCTGCTCGCAGCGTATGAGGACATTTATGCACGACAATGCCCCTATTAACCGTGCAGAAAGGGTCCAAAAGTGGTTCGAAAACCAGGCAATGCCAGTGCTGGACGGGCCACTATATTCGCCGGATGTGAACCCTGTTGAGAGCCTCTGGCTTGAGCGAGAACGCCGGGTCAACGAGATCGATCCTGACCTGAAGGACACTGCCGGGGATCGTGAGGCCATCAGCGCCCGACTTGCCAGCGCGAGATCAGGGCACGGGCCGGGATTCGCTCTGGAAAGATGAAGGCCGTGGTCCCGTCCATGGACTACAGCATTGACGCTGTTATCGCCGCGAGGGCTGGGATACGCGACATGAAGCATTTTTCTGTCTGAGCCAGTGTTAATGGTATTGAGCTCGCCCTCCGACAACTTAGAGGGAATTATCATAGAAAATGAGGACGTGGTGGCTACATTGTGTCGTGGTAGCAGGGGGCTGAATATTTGGTCGAGGTGGGAGGGACGGATATTTTTGTGAGGGTGCTGGACATGCAGAATTTCCTTCCATTCTTCCCTTTCCCTCTTATTGATTGAATGTTCCGTCCCGCGTAGCCAGCTGGCTTGCTTGCTGGAGAGCCGAGGGAAGATACCGCCTCGCCGCCTGAGCGAGAGTGATTGATTGATTGATAGATGGATGGGCAGGGCTCCCCGCCCGCCCGCTCGCTCGCTCATACCAACCAGCCAGGCCTGGGGACAAGGGACGAGGACGAGACCTGTTCCTTGAGCTTTTCGCTTGGCTTTTTTTGACCGACCAACTCCAGAAACTGCTCACGAGGAAAAGAGAAGATGATCATTTGACTTGAGGAGACACACCATGTGAACTTTTGATATCAAGCTCTGTCTGGAAGTATTACGGCTCCCCCAACCAGCATTTGCTGATGGTCACCCGGCAGCAAACCTGGGGTGTACGACTTCGTAACTAGCAGCCCAACACGCAATCCACCGGGATCGCCAGGCCTGTACTGGGAACGCTGCTCTCGAGCGCCATCGGAGAGATGGTCGGGTCATCCAGCCGCTTCTGCACGGCGGCCTTGAAGCTCTAAACGACGTGGTCGCGGCCCGGGAACGACAGCGAGAAGTAGTCGAGCGTGTGCAGGCGTCCAGCCGCGCGTGCATTTCCTCTGCGCATTCTCCAGCCAGTTTCGTAGTCACCGCTCTCCCTCTCTTGGTTGCGGTCTTTCGCTCTTCCCGCCAAAAGCAAATTGTAGAAGCCACGTAAAACTAATGACCAACTTCTTCTATCATCTGCCGGTTGACCACACCAGTAATGTTTGCGAACTCGGCAGGCGAAGGTAATGTCGAAGTGATGACGCAGGAAATCCAAATTGTGCAATCTGGCACCGAGTTTGACAAAAGGAAGTAATGGCAGGAGGTGACCTGGGGACGAATGGCCCTTTCGAGCGCATCTCAAGCCCCGGAGCAGCAACACGATACGTCTTCCTTCATGTCGATCGGTTGTTCATCTTCATCCCCCGCGCCCTGCGTCTTGGTCCTGTGCATCAGTGCCATGACCGGCCGGAGAAGGAAGAGGAAGAGAAAAGTCTAGGGTTTTCGAGTTCCGGGAGCATTTTGGCGTCTCCATGGACGTGGCTGCAGTGGACTCGGTCGGCGTGCACAAGGTCGCAGTTCGACAAATGCTCGGTCTGATAAACAGCGTTTTATGGTTAGGCAATAGCAATAGCAATAGCAATAGTGGTAGTGACAGTGATACAATACACGCAATAAAGATGAAAAATAAAAAACCGCCTGACGACGGGTTGCTCGGAGATGAACATGACGTGGAACGCCATGGGCTCTCGATGTAATCAAGCCGGGACCTTTCGCCATCTTTAAAGACGAGTTTGTCGGTCAATGCCTTAGCTGTGGGTTGTACCAGTCATGTCCAAAATTCTTTCGGCTGGGCAACGGTCACTTTATCTCGAAGATCAGAGCCACCGATTTGGAACTGTCCCACTGATCGAAGAGCCGCGGGCTTTCTGATGTTGACGAGCTCCATCACGAGATGCCAGGATTGACCGCGAAATTGTCCTCTTTTCAAGGCTCTCCTCAAGTCTTCAACTTGGACATCCCAGTCCCGGCCCTGAGGATGCTGATGGCACGGACTTTCTTTGCTTGTCGCACGCCCTGGTACGTGCCTCCCGTCGGGGTTGTCACTTATTGACATTCCACCCGGACGAAATCCAATGCTGTAGGAGAAAAGCACACTCGTTAGATGGCCGAGCACGGACCCGAAATCAGCTGAGCCACTCCCTGAGTGGTGCCCCCCGCCACCCACGGAGAGGCCCCAAACCCAAGCTGCGTAACCCCCCATCGGGCCCGACACCTGGCTGCCGCAAGGATGGCACGCCCATACCGCCCCTGCGTTGTGAAGAGGGCGGGTTCCTTTGCCAGGTGAGGTAGAGAAGTAACAAACAAGTCGAAGAGCATCGTTCCAACAGTCACTCACCCTCAAAACATTTTTCACCTCTCATTCATCCACCCCTAAACATTTTCAGCTTAGGTATATTCTTTACTGTTCCACGCCTAAACATTCATTTTTTAGTTTAGGTGCATCTTTTATTCTTCCACCCCTAAAAAATTTTGTTACCATTCCTCTTCCCATCCCAAAATATTTTTCCCTTGCTCTCCCACCCCCAAAACATGTTTCACCTTTCACTTCGGCCCATCCCTAAGTTATTTTTCGTCTCTCACTCTCCCACCCCTAAATAATTTTTGGTTTAGGTGCAATTTTCACTCTTCCACACCCAAACATTTTTTCAGTTTAGGTGCACTTTTCACTCTTCCACCCCCAAAACATTTTTCACCTTTCACACTCCCACCCTCAAAATATTTTTCGCCTCTCACCCTCCCATCTCCAAAACATTATTCACTTTTACTCTTCCACTCCTGAACATTTTTTCAGTTTAGCGGTACCTTCATTCTTCCAACCCTAATAATTTTTTCACCTTTCACCCTCCATCCCAAATTATTTTTTCCCTTTCGCTTCTTCCATCCCCAAGTTATTTCTTATCTCTCACTCTTCCACCCCAAAATAATTTTTGGTTGAGGTGCACTATTCACTTTTCCACCTCTCAACATTTTCTCGTTTAGGTGTACCTTTCACTCTTCCACCTCTTATAATGGGCTGTAAGACGGTGGTGTATAGTGCGGCCACACCTCTATACGAGGGTATCTTCACCCTTCGGAGGGCACTGGAGTTGATGGACGACAAGTCGCAGCGGTGGATCAGCATTGAGCCTTGCTTCACAGAGAATGTATGTCAGAGAGCTTTGGGGTGGGATCGTTAGACGAAGAGTCAGAGGGTTGAACACGTATCTGGATTGTATAAAGCTGTCCTTGAGACATCGACTTCTCGCACTGTTGAGGGCTTCTCCAGCAGTGCGAGAATAGAGGTCCTATTTATCTCTTTCTGTGTGTACCTCGTGGGGGCCGCCTTGGCACTTGGGGGCCGTTGGCCCCATGGGGGCCATTCGCCTGATGGGGGCCACTCGCCCCATGGGGTGTTGTCGGCCGGGGAGCCCGGGTGACAACACTGAGACCCTCTATCCTGCATTGTCCCTCGTTTCCAAGGCCTATGGCTACTCAACATAAACATACACGGTCATTTGGGTCACTGTTGTTGTTGGTGGTGATGTTGGTGGTGGTGGTGGTGGTGGTGTAGTCAGTGCCTCGACCAGAAAACCATTCCCAGCGACCGACCTGCGGGACAGGCCCCTATGCGTTGTCTCATGTGCATGCCAACTCTCATTTGCATGCCAACCACCGATCGAATCCTCGTACACTGCAGATAATTTTTCGTTCAGGTACACCTTCAACTATTCCACGCCGAAACCTTTGCCATTTATGGACACGTTTCACTATTCCGTCCCTAATTATTTTCTGCTTTAGGGATGCCTTTCTTTGTTACGACCCTAAACCTTTGGTACCTTTAGCTGTACCGCCCCTGAATAATTTCTGTTTCGTTAAACCTTCAACTATTTCGCCCCTACACTGTTCCACCTCTGAACTTTTTTTCCAACTTCAAATATTTTTGCCATGAGGTACACCTTTCATCATGCCATCCCCGATTTTTTTTTCCATGAGAAGCACACCTCTCGTCATTCCACCCCCGAAAATTTTTTCCATGGGGTACACCTTCACTATTCCGCCCCCAAACCTTTTGTACCTTTAACTATTCCACGCCTGATCTCTTTTGAAGTTAGGTACGCCTTGAACTATTCAAAGCGGAGAAAGCCTCATCCAACACCGTAGGTCTTGCCCACATGTCTATACCTACCTACCTCCGACCGGAACCACCCGAGAAGTCACCACCAGCGAATATGCTCCTGAAACACACTCAAAGGATAAAAGAGATTGGAGGATGGAACGACATCGTCTTGTTCTGGTGCAGGACTCTTGTAAGCGCCTGGTGTCTCCGAAACCTTTGCCGATCGGTACGATGATGCCAGTGGCAAGAGAAAACCCGCATGAGATGGCACAAATGTCCGCGAGTGACAAAAACTACCACACCAAGTCAACTTTACGACAGTCTCAAAATTCGATTGAAAATCGTTGAGATCACCAGGAGGAGATGGAATTGGACAGCCTTACAATAGGGTATTTTTGGGGGAAGTTTCGTCTCTTCTTCGGACTTGTCCATCTCCCATACCAGTCGGTGTCTGGCCGTCCCAGAGCATGTCCGTTGGCGTCGACAAAAACCCCCACGATCGAAACCGGATGATCTCCCTCAGATTTCTCACTCTTATCACCTGCATATCAAGCGATCGCAATCAAGAGTGGCAGATGCTTCGAGGAGGGCAGGGAGCTGATTGCGGTTCAGAGCCGCAGCAAACGACAAGTCTGGTCACTCAAGAAGCTGGACAAGACGTATGGCTTCCCGGGCGGTGCAGAGATGCAAGGCTGACACGAGAGTGGGAGATGAAAAGAGTGGCAACTCATTCAGGTATATTCTCTAGTGGAGGATGCCCAGAGCCAGCCTTGAGGTTGTCCCGTTCGAACACGAATCCCCCTATCATCGTGCTGTTCAAATACCATGTGTTCGTCCTTCCTACGGCTGAGTGCTTCTGCAAACCCACCAACACCACTACATTCGCCACGCCAACGATAACCATGTGTGGAAAACATTGACTCAAGGGCCTCTGCCGGAAGGGCGACGCCTCCGGTTACTTGCACGAATATCACCTGCGAAAGATGAGCGAATGCCAGTTTTACAACCAGGACGGGTACTGTCGGAACGGCGACGAGCGCCTCCGCTTATGTTGCGATTTTCTGTTGAGCCAGGGGATCCATTTCTTCAGTTTTTACAATTTCCTCACGTCTCATGATGCTCTCGACGGGCCCTAGAAGCCGTTTCAATAAGGCACATGGCACACGGCGCACCACAAGGGTCTCTACTTCTGGTCGCTGCTCATCTGCGCTTGGGGGTGACGCTGCAGGACTCAAACCTCAGCATTCATGCCAGCCGCCTGGATGAAGTGAGGCAATGAGAGGGGCAAACCAGGAATTTCAGTTGGGCGGCCCTCGAAGTTGCACGTTTCCTTATGTGTACTTCCTCGTGCGCGTGTTCAATGCGGACAAGGAGCCAGAAGCACAATTCCTGCGGGATCCCTGGTCATTCTATCTCCAGGACAATCTGCGGCTGAAGGCCGAGAAGGAATATCGTGTGAATGTCCACGGGCTGCGGATATGATCACAGAGGCAGTACTGCCCATTTTCTTACCACATCGATATGCCGAAGGGATGTATCTTGGATGTGAAATTCTGGCGTTAGAGCGTTACCGGCTTAAATGGACAAACAGCTACAGTTCTGATTGCTCAGCCCTTATCGGAGCTCCGCCCCAGGATCGGCTCCAAGACCACCCCAGGATCACCACCTGGATGTTGGATCACCTACAGGATCACCTCCGAGACCTCTCCCGGGGCCACCTCCAGGATGCAGGGTCGCCTCAGAATTTTTTTATTTTTTATTTTTTTTCAACTCGTCGCCGTTGCCGCAGCCACCGACCCAGCATTCACTAACAACTTCATCACCATCACAACAACAACTATTCATCAAACAGTCTCCATCTATTCTGTGGCGACATCCGATGCGTTTGTGGTAAATCTCCCTTGGGATCCCCGGTGTGCTGGGTTATGAAACCGCGAAACTAACTGATTTACAGGCCCCCTCGACTCGCGCATCGTCACTCCGAAGCCTTCGCTTCTCCTCTGTCTTCTCTCCTCGAAGCAATCCTTAACCCTCGAAGGTCTGCTGGCGTTGGACAGAAAAGGTGGAACTATAGCATCACAGACCAGAGTCAGACCCGCTGTCAACGTCGGCGTGGCAAGACCCAGTGGGCAGTCATTCGTCGTGGCCGGTCGAGCGCAGGTCTCTGTCAGTGCCAGCAAAACACACCTACTTGGCTACCATACTTATACACTTTGTGGGCGGCGATGGCGACGTCCCTGGTAGCCGGCAGGCAATCCCCAGGACCGCCCGCAGGACCAAATGCAGGATCACCTGATGACCTTCAAGACCACGCCCAGGGCGACATGCAGGATGCGGGATCACCTGCGGGATCACCTCTAAGACCACCTACAGGATCACCCCCAGGGCCACCTCCGAGACCACCATCAGGACGACCCTAGGCCCATTGCACCCTTGGAAAGTCTCTCCTCGCTTCGCTGGTGCCGTGAGGAGTCCCTGTCGGCTCACGCCTCACAGACTATTTTACGCGGGAAAGAGCGCCTTTGCTGGAAAGCCGACAACTTCCCAGCAAGTAAGCTCTCAGTGGTCTTTCACGCGAGGAACTATTCTCCCGGATTGCAGTTTCACTCGAGGCGACAATATCCCAGCCGGTACTCAATCGAGGTAGTCTTGCACCAATAGCCTGTTACCTGTTGAGGCCAGGGCCCAGGGCGACCACTCCGACCTGATAGACCAAGATGACTATCACCAGATCTGTTTTAGAACCACAGCAACAGGACGATACTCCCTCTGAAGCCGGTGACGATGTGAATGCCCTCTCGGCATCATACAACGCAAATGGTCCGCACGATACTCAGAAACGCTCCCGAATCTGTAGGTTAGCAACAACCCACCCAAAGCCCTGCAACGAGTCAACGAAGTGCGTCTCATCGCTCTCAGGAGATCAGCCAAAAGACACCGCTATCCCTGCAAATGATTGAGAAATTGGGAGTCTTGGTCGAAGCCTACTTCCGCTCAATCAACCCCGCCACTCCTATTCTTGACCAGGCTGAGTTCAGAGAGGTCGCCTCTGCTGGAACTTGGAATGACTCTCCATGGCTTTCTCTTTTTAACATGGTGCCATAGACCTTATCAACAGGCCCCTGCTTCTCAAGAGAGTGGAGATGAAAGCTGCGACGACCCGCCACAACCTTGCGGTGTTATCCTTCGCACCAGTCGCTACCCCATGGCTCGACCAATGGAAGGCCAAGCAGATGATGTCTTCATAGCGCTCAAGAAACGCAGAATCGTTTCCGAAAGACTCGATGCCTTCCGCCGCAGACGGGAGAAGAAGCTCATGACCACCGAGGAAGTCAACGAAAAATTCCCTTTGACAAATTACAAGACATGGCGATCCAATCGTGCCGACGAGGGTTTGCCCATAGCTTTAGAGATTACTACCTCTCACAGCTTTATGTGAGTCTTCGCCATCTGCACGCTGGCGGGCGAACAAGCACCAAAAGACGCAAGTATTCTGGCCCTTGCCACTGGTGTCGCCAGCAAAATCAAGATTTTCCGCAAGTTCAAAGACTGGAAACTGGTGGGATGCCCCAGGCGGCTCATAGGATCAGGGCGGGCCTCAAATCACCGTGAGATGCTAAGCTCCCAGCGGGGGAGGCGGAGAGAGTACCGGCTAATTAGCTCCTGCGCTGGGGCACGCCCGTGGGTAGCCCATTCTCCTGCCCCCTTGCCCCCGGAACCTTCACAACAGCACCTCTGGCTAGACAAAGGCCACACCGCAGGCCATTCGCCACGACGATCTTGTTTGGAATACAGACCCAGCTCAAGACCCAGCCCAGAGCCCGTCCCAGGCGGGAGCAAAGGGCCGTCCATGGTAAGTTGCATACGAACTCCGCACAACCAATCTCTACATCTCACAAGGCTGCCGCCAGCCGTATCACCTCGGCTGCCACAACATTACGACATCATGACTGGCTGCAAAATGCATCGAGCGGCTCTCATTTCCTACAGACGGCCATCACGAGAGCACGATAGTCGAATGTCTTTTCATCTTATCCCGCGAGAATCTAAAGCAGGCGACAGGTGAGCGAGCCCGACGACGCACAGCCTGGAGAATCTGACGCTGCGTCCGTCTTGAATGAGAGACTCGTGATGGTGTGAGTGGAGAGCCGCGGGGGCACGCGCCCTGCACCTGGCCGACGCAGGATTTGACGGTGAACTTGGCTCCGGTTCTGAGCAATGAACTTCGACCTTGCCACGGGAGACGTTCGTGTCGTCGAAGGGAGATATTACAGCCAGTTCTCACTATGAAGCAGCGCACGTAACCGACGCCGGTTAGCCATATCTTTGTTTGCCTTCCGTGCAACATCCAACACCTGATGCAATCTGAGAGTCCCAGAAGGATGCCAGCACTGTTCCGGTTGCGTCTGAAATTTCCAGCTTACACCATTCGTCCAAATCCGGTGCCAGACGGGAGATGGCTAGGGTCCAACCCGACGCGGGAGAACATTGCTGGACCTTGCATTTCTCACTGCGACCTGCTTCCGAGCTAGAGATGCCTCCCCCCGCTTCCCGATGCAAACCTCCGTCCCGTGGCACTCATGATGAGCAGCGGTCAAGTTCATATTCAGCTGGCCTGGAACCAGATGTAGCGATCCGTTCAGCCAGTGCGTGGGAAGCAGCCTAATGTGATCTCTTGGGGCATCGCTACGCCGTAGTGGTTAGAATGCTCTCGCATACAAATCCAGAGTAAACCAAAGACAACAGATATGATAAAGAACCGAGTATCAAGAGACTTGTATTGCTTTTGAGTGGTGAGTGACCACGAAAAGCTGTTCGATTTGTGGGATCAAATGATCCACCGAACATATTGCACGTTGCGGTGCTATAGCTCAGCGTAGACTTCTGTGCGCAGGTCCACAGCTTCAATAAGTTCCAAAACTTCAGCCTCCATCAGTTCGTAAGGATCTCTCGCTTCAACCAGCTCCATCCCACGAACTCGAACGCCATATCACTCAGCATGGCGTCTACGGGCCGAGCATCGAAATCAATAAGCAATGGACTCGCTGCGGCTGCGGCTGTGAGACCCCGATATGTCTGTCGCACATGCCATCAACCACTGCAACGCGAAGCACAGCACGCCCGACGTCGTGGGCGGTCTGTTCGCTCTTGAGCCTTTCCGCGGCGTGGCACTCGCGTTCCCGGGTGTTGACGGCGCGGAGGAAGGCGGTGCGTGGATGAATGGGTAGCTGTCAATGCCCATTCCGAGCTCGACGACACGGCGGACGGACCGGACCTGTCACAGGCACGGCAGCTGTCAGCGAGCGGATGTTGCTGAAAGGAAAAGCAGAAAGGCAAGAAGGGAAGAAAGAGAAGGGAATCGGAAACGAGGGCAGTCCAGCATGAATGAATCACTCACCAGGACCCAGACTCCGGCAATCCAGATCCCCAATACCCCCTTCCGCGCCCCACAATCAAATGCTGTATCTTTGCACCAGCTCCCCCGCTTGATAAAGCTCCTGAAGAAGACGAGGAAGACAATGAACGTTATAAGCTGCAGGCTCAAGTCGACGAGCAGCACATTGGTGCCCACGGTCTTCAGGTTCCCCTCCCAGTTGCCCGCGCAGGCGATGCCGGAGCCGGATCACTGGGCGAGGGAGCCAACGATGTCCAATGTGATGAAGAGCGGCCGAGCCAGAGGGGCGGGACGCGGAAGAAGACCTGCCTATACGTCGGTAAGGTCGTCCGGATTAGACGCGTAGGCAGCAGGTACGACGTGACGCAGACGAAAATGGGCGAGATGGCGATATCTGACGCGCTCACGGCATACAGCGGGATCGAGGCGAAGTTGTCGATCGACGCGTTGCACACCGACCAGCCGGCCGTCGAGATGACGCAGACCACAAACAGCGGGATCGTGTCCTTGTCCTTGTCACGCGCGGTGTGGTTGTGATGGCGGTGGCGATGGCGCCGCCGCGTCGTGACGACGGAGTTGAGGTAGCCGTGCCACACCGTCAAGAGGACGTAGAGCACTGAGAAGACCACGGCCGCCGTGGTCAACGGCGAGCAGAAGTACAGGTTTTTTGTTGGTCCGAGTTGGAGTTGTCGTCGTTTGACATTTTTGGGGACGGCGAGGAATGGAGAGGGGCCTGTTGGTGTTAACTTGCTTTCGATGACATACTTTGTCGACCGGTATGCGAGAGTGTCGGGAGTGTATAGATTCTTTCTGCCTGTGTGCCTAAACTGGAAGACGAGAATGTTGCTCGGGACTGTGGTTAGCCGTCCTGTCATTTTCATCCAGGTCCAGGGAGTATATATGTATATACATGTATATTTATATATAAGGCTTGTAACGAGAAACAGGTGATGATGAGTCTACCCAGACCGATGAATAGAGACAGGGAGATACCTCGAGCACCAAGAGAAGAGGAAAGAGCACAAGCATCTATATATACATGCTTAAATCGTACGCCATTCACCTCCATTCCCTTTCAGCTTGTTTGTCCTGAAGACCATCGCGACCAGTCTTCCAGGACTCTTGAAGTCCGGTTCCCACTCACCGTTCGTCCTGAGATACTATGGCAAGTAACCTCAAAGATCCGAGCCCTGATCTCCTCATCGCAGATTGTGGTGGCCGACTCTTATGCCGACTGGTGCGGCCCATGCAGAAAAATCGCCCCCGTCGTTCAACTTTCAGCGCAACAACTCTTTCGACCACACAAGATCACCTCCGCAAGATCGACACCCACAAATTGCAGGACAATGCGCGATCCTATGGCATCCGAGCCCGGCCCACATTCATGGTCTCCAAGAACACGAGGCCGGTCAGAACCATTCAAGGCGCAGACCGGGAGGCGCTGTCCCACACGGTGAAAGAGCTGGCGAGCGCGGCGAGACAAGCAGATCCCGCAAGTTTCTCATCGTCTCGCTCTCCCGCTGTGCTCTGTCCGTCGAAATCACCACCCGCCTATCTGTGTGCTGCCTCATGCCCTCATCGGCGGTCCTCTCGACGGTCCCGTCACGAAAGAAGGAGTGAGAATGGGGCTTTGTATCAATAGTCTTCCATCACCACCAAAATAAAAAGATAGTCTGGTCTCCAACAAGGATGATCGGTCCCCTTGTTGGCACTGCCCGTATCTCCTTAGGACTCATTCCTAGGAGATATTGGGTTCTGTTATAGGTTGATCGCCGAACGTCTTTATGGCCGGTTGTGATAAACCTCCTCCACCAATTCCATCAATAAGTATTTGATGTCAGCTGATTTGACTCCAATCTGCCGCCCTGACGATCTTGTAGCTCGCCCCTGCAGCGGCAGCACCGATACACCGCGTCTGTACCGCGCCGCAGAATGGCTGTCTCCGACCACACCCGGCAAAGGCGCACTTGAAGTACCCGAAGACGATCAGGATGACGGCGGTGAGTTATCTCCACGCCTGCCAAGTTATATGCGATTGAGTGCAAGCTGCTTCAAAGCTGAGACTCTCAACGGGCGTCCACGTCGCTTGTGTATCAATGCATACTGCCAACACGGGGCTACTGGCAAGGGCTGTTGTTGATGTCGCAATGACAATACCAATCCGACTGGCCGAGTAAAAGCCCTACCTTGTAAAGCTGCAAGGGCGCATGGCAGGGATAAACGATACGTCGCATGCCAATGGACAGTAGTTCGTCGAGATATCACGCTTCCTCCACGATTATCCACTCGAGCACGTTTAGGCTGTGTAACCGACTTTGGACGATCATGTGGAGAGAAGAAAGACTCCCATGACACGATTGCGGGCCGGAGCATCAGCGAGCCATTCGTGGTGTTCCCGAAACAACCTGCCAACTGGACTGTCCGGCTTGTGCCCAGGAATGAAAATGGTGCATACGCCAGTAGGAGACTAACGCTTGTTGTTGACTTCCAATCTCTTGACGGAATAATGTTGGCCATTCTTGAGAGACAGTTTACCAAAGAGCTTACCAATTCGAGGCACGCTTTTGCCGCCCGGCTGCTCACATCCCGTTTACTGCAGCGTGTTCGTACCACGTGGACCGAGAAAGATGTGGAAATTGCAGGATTAACACGAAAATTTGAAGTGTGGAAGATAGAGGATATGGATTGGCCGTCGGTTTTGTGCGCCTTTGACCGAAGAAGAAGAGCCGAGATTGAAGAATGGCTTCGAGATTGGCATTCTCGAACGGCCCCGATCAGGTTTTCGTCTTCCAAGGTTCCCCAGCGCCAGGTCAGATTGTTTGTTGACATTCCGCCGCGTTCGATACTTGTTTTGGCATTTCTGGACTCCAAATGGTCAAGGCTACCACGCCCGACTGCAACAATCGGCCAGCCAACCACTCGCCACAGCACAACAGGATCGGGCTGACAGGCTGTGCAATTCAGGCCTCAAAGCCGTCGAGTGCCGGAGCAATATCTTTGCTGCCAAGCCACCTGACAATTTTGAAAACCGGATGATGATCAAGCCCAAGACTTAATGACACCACAGAGACCTGAAAGTGTTGGCTTGGACCGGAGGGGGCCCGTGCTTCACCTAGGATCATGGACTCTGTCGAGTTCAGCTCGTACTGTCCGGTGCAGAGAAATGAACAATGAATCATTCGGGTTGGTGAAGAGGGACAGCGAATGACTTTGTTTGGCCACCTCCCTTCCCCCCCCTTCCTCCCTCAGTGCTTACCCACCTGTCTATCAATTGCGTCGCCTTGAGACCCGTGCAGAAAACACTGACGGTACCGACTCCCCTCTGTGCGAGCTGCCAGAACCCGCCGTCGAGCGTCTGCTCTGACGTTGGAAAATCCCGGACTGTCCGACCGGCTTAGATGATGTTTCTGTGAGCAGTCCACGCCCAGCCCGCGGTAATTCTCGATGATGGCCGACTGCAGGTCGTCGGTGTACGGGATCAGCAGGCCCATCTGTGTAGCCCCCAGCCGCTGGATGAGTTGATTGAGTTCGAGCACCGACGTCGTGGCAGGAATACCGTGGAGAGGCACGGCAAGCCAAACTTATCCTTTGCTGTTTTTTCGTATGGCCTGGACCTCCCGCACTGGATATCTATCTGTGGGATCCTTACCTCGACAACGCTTATAATGTTCGACACCACCCTCCAGCCCTCTCGGCCAACAACCCTGCACCTCCTCTTGATCAATCGGTGACCCCTTAGACCGACATGATTAGATGGGTGTTTTCCAGCACGTCAGCGAGACAGATGGTGTGTCCTGAGTTTGACGTTTTCAAAGCTTGCTTCATGTGGGACCACGCGTGCAGTCTCCTTGCGCACTTTATCATCCTTTCGAACCTGTCACACATCCTCTTGCCATTGGACACCCCCCAACCCAGGCGCGCAGCCACCCCTACAAGCGTTTCATTGTTCCTCTCCGACATGAACGACTCTAGGGCTGTTGCCTTTGGGCATCTGGTGGAGGAAGGGGATCTAAAAGGTATCTTTGAGAAGCTGTGGAGTGTAAAGATAGAGAGAAAGCTGAAGGGTGACGAAGGTTGGAAGTTGGAAGGAGGAAGCACACGTGACCAAGTAGGCGGTTGCTGATGACACGAAACAGTCGCTGCAGCTCAAACACGCCAAACACTCCCGACGAGCGCTGAAGATCACCGCCCTGCGCCTTGAACATAGGTGTACTACGCTCAATGGGCACTATGAACTCGATCCCCATGCAGAATCTGCACGATTTGACAACCTGACCATGGCTCGGCTGGCACAAAATGAATACCACGTGGGGTGGATGTGCGCCTTGCTCGTGGAGATGGAGGCAGCAACAGCAATGCTAGACGAAGACCGTCGACTGTCAAGGGTCAAGAGGCGATCGGCCAATGACGACGGTTTGTCAAGTACACACTGGGTGGGCTGAGAGCAATGCCATGCTGAAAGTCAATCTGCGTGAATGCAAGATTGCTGTAAGAATACAAGATTGCAGGGCTGTAGGAATGTTGTAGGAATTCACGATTTCAGGAATGCAGAGATGTAAGATTGCTGCAGGGATGTCGCCAGGAATGGCAGAAATGCGGGAACGCACGATTGTCCGAAACTGGAAGACTGTTATCAGGGTCTCGCAACACTGTTGCCAGGGATGCGGGACTGCTTCAGGAACGCAGGATTGTTGCAGGAATGCTCCAGGGCTATTGCGGAAATGCATTCCTCCAGGGATGTAATATTGTTACAGGAATGCATGACTGCGAGGCCACGAGAATGCAGGAGTTCACGATTGCGGGAATGTAGCTAGGAATGAAGAAATGTAGGATTGCCGGAAGAATGCAGGAATGCAGGATTGCCCCAGGAATGCAAGACCGTGGCAGGGATGTAAGAACATTGCCAGGAATGCAGGGCCACAAGAATGCAGAAATGCGGAAATACTTATGATACTGTTCCAGGCTGCAAGACCATTCGCAGGAATGCAAGGTTGCTACAGTAATGCAAATTGCTCCAATTCCAGGAGTATCGCCAGGAATGCAGGACTGTTGCAGGAGAGCCGGCATCCAGCCAAGTATGAAGGATTGTAGAAATGCTCCCAGAATGCAGGATGTAGGCAAGGGATACGGCCAGGAATGCAAACCTATTTCTCACCCACCGGTGAGCCCGGAGCAGCCGGAATGTCAAACTGCGCAGCACAGACCCCATCACAGTCGACATCGAAACAGCCTGTGGAATACTTCAGGTCCACACGGTATATGGCCAGTTAGGTGAAAGGAAAGGATGGAAAGGTGTCTTTGGGAGGCGGCTGGAGGCGATCGAGGTAGGTACGGGCACGGGCACGGGTACGCGCACGCTCACGCTCAGGTCGGGTCGGCGTCCCTGTAAACGGCGAGGCGAGGCACGGCAGGCCGTGGATGGATGGATGGATGGATGAGGAGGACAGATTGTTGATGTGATGGTGTGGTTGATGGATACCACATTCCATTCCTTCACCTGATATCCTGAGGCCTTGACATCCCAGTATACATGTATATGGTGTGTGTGGTGTGTGTATTGGCGGTGGAATGCAGGAATACAGATCCGAATGAATGCATGACTGTTACAAGGATACAGGATGCAGGACTGCAAGACTGTTCCAAGGATGTGGGGTTGCCCCAAGAATGCAAGATTCCTCCGGGAATGTAGGGCTGTTGTAAAAGTGCAGAAACGCGAGAATGCAGGTTTGTTACATGGACGCGGGACTTCAGGACTGTTGCAGGAATGTTATCAGGAATGCAGGAATGCACGTTTGTTCCGGGAACGTGGGATTGTTCCGGTAATGCAGCACTGTTGCAGGAATGCTCCAGGCATGAATAGGAGCTCGCCGTCGAACGGGGTTTTTGCTTGTTTGCGATTGTATGTTAACCAACAACCCTAGAATATCGCCAAATCAGGTCCACAGCGCGTTCAATACATTACCGAGGATGTCGAACACATCATGAGACTTGACAGTCTTGAGCACGGGGAGGGTGTAAGCACCACTCCCTCCGTCCGCCTGCCTACCTACCTAGCCTCATGTGCAATTTCATGAAAGAAGATACTTGATTGATTGTGAGAGGAAACAAACACGAAGGGGAACATGGATATTCATTCAATCCGCAAGAGGAGCGAGCGGGAAGACGAGGGACGGAGGTACCCGGGCAGCAATAGTCTTGTATTCTCGGAGTGATCCTACAACAATGTCGCATTCCTGGGAACAGTCCTGCATTTATGCATTCCTGGCTGCCTTCCTACACTCCCCCAGCAGTCTTGCCTTCTCGGAGTAGATGTGCAAAATCGGCAACGCCGAAATGGCGGCAACGAGGTCGAAAGAGTTTCAACGACGAGGTTACGGCAGAAGGTCAGGAAAAGTGAGTTTTATGAAGCGGCGACAAGGCGACGACGGCGAGGTACAGCAACGGCAAGGTGTGTTTCGTACACTGGCTCCAAATCAGTCTCTTCTAATACGAAAAATCCTGTTGCTGGTTCATGAACATCCCTGTTGAGTAATCACATTGTAGAAATTGGAATCCGTCCCGATCGACCATGATTAGGCCGTGAGGAAGACGGCGTAGCGAGACGCCTTTTCGTCGCATAACTTTTCATCCACGTATGCGGCGGAAGTGAAAATATTACCATATTGTTCGCCACGTCTGGCGCTATCAACTGGTTCCAAATCCATAGGATTATCCTGGGAATCGAGCGAAATGCAGGCAGACTAGGCGCCTGGAAGACTTTGATGGGGTTGAGCCCCCGGGCAGATTTTGGCTTGGTATAACCCTCACCCGGCACACAGCACATAAGGACTCGACTGCGGATTGTCAGACGGCTTGAGGGGGTTCTGTGTGTGCAAATGTATGTGTAATATGCAAGGGGTACGTATGGGAGGCGGTTGCCGGGCACTTTAGGTATATCCCATGCGTTGTCAACGAAACACTATTACTTTCAAGCAATAGCACCCCGCCCATAATGGAAACGTCAGGTAAGTCTGCTACCTTCTGGTGGCCGGGTACACCAGAGGGGCGAATCCCGGCAGAGAGTGGGGGGTGCGCAAACTGGGAGAGTTTCATCGTTGTCGGTACACCAACTTGGCACAGATCCCTAATCCGGGAGCAGACCGCTCTATTTCGGAAAGGTGAGAAGAGTGATGTCATGCAAATTAATAAGGTGGAGGGGGTGGTGCAAACTGGGAGAGATTCAGCGTAGCGTTGTCGATACATCAACTTGGCACAGATGCCCGATCCTGGCGTAGACGGCCATGTCAAAACTTGCATTCACCAGTGACTGTGGTTGCAGCATTTGCGTTGTCGGATGATCTCCACCATAGTTCCTTTGGAAGAAGCTATCGTTTAGCACTTTTGTACCTACTCGGGAGTCGTGAGTCTGTCTACCTCGCGGGAACATCTAATCTTTTTGGTGGCAGCGGTGAAAGTTGACGTTGAGACGGAGTCTGGACAGCTGGTTATTGCTTGTATGTGAGCTTTAGAAGACACGCCCTAAAGCAGATACCCTATCCATCCGCTGTTGTTCATATATCTATTAAACATGTCCAATTCTTCTGTACTGAAGTTGAACTGGTCCCAGCTGGTGTTTCCGTAGCTGGCAGAGTCATAGACGGCATTCAAATTAGCACCGAACTTATCCACGCTCGACTAAGCTCCCCCAGGGAGGAAAGCCGGGGTAGAAGACCTCCGCGCTGGTAGGATGGTGGCGTTTCCAGGCCCAGAACACTACATCATTTAAATGATGTCCGCGGTATTTTGCCGCCGGATGCTAAATGCTCGTTGCTGTCGTGTCTGGCCATCTGGGCATTGTCCGTCATCAGAGAGTTGGCCAGATCGATATATATGCCAGATTTCGAGCTTCATTAAGACAAATCCAAACGCTTCGGCGTAGGGACTCGTGCCGCCTGCGGACACTTTGCCCAGTCGCTTGAGAATAGTATCGAAACAATATCTAGTCTTCAAATCAGGTACAACATCCGCGCCAAATTTGGATTCTGATGAGCTGAAGATCCAGTGAAGTTCGAGCAGCACCACAACGGTATGTGCGTTCCAGACAGTGTAGAGAGTTTCCAGGTTTCGAGCACATTCGTCACAATTCTGAAGGAGCCACTCCGGGTGGGAAGTCATCGACGTTATGGTCGTAGTGGACCGCGATCTCGTGGATATACAAGATGAGATATGCTGCCTGGTGTCGAACAAGCACTTTTCGAATTTCAGCCCGCGTTCTCCACAACAAGACAGAATGATTTAGACTTACGTTTGTCCACCGAAGGATCGACATTCTTCTCCCACTGTGGCAATTGCCTGAAAACACTTCAATTAATATCGCAGCCGTGGCTCTGTAAAGCTCAGATCGGCACCTGGATCGTCTATCTTGAAGGCTGCTGCCACTTCCTCCGCAATACGCGTCAGATGCGCAATATCACACAGCCATTTGGCCGCATACGGACTGGTTTTGAGCATCTCCAGACACTCTTCGACGCGCGGACCGAACCGGATCAGAGCCAGGAATCGATGCGATACATTCAGACCAATATGTCGACATTTCGACGTGGGTCCCCTGGTGTGCTCAGTTTGTCCGCACGGGGAGCCTAGTGGGCTACAGAGGTACCTCCTGTAGGCATACAACACCGCAGAAGAGGGACATGACTGTTTGCTCTGACAATTTCCTAAAGAAAGGAGTTTGAAAGTAACGGCGAGAAGTGATGGGCTGACACACAGAACAACACTCGTGGCCCCCAACATATCAGTCAATACGTACCTCACAAGGATTGGGTAGAGTGATCCCACAATACCACATCGGTACAGACGGAACCTGTACATATGTACTCAGTGCTAAGGGGGAGACTCAGAGCAGACGCGGTTTCTTGAGGGTCCATTCGGCTCAGCTCGACCGGGCCAGCGTGTGAGAGGGGGGAGGGCGAATACATGGATGGATGAATGGGGATGGACATTTCTCGAGACAGCAAAGGTGTTGAAAGAAAGAACCAGGGCTTTTTCATTCATTCGGTCGATGCCCCCCCACAGAAGCAAAGATTTGTTCATTCAGCCTCCGACTCCTTTGTGCTGCGAATCGGCACGCACTAATATCAGGAGAGCTCCAACAAAAAAATAATTAAATAAATCAAAATGGTATCATGGGAGCCACGAGGCTGTTGGGTTTGTGCCTGCCCAGGTTTCGGGTCACGATAGGGCTGACCGGAGAATAGCAGGGACGTCAGTGCGGCCTAGTGAGCCCACAGAAGCGGCACAAGTTGGAGGCTGTTCGTCATGTCATCCTTGCGACACGCCATGGACCCGATGCTGAGGGGCTGGACTGGAACTGACGACGTGATGAGTTAAGCGAGGGGTTTTGTTCGTGGCATTTTGGGTCTGGCGAACAGGAGCTCACAAAGGGCGAGACGAGACTCGTTTCATCTGTAGCGGCTATCTCAGTGTTTGACAAAGCTGTGACCAACGACGCAAAGATGGCCAATGGCAATGTATAGACCTGGAACCTATCAGCACCGTCCTTTTGGTGGTTTTTGATACTCTTTGCAGATATTATGCTCCGCTCATGCTTCCTCCATCGCAGCTGAGAACATGCCCTGCCACGTACGATGCATTGTCTCCAAGAAGAATATGACACTATCAGCCAGCTCATGAGGTTTGCCCATTCCTCCCATCGCTGTGGGGCCGTACCTAGTCTCCGTGCGACATCTGGGAACTGGTCAAAGGCTGCTCGCTGCATGCCAGATCCCGTAAGTCCTGAGAAGTTTGTATGCTGGTTTTCATTCCCTCTTTGTAGTCTTGCGCTCCACTACCGACGTACAAGGTGCGAGCAAATCCACACGGATGCCTTCCAATGCCCAGTCCAGCGCCCATGTTCGAGTCCGACCAATGACGGCATGAAGGTTGGAGGGGGGATGTGCAACATCAGCGCGAGGATGGTGGCCGTGAGCAGCGTCTTGTTGAAGGTGCTGGCCGTGTGTGTTGGGAAATATTGCGCCATCAGCTTCCTCTTGAACGCGGTCGACAGGGCCGATTCCGACGTGGTCCCAGGGGGCCACTGCTCCGGCGGCGCGATGCATTGTTGACACGACAGGTGCGAGACATACTTGTGGATCTCCACCAGGGGGTTTATGTACCGCAGGATCTGCAGCTTGAGCACGATGTCTTGGTGATCGGGCTGCTTGAGGTGCCGTTGCATCAGGTGGCCGATCCGGGTGGCCATGAAGCGCAGGTGCGCAAGTCCAAGGACGTAGGGATGGAGGCAAGCGGGATAGGTTGGGAGGGTTGGCTTCGAATATCAATTTCTTCACATCGATAGGGATCGGTCCGACGAGGAGAGAGTCAAGCTCTTGGTCGTGTTCTGCCGACGTGGCAGAGCCAACGTAGGTGAGTTTCCACTCCAGACCTACCGCATCATTGTCAGCTGATCTACGCTGTAGAGAAGAAGGTCTGCCAAATGTTTACCTTCACGGAGTTGCACAAGGCATTCGAATGTGATTTCGAATTCGTTGGCTGCCGTGAATGGGGTATGATTGTTCAGAACCTTGACATCGAGCAGAGAAACCACCGACATGGCTGCGACAACCGCCACAGAAGTTCTTGACTGCGTGTGCGTCAATCACAATACTCAAAAGACGGTTGAACGACGGTCTGGACGAGTGACCAAGAAATTGTGACTTGTTGAAGGGGCTGTGAAGGAGTGTTCGCGAGAATTGAATCCAAAGTCGCGTCTCGAGACTGCCCGTGACCATTCTGTGGGGCAAGTTAGCCGAAGCAGCTAAGTTCTTGGTGTCAGTTCTTGTTCAAATGACAGATTCCAACTGCAGGGCAACACGCGCTATCTCAAGTGAATCAACTTCCATCACTGACAACATCCTGTGATTATCTCGCCTCTCCTCTGTCCTGCAGTACGCAATCGCGAGTCAGGGATATCGGGAAGGCTGCCAGCTGTGGCCTTGTCTCCGAGATAGACAGATACTGTTTATTGTTTCGGTCACGATGCCCCTGGTCCCTTCCACTCCAGAATGTGTTCGAGCTCTGGTGCAACACACTGTCTCTTGTTCCTCTGACGCCTTGCCGCCCGGACTCTTTCCCATCAAGGAGATCTAGTTCCTCAAGGCTCATGTTGGAACTTCCAGCACTTATTTGCTGCACAAAAAAACTTCTTTTTTTTGGATTGTGTGGTGTTGTTGGCTTTGTCTGCCACGTCTTGCGGCGGCACCAAACTGAGTCGTTTTCCTGATTACTCGCTCTACTTAATCCAGTTTCTCATCGCCGTGGTGAAGAGGAAGACGAGAAGGACGAAGCCCGGCCGAATACCTGGATGAGAAAGTGTTCAAGATTGGTCTGTATCAGCTTGCTTTTTAATTATTATATCCATTTTTGCTTTGGTAATATTATACACGAAACACGAATCACCAAGTACTTACAAAGCAAGTTCCGCGGCGAACCACAAACCACCCTTCTTTCATTCAGGTTTTTGGAGAAAGCTCCAAAATCTCTCTTGCAGTCGATTTTCAAATGTACGAGTCTGCAAAGGGCAATTATTCAAGTTTGCATGTCGAGCTGACTCCAGTCCATGCAACAAAAGCAAGAGAAGTCACATTCGTCGCGCGTGAATGGCGCAGTTGATACGAATCGGCTTCTGGCACAGACTCCAAACCGGCAACGTGATCTCTACTTTCCAGATCTCGTCGACAGTGTAACGAAAAGGCCTCGAAGACGAGGTCCGCAGCAGCAAATTGGGGAGGAAAATCGAGAATCTTTCTCCGATCCAAGTCCCGCTCGTCAAGCATTATATTAACAGGCTCGTGCCTTCAACATCGAGATTCAGTCGGATTGTCGAAGTATATGACCTCACGCACTCTGCATGAGGGGAATTTCCCAACCAAACAGGCCAACACTTGAAATTTACCACCCATTTTGAGCCGCATTCCCCAACAACTCGGCTCGGTCCAGTTGGCGCCACCCTTTTCTTCCAATTTTGCCATTTCGTCCATGTGTAGGTCGAGGTTGTTAGACTCGAAAGAGTACGAGCAGGATGCAATCGAGAAGAAGAAAAAGAAACGAACAGGGATTGCCTCAGTAACGGCGAGTGAAGCGGCAACAGCTCAAATTTGAAATCTGGCCTCTCTCAGTCCGAGGTGTAATTCCTCAGCGCGTGGTCGTCTTCGAAAACCGAATCAGAAAATAATGAAGCAAAAGTGAACCTTCGACAATTTTTAGCGTGCATTTCCCCGGAGATTGGGACGACACCTTCAGGAGATTGGGAAGCCTAAGCATTGCAATGATGTGCATTCAAACGCCCAGTAGCTTCGTGTGGGCCGGTAGCCTTGCAGCAAGCCTGGGCCCAGAAGGATGGTCGGCATGGGGTGTTTACCTGGTGCCCGGTTGTCTGCAAGGCACTTTGCCGATCAGCACGGCGACGAAGCCTACCCGTGGTCGCTCGTGTGTCGACAACCAAAATCCAACACGACGAAGAACAAATGACGCATCTTTGTGCGGATCAAGAGAAGAGCCTTCAAGGGTTCGCAATCTACACCAATATGTCTGCTCAAAAGATACTTATTCCGCTCGGTGAACTCACGTCCAGCCATGAGTTTGTCTGTAGGAGAATCATGCTGATGAACGCCCTTTCTTCTGACATTCACAGGAAACAACCCACAAGTCATGACCAAACTGGCTCATAGACTGAGGGCTGTCTCCGGCCCTCTCTTTCCACGATGCATACAGGCCTCACTGACCCCATATTTCCACAAGCTGTGGTGACTTGCGGCTTCGGATAGAACAACACTGTTTTGGAAAGAGCATGGCCGGCACCGGCTGAATGACATCTTTGTTTGTGTTCATATTGATGGGTATATTAATACACAACCCATGGTTACAAGTAGCGGGTCTACATCCGGGCCACCAGGATTAGCCCGCATCTTCTTCTTCTTCTTCTTCTTCTTCTATATGGTAAGCGAGGACGGAGGCCATGTGCTGCCTGCTCATCACTACCCTGCCCCGCCCCTCCTTGCTTTCTCTGATAGTTCTGCTCAACCATAACTGTTTGAAATGGGAGACACGCCTCTCGTGGACCATTCCTTCCCATCAGCCCACGAATTAAATCATCGTCGCCCAAGAGAACAGGCCGAGAGGCCGGCTGAAGTCGAACGCACTTTGGCGCTAGCTTGGAATCAATTGGTCGTCGGCACAAGGGAACACTGGTACCTGGTCTCTGCACATCCCCTGCTTCTTGCTGAAAGTGTGGCTTGTGAGCGCTCGGAAGCCGGATAAGGGGGAAGATGAAAGCCATGAATCAAGAAGAAGCGCGGAGAATGGTAGCTCTCAGCTTCTGTTGCGAATTCGGGGATTCTGTTTTATATTAGTTGATTGATAATATACATCGGACGACACAAACTGAATTCAGCGGTCGACTGGCTGACAGGAGAGGGCGAATTGGCTGAGGCTCTGGCGGCGGGGGTCATCGGCGGCCAGAGACCGGGCCTTGAAACTAATGAGACTCCGTGAGCTGGAGTTGGAGAGGGACGGAGAAGAGCACCAAAAGATGGCTATGTCAAATGTAGCTTACGACGCAAAGAGCTCGGCATCGAAGTCGTGAAGTCAAAGCAGTGAATTTAGATGGGAGTTGCGATCGTCTCCCTTCCCCCATGGCTCGTCGGGAACCCTCGCTTGAAGCCACCATACCAGGATATATCTGCCACGGTCAACCAACCCTCTGCGAGAGCACTTCCGGATGGCGGAGCCTGGTTCCCACCTCAAGGAGAGATCGGCAACGTATGAAAGCATCGGATTCGAACCAGCGTCCAAAAGGGTCAACACTAAACAGCAATGGCGTTCGTCTTATGATTTTCCGCACCTTATCTAGCTAGCTGGTCGAGGAGGATGTTGTCGATCTTGCTTGCAGACACCACGGCATCTTTGGGGTAGAGTTTGATTCCCATGACCAGCTCTTTCAGCTTCTGGTTTGCCTGATTGGTACGTTCCTGTGTCTCTCCTGTGATAAAGACCTCATCCGCAGCTCGAGAACTGCCGAGGTGGGCACGAGTTCAAAACAAGGAACAATTAAACGGAAGCTGATCGACCACTTCACCGCTCGTCGTCTGGCAAACAGGGTCTGGCACGCAGCCTAACATGAACGCAAATGAGGTCATCTCAAACCGTGCCACCGCAATCCGCAACTAGGTCTATCAAAGGGCCGACATGACCTGATACCCGCCCCAGTGGAGGATTACTGGGCAATTGGAGACGGTCGTCCATTACCCGGTATGCTTCAACAGACACATTGCAGTTTTGTTGCATTTATACCGAGACCGTGTTCAGAAGAGCACCAACCAAAGGCAAAAGGAAAAAATTCACATTGGACTCGACACGGGGAAATGCACTTTGGCTCCTTTCTCCCAGTTTGATCAGCGAGGAGTCCGGTTTCGTGTAGAACGGAAATAATATATCAAGCCTATCATTTTTGAGGCAATATCATGCTGCTCACCTCCAGCGCAGTCGACATCGGTTGCTGCAGCACCAACTTGTCCATGGCTTTCCCATCACACGAATTGGAGCAAAAACGTATTAATTTCTAAATAATCCTTATATCTCTATACCTACGAAGATGTTTTATCTAATTCAAATATATGGAGTCTAGTGGCTCAATAGAGATAAACTACCAGCCAACCCACGATCGGTCGGCTGGTCTGCCTCTACTCGAGCAATTAGGGGAGTCGAATCTTCAGCGTCGTTCGAAAGGTTGTCGCGTGGTTCTTGGGACTGCCTCCTCGAATCCTCCTGGTCGGTTCTCGGTCCCATACCGTCTCTTTGACTGCTGTCTCGAACAAGTAGAGATCTATCTTTGCATAGGGTTTCCACTTCGTCCTTGAGTTTAGAAACCGCGTTTTCAAGTTCTGTGACCTTGCACACAGATACACCTCGATTACCAACGGGCTTTGCAACGTACAAATCCCTGTAGATTCCGGTGAGGTGTGTGCTCAGGGATAGGAGAAAATGCAAGTGCTTCTCTATCTGCATTTCTTCGCGGAATGCTTCGAATTCCGCCTGCGTCACCCCGTGCTCGGCGAATGGACCATTGGGTGACTGAACCTTATCGAGGTCTAGCTTCAAGGTTTGCAGCAGGATTGCCTGTCCAGCTAATTTGATGTTTTCGTGTCTCTTCGGCTTGAGCAACTTTCACGGCAGAATCACAAATACTCCACCTCTGCGATCTTGATCCGCAAACAATTGAAGACCAGCCTTGCGGATGCCCTCAAATTCTGTAGGCAGCAAGCCTCGCATTAAGAAGGACGAAGATGGCATGCGCGAATGCTCCACGTCTGCACGAAACTCGGCTGCTTCATCCGGCCAGGGGTTCTCGAGTAGGAACAGATTGGCGTCTCTAAAGCCTTTCAAGAAGACCAGAAAACTGCCAGGTTTTTGCGGGAAAGCCTTTCCTTCCGCCCCAGCTGCTTCTCCTTTCCCAAAAGTCGTAGTAAAAGACCTTCCACGATAACTAGACGACGTCCGTTTCAAGGCTGCCAGCTTTCTGGAAACGAACGTTGCGGTTATTGGTCCCAACGGTGCTGGCAAGTCCACTCTCGTCAATGTGCTCACCGGTGAATTGATCTCCACGTCCGCAAAGATGATTCGGTCGGTTGTCTTTCTCGCCACCATCTGCCGCTCCGCATGTGAACTGGCTGGGTAGATGCTGACAATGTGCTTTTCAGCGGGGAGGAACCGAAGAGATGTTAACGGCTAAGGATATATTGAAGATGAGATGACATGTATTTCTGGTAGTTCGTGATGTCCAATTGTGACACGGATTAAACCGCTACTTGTCAGTTTCCTATCGGCCATCAACCGCGCATTTGATCTCCTTCTCCACATGCTACGACTACCACTACTACTACTGCTGCTGCTGCTGCTCCTGCGTATCACACCCACCTCTGACCTCGCGGACAGCTCAGAGGTTGGATCCTGCAACAGCTTCGCCCGCCTGTATACAGCCAATTTGCAGAAAGCCGTTGACGACGCTGTCGAAGTGGATGCACTGAGCAAGTTGAGCAGTCGTTGAAACAGTTGCTTGCTATTGCGATCATGCCAGGTCTGATTTATCGTAGAATCAGCATCTAGTGCATGCCTCTCCATCCCTTTCGAAGCACTACAAGCATCTTTGAGTGCTTCCCGAGCACAAACTCCCCCGTACAATCAGCTGCGTGTGGTAAGGCGGCTCATGCACGAATGAGATGTTTCTCGTTCTAGGTCGGCCCAAGGGCACAAGCACCAACTCTGTCGACCAGTCAGTGAGAGCGTTGGAAAAAGAATAGCGAAGAAAGAAAGCCGCCGACCCTTTGCTATCGGTCAGTCGTCCAGCAAGCCTTTGATCGTTCGGCTCAGGCGAAGGCACGTGGCCATGCCGTAGAAGATGTCGATGCTGTCAAAGTCACCCGAGAACAGCTCCGTACATGATCTATACAAGCAAAGATACAAAAGCGGCGGGCCTTGAAGTCAATGCAGAGCTCCAATAGCCGAGACAATGGTTGACTGAGGGCGAAACCATTGCAAACAGCGGAAAAGGTTTCCCCAGGAGACAATCGATACCGGTCGTTAGATCGTTGCGTGTGGGTTTTCAGCACAATGGCCGACATGAGAAAAGAGTTACACTTATTTAATTGTTGGCAACCTCCGCCGTATTTATGCAGCCATAAACGTCTGATTTGATGCCGCGACCGGCAGCTGTCTGGAATTGTGGCGGAGAAACGGTTCGTGGTGGAACATGGCGGCAAGTTCCGCGTCGTGTATATGCACACTGAGCGCAGTCCGGATCAGTTCTTCATTCTTCGCCCATTCCCTCCATATCTTGTCGATTCCTACCAACCTCTTTGTTCTGAACGTCGACCAACGTCGCGCCCACGAAATCAGGGTTCCGTTGAAGGCGTCGACAGTGGCAAGATGCAATTTGGGACCAATCGATAGCACTGGACGTGACGAGCCCACACTGAGAAGCCAAAAGAGGGAGGGGGGCATTGTCACAAACAGAATGGAAGAGCATGTGACTCGCAGGGAACCACAGAGTCCGGCGACTCCCTCCGGCTTTCTCCACGGGCATGTCCCAGACACCTTGCGGCGGACCCCCGATCTCCGGATCCTCCCTCTTCTGGAGGAGGGAAAGATATGGAAAGTCACATGCGGGTTGATCTGGACCTCGAAGCACGCTTTGTCTGCGGAGATATGCCAACTATGATGCCTTGCTGAGGCACAAAGAGCAGATCCGGACACACGCAACTGCCTTCCAGCCTGAGACTAACAAAGAACATGCATACTTGTCGGCTGTGCAGTCTTTGCGGCAAGCCGCATAGTATAGCCAGCCCCTTCGAGACAGTGAGAAAGTAATCGACGGCCATGGCTTTCCGATTCGCCTCGGGATGTATGGGCTGGCCCTGCTCTTGTAAAGAGACATTGCTCGACTCCCCCGTGCATCTGTCCACTGACTGAGCCGAGATGCTCGCGAGTGGACAGTGCGCAACTGCCGCGTCGACGCAGAGCTTGATGCTAGCAGCTCATATCCAACGTGGAACGGAGATCCATTCGTTCAAAACCGCTCGACTCGAAGTGCCCATCATCCTCAAACAGCGGAATACCAAGAACACAGGAATCACAGAGGTAAAACCCCGGGGACCACGTTGCACAGTTCGACCCCCTATGCGAAGTCCAGTCAGATAAAGCCACTGGAGAGGTGCGTGAGCTACTTCTCCCCTTCTTTCGGCCCAAAAGACTCACAGGCCGACGGTGAAGACGAGGTTGTCCAGCAGCTTCCTCCTCCTGCTGCTGTTGGTGCTGCTGCTGCAGCTGCTACCACCACATCCAGATGAAGTTTGGCGTTGGCGGCGTCTGGAAGGATGCATCGACTGGTCCAGGCAACGCCACAAACAAATTCGTCGTTGTTACGAGGCAGAACGGCTTGGATGTCGCATGCCCTTCTCGCGCGCGTCACGACCTCCAAGGTCATCGAGCCCCGTGTTCACAGCCCGTCGGGCAGTGACGGGTCTCCTCGTTGGTGTTGTATACAGTCTGACAGTAGTCGTTTGGGGACAACCAGAGATGGACAATGAGTAGATGAACATTGCCAAATCACCCAAGTCAATAAGGGGCCACAGAGGCTTGGCTTTACCTATTGAGGTGACGCGGCTATGCTCGGAAATGTTATATTTCAGTCAGTTATCGGTCCACGCCGGGAAGGTCGGGTCACTCTTCTCCCATAACATCCTATTAACAAAGACTTGGACGTCACCAGAAGGCTGTATGTCCTAAGAACAAAGACTTGGGACGTCACCGTAAGGCTGCAAGGCCACTGCGCGTATCACAACACCACAATATCACCGCGTCACTGTATATATCGCGATATCACTTGGCAGAAACTGTCTGCGTTTAGCTTAGCGTCTACCTAGGCGCCCACGAATAAATATTTATATCTCCGCCGCACCCCAAACTCTTCCTCCTTTTCCTCTTCCCCATACACAACAACAACAACAACATATATATATATCCTCTTTCCTCTCCCGGTGGGCCAAGGGGATTCCCACAGGGAAGAGACCTAGTGCGACGAGAGGGCTGGTAGAAGGCGAACGTCAACAAGAGCCTCTCCGGGTCAACCTCCGTCGTCACGCGTTCTCTTCCCTTGACATCGTGCTGGCCTCGGTGGCTGTGAGTATCTCCCTTTCTCTGTCTCGACAGGTGTGTGTTCATATCTAACCGTCTCCCGGTAGGCGAAAAGGTCGAGAAATGGCCGACAACACCGGCCGCACACAGATGGCGTTGTTACCGGCCTTCCCGGCCCCAGATCAAATCGCTGGAACGGTCGAAAAAGCCAGCAGCACCCAGGCCGATGTTCGAGCTCCGCCGACCAATAACAAATCAAGCTCACGTCGGTCTGGGGTTTGGTCTGGCTCTCCGGCACAGCAACAATTGAACCACTTCGGTTTACCGTTCGGTCTAGCTCCGGCGACTGCACCCAGGCCGATGTTCGAGCTCCGGCAATCAATAACAATCAAGCTCACGTCGGTCTGGGGTTTGGTCCGGCTCCGGCTGCTGCAGCGACACCAAGGACGAAGAGCATTCCGCCGGGTAGACTTCACCGACCACATCGACGAGCACAATCTCTTCTTCCCTAAATCCCCGCAGCTCGCGATCTAACGCCACCTAAAGACTCGTCGACTGCCAAGAAACAGGCCGATGTGCCTCCGCCCCACGTCGATGAGCACAACGGGCATTGTTGCCTGGTCGGTTGCCCTTCCCAGCCCCAGCCCACACGCCACATGGGTCCGAGAGAGAGATATGCAAATTGTTTTCAGGGAAGAAAAAAGGCGAACATCACAACCCAAGAATCCTTCTATGGGAGAAGAAAAGAGGCGAACGTCACAGCCTAAGAATCCTTCTGCGGTGGGCGGGGCCGGGGACTCTCGATTCAAGAACACAGGTCGCCTCAGATCAGTCTCGGAGCTTGACCGTCCACATAGATTAGTTCAAGTCCGCAGTCATGGAATGTCACAGACTTTTTTTTTCTCATATGACCTTCTGTTCAATACCTGCATCTTCCCCCCCCCCCCAGGGGAGGCGTCGATGGAGGTTCTTCATCCTTTCTCGTGCGTGTTGCGTGCGTGTGCCCCTCTACTCCGGGAACAGCTTAGGGCTAACGGTTCGGTGATGAAGTGGTGACCGTGAGGAGGAGGAGGATCTGACCAGCATTGAGCACGGAAGGTGAGGATATCGTGCTCGTGCCGATGCAATAGCTTCTCTGTCTGCATCCATCCGAAATTCTTCCCATTGTCAAGGTGGACAAGGGTGGTCATGGTGAGGCAGCAACGTGAGCACGCCCATGTAATGCGGCGTCGGGTAGTGCTTTTGTATGGTCGACTAGTGACGCTTCTCGCAGTGCGGTGCCCACGGTACCCGGGCCGTAGGAAACATCCCCAGGACTCTCATCTTGTATATTAACTTATACAACCTCATGGCTTTGGTGGGAAACACGAACGTCTTACTCAATATCTCAAGCCCAATGCCCCCTGCTGGTCACAAATACTGACTTGCTTGTTTGTTGCGTCATCTCTAGCATTTCTGGCAACAAACCTCCGCCTTCATAGTCACTTACCAGGGCGAATGGGCCTCCGCCCTTTCCCCTTCCTTCTGGCCTTAGGGTAGAACCCGTTCATGCCAAATGCAGCCAGCAACCCTCACCGCCAACGCCGCGTTCCTCAAACTGGCCAGGAATCCCGCACGACGAACGAGATGTTGATCTCACTCGCACGGTGCGAGATCAGACGGATGTTGATGGGGGCACTAGCCAGCGCGGAGCATCGAGGTTTGGAGGATCGAGCTCCAATGCTTTCTCCAGGGCACGGATTGCCGGGGACTCTTTCTCGTCGTGGGCCTGAGCTGCACCGAGTAACACCCAGGCTTCGACGTGGTTGGGACTCCGTCCACGCTTGAATGAACGACTGAAATGAATGACGAATCCGAGGACGGCCTGGCCGCACTGAACGCCAACGTCGGTATCCCCTTCGTGGTTATTTTCGTTATCCTCATCACCTCCGTCGTCTCCAAAAGGGTTGTGTGATCAATGATCACCAGAGTGTTGTGTTGATCGACCGACGCAGCGCTGGTTGAAGCGATCCATCCGTCTCACCTCCTTCTCGATCACCTTTTGATAGAGGTCGCAGGCCATTCGAAGCAGTTGGCCACGGCGGACTCGTTCCTCCAGCTCATCGGGAGTGAGCTCCCCGCACAGTTGTCACCGCGCGTCTGTTTGATGGGATGCCGCGGTCAGTCAACAGGAGCCATCCTTCTCCATAACCCTTTCCAGCTGTTGTGGGAACATCCATGGACCCAGATCCACTACATTGCTCGGCCATCGATTGAAAAAAGAGTTTCCCTGGTACTCTTCACTCCTTTATTAATTGAGGTCTCAACATGACTCTCTTTTCTGCTCTCGGGGATCCAGAAACTCATCACTTCCTCCCGTCTTCTATAGGTAAGTCTTCGGTTTGACGGCATCAGGAAAGAGCTCAGCTCGTCCTCGGTCCCTCACTTGGTTCTCCAGTATCTTGCTTTGGACGCCACACGCCAGCGAGTTCCTGATATCAAGCTTTGAACGGGTTTGGTGACTAGCGTTGTAGAGCGCAGCCTCATTTTCCTATATTTGTGTCATCCAGTCGGTGCCGGTGGATATATGTCTGTATCATGGTCCCACTTTGTCGCTGCCACTCCCTGTCTCAGCGTCTCAATATCTCGGATGTACAAGACAAAGACATGCCTTCAGAGGCCGACATTGAAAGATGGCAACGCTTGTTCGGCTATGAAAGCCACGACCACCCGCACTACTCCGACGTCAGGCAAGGGAGCTTCCAAGACTGAGGCTGATGACAAGGACGGTGAGGATGGTGACCACGATTCTGGTGATGGTGAGAGCAATGGTTCCGCAGCGCCAGGCACGCCAACGACCCACACAAAGTCAAACGAGCTTGGATAAACCAAGGTACTCGGTACAAACGGAGTATCTCGTACGGAGGACTGCTCGCTTGTTCCATTTGCTAAGGTTCTCTGTCGTCCCGACTCGGCGTTCATGCGAAGCCTTTCCTGAAACCAACCACAACAGGAACCTACACCGCCGTTGTGGCTCCCAACAGCCCTTCCTGGTGCTCTGACGCAAGACTGGCGGTGAAGAAACCAACTCCAAACGCTCTGATCTTGAAAACAAAAAAAGGGGGGCTGCCGGAACAAAGAGCGCAACCAGGCACTCACACTCTACCTTCTCTCGCAGATGCCAGAAGGCAGATACATTCTCGGACGGCTCAAAGGTGAAAAAACATACCTGGTGCATTTCCTTGGTCGTAGGGTTCATCTAGGGTACCTTTGCCCTGTATACCTGATGGTGGCTCTTGGCCCGCTGGTGGGCCGAGATGGAGCTCCGTTTACCAAGCGCAGAGCCATCAGAACAATAATGAATGCTTTTTTAGTGATAATAAACATTCGCTTTCGGAAGCTCCGGGTGGCCGAAACCGCGATTTTGTGCCTCGTAACACGGGCAGCAGCAATTGTGCCGTCGGTTGATGAATCGTGTTCCCAGCCTCCACCATTTCTCTAGGTGCCAGGAATCTGGGGACGGCCGACGGCTTCCGTTATCGTTTATCGGCAATCCAGTCTTTCTCTTCCTACTTGTCGAAGGAACTTGAGAAGACTCACTAAGCCACTATCATCAGGTTACTGGGCTTAGTCTGAGCTCTCCGTCTTCCTCTCCCACCACCGGTCGACATCTTCAGACCACACTCGGAAAACCCTCCTTCATCTCCTTCGACCTCGAAACGCGACCAAACGCCAGCGGCCTCATTGGAGCTGCCAATGGCCTCTTCGGGACGTTGTCCTGCATGAAGTCTGCCGACTGGCTGGTTCGTCGAAAGGCTTTGTTTTTCGCGAGTATTGTGAATCTTTCTCGTCCCTGATTTTGCCACCCTCCTCCGCTTTGATACCTCAAGCGAGGAGGAGCCCACGACATCTTCCCAAGCCCTTTTTATAAGGTCTCAATGTGAGCCTGGCACCTTAGTTCAGGTCGATAGCTCCCTGTCTGGTGCTGTCTCTGTCTCTGTCCATTTTCCCGTCCTGACAGAGGGTGGTAATCAACAACTCAAACTGTGGATCGACGGGGAACAAGTGGTGGAGCGGAACACCCAGCACCACAGACGTCGTTATGACTGTTGGGAGCGTGGTTGCATACCACAACACCACGACTCTGGGCCCTGGTTGGATGCACAACTGCACAGCGGCCGGAGGCCCAAGGGAACGAAACACTGGGCGCGCTTCTTAAAGTTCTCGACCGTCTTCTCCGTCCACCAGTCAGTGAAACCACCGTTCTGGTCGTCGTGGCGACCGGTGGAATCGAAAACGTGAGAGAGCTCGTGGCCAGAGACAAACCGACGTCTCAGAGAGGACTCATCCCGCCCCATAAAACCGGAGCGAAACGTAGCTTACCTTTGCAACTGCGCAGCAGATTTCAGCCAGTCCTCTTTTCAACCACCAACCATCATGTCAAACCCGAGAATGGAACAGCTCCCCGATGATGACTCATGCCTAACAAGAAGGCCGCAGCAGAAGCCTGTCGTTGAAGCTGTTTTGTTCAACGAGGCTACACCACAGCCATATAGGGTTGCCGCCGCCGTCGTGTAAGCGTCGGTCATGGCATCGGCTGTCCCAGAAATCTGCAGTTTATGCCGTACTGAGTACGAGGCTTGCTGCAAAATTCGGATCTGCACTCGACCTTTCGAGTCACGCCCTCGACAGACTTCATCAAGCAGTCTTTTCGATGAAAGACCCGACCATTTCCCACAGTCTCACAGTCGGACCGAGCTCTCAGATGCTTGTGGGGGAGACGATTGGATAAGAAAGTACCGATTGTCTTCTTGTACTTCAGCTCTCTCATCGAGAGGATCATGATCGCCATTCGGAGCTCGGCCAAGGGGTTTTGCCTCTTGCCTACAACCACATGCCCATCACCGCAACTCTTTCGAATTGCTTGCCTCACCTAACTATCGTCCGTGCGGCGCTTTCTGACTTATATTGACCCAAATTCATCGTAGACACTCCCCAAACCAGGCATTAGAATCGACTCTACCATTGCTGGAATAACAGTAGTATATGTCTCGTGCTCGAGTGCTAATGGCGCATTCCCCTTCGTGCCACATCAAAGAGAAGATCCGCTCGTCGTGGGGCGGCCAATGCGGGTGCGGAGAATGCCCAATATTGTGAGCCATGAGTACGACAATAGTCAAGATCTTCGGCAGTTGCGAGTGTTGGCGAGGTCCCGGGAAACCCCCATCTCGAAGATGTCTTTCTCCGTGCCGTGCATCAGGTCTCCATTTGGATAGTGGACGGTGCTGGTGGCGATCCACTTGTGGGAGTAGACATGGAAACGGTCACTGGTGCCTGGGGCCGAGGGAGTCCAGGCGACCAGAACACGTAACTATTACTGTGAAAGAGATTTGGGAAGTTTTATATCAACTCAAGTGAAAGGTGTCGGTTGACTGGCATCTATATTTGCATTTTCGACGAGTATTAAGACGAAAGCAGCCTGTACAAGATGTCCAGCTTCGCGAGGCTACCTCCCTCCGGGATCAAGGTGATCATTATCGGTGCTGGGTGTCAGA